TGGATTTTGATGTCTGTGTCTTCCTCCAGGTTAGGAAAGTTTTCCCCTATGATTTGCTCACATAACCCTTCCACCCCTGTTTTTCTGTCTTCCTCTTCTGGGACCCCTATGATTGTGATGTTCCCTTTTAATGAGTCACTGCTTTCTCTAATTCTTAAATTGAGCTCTTTTGCCTTAATCTCCCTCTTTTTCTCTGCTTCGTTATTCTCTATAAGTTTGTCCTCTATATCGCTGATTCTGTTCTGCCTCGTCCATCCTTGCCGCCGCTGCATCCATCCGTGATTGCAGCTCAGTTATAGCGTTTTTCATTTCATTCAGGCTATATTTACTTCTTTTATCTCTGCAGAGAGGGATTCTAGCCTATTTTCGACTCCAGGTAGTATTCTTATTATCGTGATTCTAACTTCTGGTTCAGACATCTTGCTTGTATCTGTGTTGGTTAAATCCCTGGCTGTCGTTTCTTCGTGCTCTTTTGGGGTGAATTCCTTCATTTTGTCAGTTTGAAGGGAGAAAAGGAATTAATGAGGTAGAAAATTGAAATTAAAAATATTAAAATTAAAAAATATTAAAATTAAAAATTAATAACACACACACACAAAAATTGGATAGATGACGCTAGATCCTAGGTGTGTTTTGGTCTGGGTGTTGATAGTGGTTTGACAGATTAGAGAAAAAAAGGGGGGAGAGGAAAAAAAAGAAAGAAAAAGAAAAAAAATCATTTGAGAATTTGAAGAAATGAATACACTGAAGTAGACTAAAATGAGATGATGGGGGTAAAATAGAATTTGAAAAAATATACACAAAAGTAAAGAATATAGTAGAAATAAATTAAAGAAAAATATTTGTAATAAAAATTAAAAATAAATATAAATTTGTCTTTTTCTGTATTCAAGAAAAAAGAAAAGAAATGACAAAAGAAAAAAGATAAAAGGAAAAATAAGGAAAAAAGAAAAAGAAAGGACATTGTTTGAAAATTTGAAAAAATGAATAAACTGTAGTAGACTATGATAAAATGATGGAAGTAAAATAGAATTTGAAAAAATTTACATAAAATCAAAAAATATAGTAATAAATATTAAATAAAAATATTTTTAATAGAAATTGAAAGTAAAATGAAAATTTTCTCTTTCTGCATTCAAGAAAAAGAAAAGAAACAAAAAAGAAAAAATAAAAAGAAAAAAGGAAATTGTTTGAAAATTTGAAAAGGTAAATAAAATGATGGAAGTAAAATAGAATTAGAAAACATTTACACAAAAGTAAAAAATATAGAAATAAAAATTAAAGAAAAATATTTTTAATACAAATTGAAAATAAAAATAATTTTTTCTTTTCTGTATTCAAGAAAAAGAAAAGAATGTAAAAGACAAAAAGAAAAAAAAAGAAAATAAGAAAGAAAGAAAATTGGATAGATGAACCTACTAACAGATTGAAGTAGGACTGAAATTGCTTCGTTTTCCCCTAGAAGTCAGTCTTTGTAGCTCTTTAGTCCATAAACCAAGCCGGCGGTGAGACTTGTGTTCTTGAAGAGGGAAGTTGCCTAGTTGGGCGGGGCTCAGTGTAACAGCTCCGCTGTCCACTAGATGGCGCTGCTGGCCTACTGGGGTGGATTGTTGCAGTGCTCACAGGTGCTAATGCGCATGTGCAGGAACAGTGAAAATGGCGCCTCCCAGTTACCCAGTCTGTTCTCCCAGATCAATCGCACAGCCCTCCTCTGTCTTCAGCTCTTGTCCACTCCTGCTTCTTCACTCTCCGTGACCAGGCCCCAGGCAGCACCTCTCTCCCGAGTTGTGTCTCAGACGCGGCTCTTTTCGCCGGCCCCTTACTTCTGACAGACTGCGGCTTTGACCCGTTCTGCCTGTGGGAGGGTCTCACCGAGCAAGGTTGAATGTCTGCGGCACCCAGGAACGCTTGCTGGACCCTGCTGCTGCCGGCGCCCCGAGACTGCGGCCACGTGCCCCCCCCCCAAAAGTTTGCGAGACAGTGAGCAGCAGCGTTTCAGGGATTCTGGAAAATCACAACACACATCTGGCACCAGGCTTCACCCTTAAGGACCCTGCCCCAGCACCAGCAAATGTGGCCGCCTTCTGGGGTCTGCTGGGACCAGGGGGCTTCAACAGTCTCTACCAAATGTTCTTCCAGCAGTGGAACCGCTTTTCTCCGTGTGGCCTGAGAACCTCCCGGACCCCACTCTGTTACTGGGGATTCACCCTTCCCACCAGAGCATCGCCAGGTAAGGAGCTGCGGAGTTGCAGCCTTTGAGCTCCCCTTGTTTACAGTCTTAATGGGATTTAAACTGTCTCCTTTCTCCCTTTTAGTTTAGTCCCTGCGGCTGTTTCCAATTTTCCACTTTCTCACCAGCTGCTTTTGGGGAGGGGTGCTTTTCCCATATTCTTTCCCCCTCCCCAGTCTTTGTACTCTCTCCGCCCACAAAATTGGTTCCCTATCCTCTGGGGTTTCTCACTCCCCAAATTCACCTCTCCACACCGCATATCTGCCGAATTCTGTGGTTCAGGTTGTGGAGATTGTTGTGTTAATCCTCCAATCAGTTTGCTAGGTGTGTAGGATGGTTTAGTGTTTGTCTGGCTGTATTTCAAGGACGTGAGACACACAAAAAACTTCCATGCTGTTCCATCATCTTGGCTCCTCCCCCTCTTGTGATATTTTTTCTATTTTTTTGGTATTTTTAATTTTTCAAGTTTTAAATTCTAGTTGGTCAGCATATAGTGTAATATTAGTTGGAAGAGTAGAATCTAGTGATTCATCACTTACATATAACACCTAGTACTTATCAAAAGAAGTGCCCTCCTTAATACTCATCACCCATTTAACCCATTCCCCTCCCTCACTTCCCCTCCAGCAACTCTTAGTTTGTTCTCTATAGTTAAGAATCTGTTTTATGGTTTGCCTCTGTTTCTTTCCTCTCCCACCCAGTGTTCATGTTTTGTTTCTTAAATTTCACATGCATGCAATCATAGGGTATTTGTCTATCTCTGACTGACTTATTTCACTTAGCATAAAATACTATAGCTCCATATATGTTGCTGCAAATGGCAAGAATTCATTCTTTTTTTATGGCTGAGTAATAGTCCTATATATATATATATATATATATATATATATATACACACACACACACACACACCACAACCTCTTTATCTACTCATCAGTTGATGGACATTTGGACTCCTTCCATAATTTGGCTATTGTTGATAATGCTATAAACATCAGGGTACATGTATCCCTTTGAATCAATATTTTTGTATCCTTTGGGTAAATATCTAGTAATGCAATTGCTGGAATAAGGGTAGCTCTATTTTTAACTTTTTGAGGAATCTGCATACTGTTTTCCAGAGTGGCAGCACCAATTTGTATTCCCAACCACAGTGTAAGAGGGTTCCTCTTTCTTCATATCCTCACCAACATCTGTTATTTCCTGTGTTGTTAATTTTAGCCATTCTGACAGGTATGAGGTGATATTTCACTGTAGTTTTGATTTGTGTTTCCCTGATAATGACTGATGTTGAGCATATTTTCATGTATCTGTTAGCCAGCTGGATGTCTTCTTTGGAAAAATGTGCATTCATGTCTTTTGCCCATTTCTTAACTGGATTATTTCTATTTTGGGGTGTTGAGTTTGATAAGTATATATATATATTGGATACTAACCCTTTATCTTATATGTCATTTGGAAATATCTTCTCCCATTCTGAAGGTTGCCTCCTACTGCTGTCTAGTAGGCAAGAGAACGCACATGCTAAGCAACCATAATACGAAATACAAGGTTACAAGTGACATAATAGAGGTACATAGAAAGTATGTGAGTTTAGGTGCAGAAGAGGGGTCTTTTGGGTCTTTTGTTTAAAGGATCGGGGAAGACTGGATGGATGATTTGGCATCAAACAGAGCTTGGCAGCTGGGTTAGAGTAGAGTACGTGGAGTTGGAAAGGACAGCATGCCAATAAGTGAAAATAGAAGAAACACTGATCGTGGGAAGGACCAGGTTTAAAAAAAATCTGTTGCAGTGGTTACTTTAAAAAATATAGTAAATATGAATTACAAAAAAAAAAAAACCCACTCAAAAAACAAGCTTCATTTTTTTTTTTTTTTTTTGGTTTTGTTATTGAATTGTAAAGACATAAATGGTTGTAGGTCTACAAACAATGAAAGGTGATAAGGGTTGGTCCTGAGAAGGCTTAGAGTCTTTTGCAAGGGTTTCAGGAGAGACTGTTATAGGTTGTTTAGACAAAGAAGACTAACTTCCTAGACAGAGAGGAAGAGATGTTTCTGTTGGCATAGAAAACACATCAGATTTGGAATTCAGGGATTCCAGCTTCATCAAAATCTGCTCATTTGACTCGCTCTCAAATTTGGGGGTCACAGTTCCTTTTTAATCACTGCTTTAACACAAGAGAAAGTGTGAGAGTAGGAATTAAATTTGTATTGTAATCCAGCTACTGCCAGAATTGGACCTTTGGTCTGGTTTTTAGAAAACTTGGCTCTGCAGTTCTAAGAGATAAGGGTTTCTTTCAGATCATCATTCAACTTTATATACTTTTTGCAGAACTTTAGTTGAGAATTTAAAGCCCTAAACTCATTATTTTCTTTCTCCATATTTTCCAGTGCACTTACAAGTAACCAACCCATCAACTAGTCTCCGTTTTCACTAAACCATTTATAGGAGTAAATATTTGATTGTTCAAGGCCATGTCTTCCATAGTCCCTTGGTTAGAAGTGTCTATTGGCGATAAGTTACACACAATTTTGGCACCATATCCCATTAACAACCAGAGTCCACTTTACCACTTGATATGGGTTATTAATACCATTAAGTCTGATGATATCACAGAATTAAAGTTAATGCATATCCAATTCAGAGAATCCATTTAAAGTCTGTTTCAGTCTGGCTATGTCTGACACACACACAGAGGTGTGTGCATATGTGACTATAAACTTTAACGGTTTATATAGATGTAAGGAAACAAACTAAGTTTTCAAAAAGGTTAAGAAAAGGGATGTGAAAATTTTATTTAGGCTGGTTTTACTGTAACATTGTTTTTTGCTTTATAAAATAATTTTATAAAAGAGTCCATCAAGATATTATATAGAAAATACACCAAGGTAATATATATATACATTTCATAAAAATAGAATACATCTTGAGAATTGCTTCCAGAGTCTGTTACCACCATGTACAGTGTATTGACGTTCAACATTTATGCTAATTTGAACATACAAGATTTTCAAGAAAAACAGAGGAAACTGTCCCATTGGTATTTGTAAAAATTGTTTCCAATTGACAGGAAAATAAAATACTGGAATGTAAAAGTTATAGAGCTAACTGAAAGGAAGGTTATATCAAAAGGCTAGGGCAAAGATCCATGCCATGAACAATCATCTGAGGACCAAATAATATTTTTTTATTATAAGTGGTCCATCTCATTTCACAAAACCACTGAAAATAATATCCTTCTTTTGGATGTTCAATCCACGTGAACACCATTTGGTATCAAAAAAACATTCTAGAAGTTGTACTATATTTCTCAAATGAGTGGTGTTTCTTTTTCCCTTAAAGTGTAAATAGGTGTATAAATCCCATTATAAAGTATGAATACTTAAAAAAAGCATCTTCATAAGTTACTTAATAAGCTTTGATCAAATACATAGCAGCCAGTTTTATTATTCTAAAATGCTCAAAAATCCATTGGCTTTGAATGAGTTATTTTTGTTTTCATTTTTTTTTTAAGGAAAACTATCTTAGCTCTTATACTACAAGAAAACATCACTGATATGTCCTTCTAAGATGTTCAGAATAATCTTTGGAAAGTAACTGTTCCAGTGTAATAAATAAAGAAAATAATAAGGGACTTTTCTAGACTTTACCAAAAGAAATGACCATGGTGGGTTCATGAAAATACCTCAGTGACACCAAGGAAGGCACACAAAACAGAGCATAGCACCATTTTCAAGTTGCCAAGATTGCAACTGTTCAGGAGATGGTAATCTGGAAGGGGACTTGATACCCATGATTAATGCAGTTTAAATATTGGATTAGGCTCTGGAGGACTTCTTAGTATGGATAGGCAGACACAGCTATATATACTATGAATGTGGTCTGATATTCAATGGTCCCATTGGCACTGTAGGATGAGGCTCGAACCCTCATGCGGTAGGTCTCTGGTTCTCGCAAAGGTCGTGTTGTATACACCACTCCTTTCAGGTTTTCGTCCCTTAAGGCAAAAGGAACAGTCTGTTCCACATCTACCATGAGGAAAGTTGTCCTGGGATGCATCACTCCATCCTGCGTGTATGCAACCAGCCGGATTAAATCTTGATTGGCAGCTATTCCAAATGGGAGTGAGACAAGTTTGTAATCCAAGGCATATGGGCTCAAGGCACATTCCAAATCATTGGGTGGACAGTTCTTGAGGCAGAACCTAAGGACGACAAACGCATGAAATGCATATAGTTATCTGGCTTGGAAGCAGGAGAGGGCATGAGGCAGCTGACCAGGATCCATGACAACTTTTAGGCATTAAAGGGAGTAGACAGTCTGACTGCAAGAGCAATAGGCCACCCCATGTTCTCGGTCACTAACTCAAACCAGATGCCAGATGTCTGTGAGAGCATGCTGGTCTAGAGTCAAATATCTATCTCTCAGTTTCATTAAAATCAGAAGTTTTTGAACCACTGAAGTAAGTATGAGTACCACAAGAGTGTCTTTAAAATAGAAAGTCAATTTTGGAAATAGAAGCATCTTATGTACATATACTGGAAACAAGTACTTTTTAATGAAAGGAACACAAGCTATTTTTAAATTGTAACATTTATCCCAAGACTGAAAGCTGAAATAGAATATATTAATATTTGGTTAATTTTTCTAAAAATAATGAAAGGTCAACTAAGATTCGTGGTGGGGGGGGAAGCACTTCCTTTTGTATTTGTTTTCCACATTATTTTAGATTACAAATACTACGTTTTCTTTTTTCAGAGCCCACACTGGCTGTTTTTGAGGCATCATGACTTTTGTCTGCCAGAAATCACTGGTAATGGAGAGTAAAATTTATTTATTTATTTATTTATTTTAACGTTTATTTATTTTTGAGACAGAGAGAGAGACAGAGCATGAATGGGGGAGGGTCAGAGAGAGGGAGACACAGAATCTGAAACAGGCTCCAGGCTCTGAGCTTTCAACACAGAGCCCGACGCGGGGCTCGAACTCACGGACCGCAAGATCGTGACCTGAGCCGAAGTCGGCCGCTCAACCGACTGAGCCACCCAGGCGCCCCGAGAGTAAAATTTAAAAACAATGCACAAAGGACTATTTTCTGAAGATATGGATTCTTCAGTCATAGTATTTTTAGATGTTTCCCAAGTCAATATTTTTAATTTTCTCCCTCACTTTCCTATTCCTCACCCCCCCCCCAACAATTATGAATAGGTTTTCAGTGGATTGTGGGCAGTCCACACTTGGTCCTGTTACAGTAACTTGGTAGTCACTGTTGAGAGGAAAAACAAAGTGTGAGCTCCAACCAGCATTTGGCTTCAGAACCACCTTCTTAATGGGTCTTATTCATGACTACCACTACCTCTGTTTTCAAGCACCCCATTGACTTGGTACCTGAACAGAGTATGACATTTCTGTAAAAGGTGGGAGAAAACAGAAGAGTAGTTTTTTTGGAACTCAGAAAAGATACTGTTTCAGACAGCAGGAAATGTAAGCAAGACAATATATGAATGGGCAGACTATTGACTCATCCTTGCTCATCACCATTCTCTCATGGAGTCACAGTGAGTCAACATAATTACAGCCAAGGTACTTCTTGGAATGCTTTAAGTGCTGAGAGCCCTTAAAACCCTGAGGCAACACGAACGGAAACTAGAAAATTTCAAAGTCAGGTTCCATCACCCCATAAAACTCTCACTGCTGAGGCAGAATTCTAGATGCAGCATGGCGGATTACATACTGTGGAGACAGTCCGGGAAAAGCTTGGCAGACAAAAGTGATAGTTTAGGCTACAGTGGCTGCTGCAGGATGAGCTCATTTCATACCCATTCACTGTAACTCCATATACCCTTGGGCTTATTGACTTGGCGTGAATTACATATGCCTACAGACAGGGCTTGTTGGTTGAGGAGAGAAAGCTTTTCAAAAGTATTCCTGAGACTGGGGAGTCTGGGTGGATCAGTCAGTTGAGCGTCCGACTCTTGATTTCGGCTCAGGTCATGATCTCACGGTTTGTGAGTTCGAGCCCCGCTTTGGGCTCTGCGCTGACCGTGCAGAGCCTGCTTGAGATTCTCTCTCTCTCCCTCTCTCTCTGTTCCTCCCCGGCTTGTGTTCTCTCTCTCTCAAAGTAAGTAAACGAACTTAAAAGAAAAGTATTTCTGTGAAGAGGAGGCAAGACGTACCCTGAAACAGGATCCCGTTGGTAGTTGGGTGGACAGGGGGTATCGATGCACTGGTAGCTTCCTCTCATGTTGAAGCACATGCGATTTGGCCCACAGCGCACACTCTGCTCCAGACACTCATCGACATCTAGCAAACATCACAAGGAACACACAGTATCAGTAACTTGGGTCAGAGCTGGCCATCAGAGCAGGGGTTGTGGCTATGTGACCGAAATGGTGAGGGCTAACCTCCTTCTCCCCATGAATGAATTCATCCCTAAGTTTTTTCAACCACATAGTGGGGAATACCTAGGCTTTTTCAACCATAAAGTGGGGAATCCTGATACTGGCTGTTCTATTACCCATACTGCTTTGGGGACATACATATTTTTTGTAACATATGTGAAAGGCCATTGAAAAATAAAAGCTATAAAAGTAGAAGGGAAACTATTAAGCTATCATTTGGGAAACAGACTGCATTTGAGTTTTTTAAAGCAACTAATACTTTAAATTCATGAAAAACAAGCTAAAAATTTAAAGGACACTTGTGAACCTTCCTGTGAAGTGAAGAATCTCTTTATAATGTGAGTGATCCTTCCTGGTATTTTGTTTTAGAAGTTCAAAATATCGAGTGGGAGGTAGGGTAGTGGACATTAAAGTAGTCAAGTGATAAATTCAGGGGAGATTGTAGAGGTTAGTCAGATCTTGTGGAGAGAGAGAGAATTTAGAAAAAAAAACCAAAACCAGGATCAAATGAATGACCCAAGAACCATAATCCAAGTTTAATCAAATCTGAACTGTGGAGAATCCATCCTCAGGTGTTATGCGGGTGGGGTGCACTCTCTATGGTAATAGCTCTCCCTAGGGTAATGGGAAAACATGCAAACGAAATGCTGTTTATTTTGTTGCTTTCTATACCAAGTTGGTAAATAAAAACCCTTAAATCACTATAATTAAGAGAGATCAAGGGGTGCCTGTGTGGCTTAGTTGGTTAAGCATCCGACTTTGGCTCAGGTCATGATCTCATGGTTTGTGAGTTTGAGCCCCAGGTCAGGCTCCATGCAGGCCACTCAGAGCCTCCAGCCTGCTTCAGAGTCTGTGTTTCCCTCTCTGTCTGCTCTCCCCTGCTCATGCTCTGTCTTTCTCTCTCTCTCTCTCTCAAAACTAAACATTAAAAAATTAAAAAAAAAAAAAATCAAGATGGAGCTAAAGGAAACCTTTTTTGAGCTTTCTGAAAATAAATGTTTTTGAGCCATGATTTTTAACTTAGGGTCCATATTCAAGCATCAGGGGATTTATGAATGAAAATCTTTTTGTGTGTGCCTGTGTGAGTGTATGTATCTGTGTGAGAGAGAAACAGACAGATGGACAGAGTCAGACAGACAGTGAGTGCAACATTGAGATTGATGGATTTTCTGGAAGGAGCATCCATAGAGTTCTACAAAGTTTTTTAGGGATTTTGAGGTCCTCAAGTTAAACATATTTTAGGGCACTCATCTCCAGCTGTGGTACCTGCATTCCCCTGGTGGTGGGTGGAAGCTCTTCAGCAGCGGGACAGCAGGCAAATACTTCGGGGAATCAGTTTCCATCCAGAAACACATTTCCCTTATGTTCTCTTTCCTAAAAGCACTCTGCCCAAGAACTTCCTGTGGCCTGGAGTTCTCCTGTCCCCATTCCCATTTTATATCCTTCTTCTGCTTTACAAAAGAAAGGTTTTCACTAATCCTTAGTCTTTTTATGATACCCAAGTGTAAGATGACTCAAAGCACATATTCAGGGTGAGAAAAACTGGTTATTCATATTGATGGTGGCAGGCCTTATTTCACCATTGCTATAAACCAATGGTCTTAGCTCTCTATTTTAAGTCAGATTTCAGAAGTGAGCTGGTTGTCATGGGAACACCTACTTAACACTTCTACTTGAACAGCAAAAATGACCTTAGATTTTTTCTGACAGTCAAGTTGGTTGGTTTAACAATGACTATAGACTTCTAAATTATATAGTGGTTATTCCCCATTAACTGGGTTAAATCAACAGCTCCAAAGTACTGAGGAAAATATATTTAAGGCACATTTACATCAAACAACAAAGCCAGAATTCACACCCTTTATAACAATTTAAATATGATATGAAACTTTAGAGGTCAGTTTTAAAAATTATGAATGACACACGTATAAGGTTTTCAGATTTCTTTTTGCAGCAGGCAAGCAAAAAATTTGAAGACTACTTATTTTAGATAAAGTCTTAAGTCAATTGGCTGTATATAGGCACCTGGAACACACCTCCTTATTTAGTATTTGAATAAACATAGATCTTGATGTACAGAGGAAACAATTACAATTAATTGGAACCAAATCAGTTCTCTGCAGAGGTAGGACCTAAAGGTTAAAACCACTTCTATCATGGAATTGGTGCCAACACCAATGTGCACGTGAAACTATTATATCATTTCATGGTAGTAAGTGACTTGGTATCTGCATAATGGTATGTATGTGGGACTTGGCTTAAAGTTGTAAGTTCTTTTGTGAACCCTCAAATAACTTGAAATACTGCTATAAAAAAAGAGAAAGGAGAGAAGAAATTCCAAGACATAGTATTTTATTATTATTTTTTTTTGTTTTTAATTTTTTTTTAACGTTTATTTACTTTTGAGACAGAGAGAGACAGAGCATGAATGGGGGAGGGTCAGAGAGAGAGGGGACACAGAATCTGAAACAGGCTCCGGGCTCTGAGCAGTCAGCACAGAGCCCGACACGGGGCTCGAACCCACATACCGCGAGATCGTGACCTGAGCCGAAGTCAGACGCTTAACCGACTGAGCCACCCAGGCACCCCAAGAGATAGTATTTTAACCATGGACAATAAATGTTAAATTTTATTTCTGAATTATTAACTATTTGTATTTCTGTCTCAAAAATGAGCACTTTAGATTTGGTTTCAAGTATATTCTGTTTTATAGGAAATGACAGTATAATTATTTCCTTTAAACTTGCTAATAGTTTTCACAAAGTAAAAAGATGTTAAGCTATAGTGATATGGAATAAATCACTTACTTGACTTTGTAGTTACTTAGATGTGCTGATATTAAACATAATGTGCTTTCTAGGACTAGTTTTCCTACAGGAATAGAAGGCAGAATGAAACAAATTTTTATTACACTGAAATCTTGCCTATTGTCTCTGAACCAATTTCTAATTATGATTTTATCTATCAGAAGGGTGTTATCTCCTTGGGAAAATGAGATTATCTAAGAATGAAGTAAAAGGCCCTTTAGGAAAATGTGAAAGAAATTCAATTAGCCTTATCTTCTTTTTTCTCACAAAAAACATTCACTTCACACTCAACCACCAAATTTAATTTTAGCTCTAATTTTTATGGTGAATTCTTGCAGACATATGGAGGCCAGTGGGCTACAGGGGCCCATGGAAATGGCAGCCTGGAGTCCAGAATCTGGTTACATGTCTATATGCATAATAAGAGCAGTTATCTTATCACAGATTTCCAATGGCTGAATGTGAATTTATAAAAATAAACAAAATCTAATATTCAAAGTGTTCACCCTTAGCTCCAGAGTGCACACTTCCCATTGACAAGCTTTCTTTAGTATTTTGGCTTCTGGGCAGGTGGCTTTTCTTTGTCTTTTGTCTACAGCCATCTCCTCAGGCTTAAACACCCTACAGGCATTCACTCTGCTTGCTCTGTTCATTTATTCTACTGCCTGGTCTTAAAAAGAGAAGCCAGAAAAGATGGAGCAATCGTGCTGTCTTCTGTTAGCTGACAATGTGATGATGTCTGGTTTTTATTAAATATTACACGAAAATTACTATGATAGAAATTAAAGGATAGGGATTTTATAACATAAATATTCTACAAGAAAAGAATACAAGATGAACTGAAAAATTTAATATTAATAGCTTTAGGACATATGAATGCATTTAACCAAGTGCTTCTGGATACATCAAACAATAATTTAAGATAAACATACTTGAAACATTTGTCTTATAGAAAGAATAATTTAGATTCTTGATAATATTACGGATTCCTTTTTAAAAACGGATAAATTAGGGGCGCCTGGGTGGCTCATTCAGTAAGCATCTGACTTTAGCTCAGGTCATGATCTCGTGGGGTCATGAGTTCAAGCCCCGCATGGGGCTTTCTGCTGACAGCTCAGGGCCTGGAGCCTGCTTCAGATTCTGAGTCTCCCTCTCTCTCTGCTCCTCCCTCACTCACACTCTGTCTCTCTCTCAAAAGTAAATAAACATTAAAAAAATTAAAAAAAAACTTGGATAAATTAGAACACTAATTTCAAATGCAATGCCAATAAAGTGTTTCTAAACGTTTAAAATTAGATTAGTGGGGCTTAAAATTAGCAGAAAGATCTTTTAGTTTCTCCTCTCTGCTTCTTGGGCAAATCATTATCAGTCATGTTTTTTGTTTTTCATTTTGTAGTCTGGTGACTTCCACTTTTGACTAGCGTCTCTGTCCTTGTGTAATGTCAGATTCACTTTAATTTCCTTTTTATCACTCACAGTTTTATCACTAATGTATAAAGCTTCAAGAATGCACATGTGACTATCAACCTTTTTTCTCTCATAAATGCCTGAAACACTTTCTAAAGCTATAACAAGACTCTAAGTTATTCTTCAGATTAAAGACTGCTTTAAAAAATGTAATTGTTTTCTCTCAAGTCTTTTTTAAAACCACAAAAATATGTAACCCATTTAAATCACAAACATTTCAAGTGACACCTGTTTCTGATTTGTTCCCATTATTTTCCACTCTCTGAAGCACAACTGAAAGTTGAAAAATGTTTTGAACTGAATGAGTGGTGAGGGCATTTAAAGAACAAACTGCCATAATTTAGAAAAAAAGAAAAATTCTCTCATGAGAATATGATACAATATAACACTTAAAAATCTGGCTAACAGGTTTTGTAATTTGGTTGGTTATTCCAAATGCTTTCGTATCTACTCTGCTTCCTTCCTTGGTGCCTGGCACACTCACAGGAAGTGCAGTGTTAATGTTGGGCATTGCCACTTCTTCAGAGGTTCTTGGGGTGACAACCTGGGGAGGGTTATAAAACACGGACAGTTGTAAATGCTCTCACCTTACCCTGATGCTACAGTACAATGACCCTGGTATTCAAAGCATCATAGGAGAGACAAAGGCCCATTCTAGACATTATGAGATCTGTGATCAAGTCCTACCCTTGTTCTTGATTATTCTAGGATATTAATGCTCATGTAATCACTCTGAGAATTTATTATCTGTGGAATGGGTACAAATTATTGCCCTTGACATATCTGTACTGTTGGTTAAAATGAGTTAATACTTTGGAAAAACATGGCTATAATGTAATATATTATTCTCGTACTTCAAACCTCAGTAGAAAGTTCTGCATAGGGTTTTAAATAAATGTTTGTGACAGATGGCTGGGAGCGAAGGTTATTACGGTGTTCACTTTCCTTTTCCAGTCTACATGATCCAGTGGGGGATATCAGGGAGGGAATGGGTGAATGGGTGAGGGAGGGGTTAGAGCTCATGGAACTGAGGTGGCCCCATCATACATCCAGCTCTTGTTTCCTGGAACACACTTTCCGTGACTTGAAATCCTAGCAAGTCTTGTGAATCTCACACAGAGGGAAAATGTAATCTAAATTTGACTGGTACTGATAAGCACTCCTTTGGAGATTTTATTTGTTGTACTTTAGCAAAGGATACAGTTTGTATATAACAGAAATTAATATAATTCAGAGGCTTGTTAAGACCTATATACTACTTCTGATTTTGTCCACAAAATTGAGGGGGTTTCTTGACGTAGGTTCTTATTTCTTTTTGATCTAAGTTTGCATTGCAACATAATATATCTCATTAAAGCAAAATGCTTTACATATTTTTGTGTAAAGAGGGTAATATTGAGATTGATAGTTTTTTTTTCCTTTCTACCATCACTACACATTGTCCCAAACTCCGTTATAGTACCTATAACCCTGTATATTATGTTTTTATTAACATGTCTGTTTCCATTGGACTAAGATATTAAAGGGAAGAGATTATTTTATTCATTTGCAGATGCACCTTTTGCATTCTGCACTGCCAGTTCATGATTGTGCCACATCATTTGTAGACTCAAAGAATAGATTGCTTAGTTGACCACCCACTGTTTGCCAAGACAAAAAATAGTGCCTAATACTGGAGTAAAATTTATCAAGGTCTCTTCCTATTTCCTCTTCCATCTTGGCTGAACTTTGAAAAGACATTTGAAGAGGTTTATTTCCACTTATTTTTAAAAATATATAACATGAACTGGTTTAGGCATTCTTGCTCCTTCTATAAGACTGAACCAGTACTGATTCTCAACAATTTTCCTTTGCCTACTTGCTCTCTTACTGGTTCTCCTACTTGCAAAGGCAATGTTTAAAAATAAATATGACCAAGGGGAATGAGAAGGAAGAGGAAGCAACTAGGAGAATATTTAAAAAAAAAAAAGAAAGAAAACATTATTTTCTCACACTCTCCTACACCGGCTCTAAGTCAAGTCGCAGCAATGAACAGCCCAACTTTTTCTTACCTTGACAGGTCTTTCCATTGAGCGTAAGCTGATAGCCAGGTGGACAGATACACTGATAGCTTCCAAAGGTATTTTTACATTCGTGCTGGCAAGTGTCTCGGTTTTCACATTCATCAATATCTACGCAGAAAGAAAGCAGGGTGTACAACCATGCATAACAAAGGCAGAAACTTGACAGAACCAATTATACACAAGTTGTGGATATACAATAGAAAAACTTCTATTTTTTACAACTCATGGGATTTAACATGCTCAGAGCTGTTTTATATCAGGATCTGTTTTTAATGGAGTCCAATATCAATTGTACTATTTCATAAAATATGAACATCTCTTCTGTGTGTAAGTATATATGAGCTGAAGCCCCAAACTGGCCAATTTCTATATTTCTATATTAGGAATGGCAGATGAAACAGATTTGTACAAGATCCTAAACCACCAAAGTACTAAAGTCTTGACTTTATACTAGGTCTTTATACCCTTCATACTCTTTATAAAGTACGTAAAGTATACCCTTTATACCCTTTATACTAGGGTTTACTTAAAAGACGAATTTTCTATTGGTGTTAACTAGAACAAGGAATGTTTGTTTTTATTTAAACTTTAGTCTCCTGTCTCTCCCTGCACCTGCCCCCAACATCCATGCGTCACTTTCCCGTATAGAGATAGCAAGTGGAAGTGTTAATTTTGTGATAAGCATATTCATCACACTTCATGCAATTATAAAGTACTAATGGCAACTACATATCTATGGTTGCTATGACACCTTGAGCCCACTTTACTCCTCAAAACTTCAGTCAATTCTTTTGTCAAAAGTAATCACTGATGCAGATTTGTTGGAAGGTTCATATACGACAATAAAGGGAAAGCATTTTATATTAAACAACTACTTATCTGCTATTATTAAACAAAGCCAAGAAAGCAGCAATAAAAAGGAGAGTGAGAATGGGTGATAAAAATTAATTGCTATTTGCTTTCAGGATAGGAGATGTTATTTGGGAGGCCTCAGATTCCTTATCGCAACTGTGTTTTGCTTAATGTTAGAATTTTTCATAGTTGCACCAACCAGTGGAAGAATGAAGAGAGAACATGATGTGAAATGGCAGCAGGAGTGCTGTCGGGTGGAAGTAAAGAGGAGATGAAAACTGGGAGGTGACACAGAGCAAAGGGATGTGTTCATTGTACATGTTTCACATATGCTCAGAATGTAACTGCAATGATTCAAAATCTGTTAACGATAAACACTCATCAAATAGTTGTTAATGGTTTTGCCCCATTTTAGTTAACCAAAGCATTTATTCCACAACTTGTGTGAGTTATTTTTACTTTTTCCCTTTATAATCTGCTTCAACCTAAAATAATCACAGAAATGTAAACGATGAGGAAATCCAAGAAGTCAATATCGCTCTTGCCAGAGTATGAATTTTAAAGTGGCCCCAAGTGTAATTTCTGCATTCAGAGGCAGCGCAGTGTTCATTTCTCCTGTTAAGCTTTGGAATCATTCCCTCAAAAAGCTAACTTTTAGCCCAAGTCAAACAAGATTGCATAGTGTTAATTTGAATCTTCTGTAAGATAGACATATCCCAGATGGTTAATTAAAGGCATTTGGTGTTAATTGCAGCTTGCTCGTAACATAATTCCAAAGCTGTCTGCAATCTTAGCGTAAATTTCTTTATTAGTATGAACACTATAAAATACTCATCCTATTTTAAGAAATAGTTCTAAATGTCTATTAACTGCCCCCAAACAAAACTTAAACATCCAGTAATTGATGAGTTTTGGAAGTTTACTTCAAATTCTCCATGAATGGTTCTCTGAAATAGTAGCTGCCTCAAACAGCCAATGGTTTGGGGAAGATAATTCTTATAAATATAATATTAGTGTAATATAAACACAAAGACACAGAAAACATTTATGAGGGGCGCCTGGGTGGCTCAGTCGGTTAAGCGTCTGACTTCAGCTCAGGTCATGATCTCACAGTCCGTGAATTGAGCCCCATGTCGGGCTCTGTGCTGCCAGCTCAGAGCCTGGAGCCTGCTTTGGATTCTGTGTCTCCTTCTCTCTCTGCACCTCCCCTGCTCATGCTCTGTCTCTGTCTCAAAAATAAATAAAAACATTTTAAAAAAAGGAAAAAAAAGAAAGAAAACATTTATGAGACTCTACTATGAAACTGCAGGGCTTAGATAATGATGAAAAAATGGAGGATGTAATCAGAGATGCCTTCTTAAAATGACTGGGACCTTCAGATGACTTAAAAGAAATCAACTAGATGGAGTATGGTGTGGGGGTGTAGTTTAATTCATGTGGCACACCATAAACAAGGGTGTTGGACAGGAAGGTAAAGGTAGAAGAGAAGAAGAGCTTCTCTAAGGTGAAGTCAGAGAGTGGGATGACAATTGGAGATGAAACCTTTTAGTGGGAATGACTATTTGGAAGAAACTTTGAAAGACAACATGTCAAATTTTAATTCTGTCAATCAAAAAAAATGGTGAAAAGTTCTCACCAACAAAGAGTCAAGTCAAAATTGTGGGCATGAAACACTACCAATACTCAGAATGGTTTGGAGCAAGCTGAGAGTGGTATTTGATATCCTTGCAAGGATTGTGGAGTCCACAGGGTCAGTAATTACGTAGTGTTTGAGCATATAAACTAAATGTTGAGAATTGGTAATGAATGCATTAATGTTTGAAGTTCAAGGAATAAAAGACACTAGCACTGCCCTTAGTTTTACTTTTTTCTAGGACACTGATCACAGGGAGAAGATTCCATGTGCATCATATTACCTTTCAGATACATCAGGACATCTAGACAAAAGTTCTGGAGAAAACCGGACTTAAAGAGAAAAGTTTAAAGTTTAAGTATCCAAGAGGGTCATAGGGTCCAGGTGGGTCCACAGAAGAGTGACTGAGAAAGCACATCTGAGAAGACAATGATGTAGGAACAGAGCTTGGAGAGTAGAAAAAGAAATGGCAAAAATTGAAGTCAATTTTTTAATGTTTTAAGAAATGTGTAACAGAAAGTATATTTAGGAGAGAATAAGTGAAGTGTAGAATACTTAAGAAAAGTGCAAGAAAATGAAGTTGGCCTGTGGGGTCTTTAAATTGAAACAAAAGTTCTTTCTTACCGCCCTCCTCCCTTTCTTCCTAGCTTTCTTTTGTCATCTAACAAATAGTGGGGCTAATTTGTGTTTGCTAATTTCTCTTGGCACATAGTTCAATGGCATGCAAACTGTGGACACTCACAGATAATTGAATTAAATGAATGACAGATGGCAATGTTTGCAAATTAACTGAAAACAAAGTCTCAATTCTTGAGTTGGAAATTACACTTTACTTTTGCAAAGAAATTAAACTGTAGACTTGTGAGTTTAGATAAAGATATTGAAAGCACATATTTTAGAGCAATGAAAGCAACGTAGTTTTGTCCTGGCTCACATTATCTTTTCAGTGACTTCCATATATACAAAATAATCAAACTGAGAAATTCCACGGGGGTGGATGGGGGTGGGTGTGGGACAACAGTCAACACAGTGTTGGTTGTCACATAGAACGAGCAGTTGACTGAGTAGCTGAAAGTTTCACTTTTAACCCACTGCTTTGGCATCAACCAGATATAGCCATAAACTGATGGTATTATATTATGTGGCAATATGCATATTCTCTTTTAAAAAATATATTCTAGGTGTCACTGAAATTTATTTCTACACAGCATTAAATTTAGCAACACTTTCAGGAGTTGATCAAAAGAGAGAAACTGCCAATATAAAACAATCATCAGAATGCACACATGTAAATGCATCATTTACTTGAATAAAGTTTGTAATAGTTGTAATAGTTGGAACTTTGAGTCATCCCAGATTTGAGATCAGATGTAGTTCACTGCACCCAAAATACCACAGGTGCTGTGCATATGCTTAGACTCTGGTCCATACGTGAGCCCACAGAAAGGAAATGCAATATGGCTGACATTTACCTACACATGTGTCACGGCTCGCCTCAGAGCCTTCAGGACAAGTTTTCCTAATAGTCCTTCTAGTCCTGGAGAGAGATGTTCTGCTGTTTCTATACTCCGAGTAGGAGCTGTAGAGATGTGAGTACTGTCTGTAATGCTGTTGAGGTTGATAGTTGTTTCTCACAGGGGAGAACCGTGCAAGGTTATAGCTATTGTATTGGGTGCCATAGTTAGGCAGCCTTTCCAATCCGGCGCAAGATTTCCCGTCCCCTAATAAATGTTGACCTGTTGGACAGATACACTTGAAGCTGCCGGGGGTGTTGGAGCACTGATATGCACAAGGCTTAGGCACTTGTTCACATTCATTAATGTCTGCTCGTGTGCCATGATACATAAAAAAGAGAAAAAAAAAACACATATACATACACAACACAGGAATAAAGAATCAGTCTCTGAAACAAACTGAAGACATTACGTTACCCTCCAAAGCTACAAATATAGTAATTTCTCAATTGTTGAGAACTTTAGAGAAAGCGTTCATCATTTATTTAGGAATATACAGAAAGGTTCTAAGGCTCTTCCTAAAGATTGCTTCACATATACAGTAGAAACCTAAAGGATCATATGGGAAAATGTGGTGTTTCCAGAAAAACTAGAGTTCAAAGTTAACACAGATCTTAATTCTGTTGGTGGAGGAAAGGACTCAATCACATTTCTAGTTTGCATTTTGTTGTAACATTCTTTAATCTTTCATACAATTACAAGTTTCAGATGTGGTAATATTGATATAACTACTAACATTTTTCTTTTGTTTCTTTTGAATCAATATTATTTAATAATCAAGCCAAGCACATTTTTTTATAAAAATTTAAAAAGGAGATTAAGACAGAATTATTTCTTAATAAGATATAAATTCACAAATCCATAAAAAATTTTTTAAAAAGTTACTTTTCTTCCTATTCTTGGGTCAACACATAGTAAACCCTCCCAACTTTTCCTGTAAATTGGAAAAGCAAATGAAAACCAGAGAACAAAACCAACTTCTTTAATTCATTACCACAGTGGCATGAAAGAAAGTAACACGAATAAGCAGAATAAAAGTAGTATATTTTACTTTAAAATTATTTTAGTAGGCAAAAGTTAAAATTACCATTTTTAAACTCTTTAAGGGAATGGCCCTACCTTCTTCATTGGTTTATTCCCCAGTCCAATGCCTGACATTCAACTTCAGATCAAATTAATGAACAAATAAACATATTTCATTCTGCTAGGTCACTGTTATGACTATCCAAGATGTTAAATTACAATATCTAAACAGAAGACTAAAATGATATGTTATGTACTTCTGCTATTAACAAGCATTTATTTTAAAAACGTTTCTAGTAATTGTATTACTTTCAACATTTGCTCTGTGCAAAGTACTATGCTAGTGACTGCATAAAGACAGGACAAAGTCTTTATGGGAGAATTTGCTATAAAAAATTGTTACGTAGACAACCAAGGCAACCAATTTTAAAAGTGTAGTATGGCCCACAGGAAGCCAGTAGTTAAAGCCCACACAATTTTTTTGCACTTAAATATTCCAAGAGGAACATAATTTCATAGGTCAGTTTCTTGATTATAAGTGCATTAATTAAAAAGAATCATATGGTTACCTTCTTACAGATATCTTCTATTGTCTGTTACCTGCCTTATTTATATTCAATCATAACTAAGATGGAAACAAACAGGCCACTGGGAGAACTGAGTGAGATTTTTAGCATAGGGGCACATAGTAGGCACTAAATATCTGGTAAAGTAATAGTTATCAACTCACTTAAATTGCATATTCACATCTTAATTCCTCATGCCTAAACCTTCATATTGCATTCAAGTACGCTTCATATTCAAATAGAATGTATCTGTGCAAAAAATGTATATAGAGAGATAACCAAAGAGAGACAATCTTCATGGTGAAGTTGCCGCAATAACTACAAAGGAACCTCACTCTGACACGTGTAGCATATAGTAAGCACTCTGTAAATGGCTATTATTATCACTTTAAATGTCAGTGTAAATTGCATTCAATATGGAATCTTTAAGAAGTAATTAAAAATGTTATTAATTACTTAAACTAACTTACAAATTTTCTAATTGTCCCAAGAAAGCTTTTGAGGGTAGAGAGTGATCCTAATCCAGTTGGTAAGGCTAAGTGATTCTGTTAGTAGCTTTATTACTCAGTAAGAGTTCCTGTTGACTTACCCATACAGGGTCTCCCAACTCCTTGAGACCGGAAACCTCTGGGACACACACAGCGATAGCTGCCTCTTGTATTCTCACATATCTGGTTATATCTGCACTGATGGGTCCCATCTTTACATTCATCAATATCTACAGACATAAGACAATAAAAAGTAATAACATATCCTCTTTCAAAACCTAACGTCATTATATTTGAAATGAACATTCTTTAGAACTATCAAAGGTTGCATTTCTCACCATGTAGCTGAGACTGGGATTCAAGTTCTACTCTGCCCCTTGTTGTTCCTTTTCCTTCTCTTGCTCCCTACTATGGCAAGAATTTTACTTTCAGCTTTTTATCCCTTTTCTCTCTATGTTCTCCACCTCTGACTGTCTTATTTATACTAGTGACTCTAGTAAGCTCATGGATGTAGACTTACAGCAATAGTACTATGTTGTTTCTTATCTACAGCCCCATGTTTCTAGCTGCTGGCTGGTCCTCTCCATGTCCATCCTTTACCAGTACTTCAAACTCCACATGTCCTCAGTGTCTTATCATTCCTCTCTTCTTTATGATAACAGCATTCTTCTTTCCTCAGTCAACCAGACTAATCTATAACTAACTCCCTCGGTTTCCAAGATTGGGTAATTCTACTTCCTTCAGTCAACCCCTTAAATCTCCATTTCCATTTCCACTTAGCTATATTTTTGCTGTAGCTTTGTTTTTTGTAAGTATTAATTTGTTTTGAGAGAGACAGAGACAGTGTGAGTCAGGGAGGGGCAGAGATAGGGGGAGACAGAGAATCCCAAGCAGGCTCCGCACTGCCAGTGCAGAGCCTGACAAGGGGCTCAAACCCACGAAACCATGAGATCATGACCTGAGCTGAAATCAAGAGCCAGATGCTTATTGACCTAGGCAGCCCTTTGCTGTAGGTTCTTAAATAATCTTCTGATCTTTTGGCTCAGTTCATCTCAGATTACTCTTATACATAATTAGAGTCAATAGTCTTTTTTTTATTAATTTTTTTAATGTTTATTTATTTTTGAGAGAGAGACAGAGTGTGAGTTGGGGAGGGGCAGAGAGAGAGGGAGACACAGAATCCAAAGCAGGCTCCAGGCTCTGAGCTGTCAGCACAGAGCCTGATGCGGGGCTCGAACCCACAAACTGTGAGATCATGACCTGAGCTGAAGTTGGACACATAACCGACTGAGCCACCCAGGCACCCCAAGAGTCAATACTCTTAAAAATACTTTAAATCACACATAACTGCACATGATGCTCTGAGTTGGCTACTATTCTTAGGAGTTAAAAAATATTTACCTATATCCATACTGCTGGAAAGTCTTTGAAATCTGATAGCCCAACCCCACCCCCAGTTTTTTTTTAAGTATACTAAGCCCCCATGTACCTCAACAAGTAACAAGTGGTCAGTATTCCTTCATTTATATCTATACCCTCCTCTCACTGTTATGTTATTTTGAGAAAAATCAGGATATATTGTAACTTTTTAAATAAATATTTCAGAGTGAAAACTTTTTTTTAACAATTCTTTTTATTTATGTTATTTTTAAATGTTTATTTTTGAGAGAGAGAGAGAGAGAGAGAGAGATCAAGTGCGAGCGGGTGAGGGGCAGAGAGAGAGAGAGAGGGACAGGGTATCCGAAGAGGGTTCTGCACTGACAGTAGAGAACCAGATGTGGGGCTTGACCTCACAAACCATGAGATAATGACCTGGAGCCAAAGTCAGATGCTTAACTGACTGAGATATCTGGGTGCCCCTTAACAATTCTTTTAAAGTCTTTTGTGTGTGTGTGTGTGTGTGTGTGTGTGTGAGAGAGAGAGAGAGGGGGGGGGAGGGGCAGAAGGCAAGGGAGAGAGAATCTTAAGCAGGCTCCATGCCCAGTGTGGAGCCCCACATGGGGGCTCCACCTCAGGACTAGGACTATTAGATCATGACCTGAGTTGAAATCAAGGGTTGGACGCTTAATCGACTAAGCCGACCAGGTGCCCCTGAACTTTTATTGTTTTAAAGTTTTATTTATTTATTTTGAGAGAGAGAGGGGGAGAGAGAGAATCCCAAGCAGGCTCTGCACTGTCAGCGCAGAGCCTGACATGGGGCCCAAACCCATGAAACTGTGAGATCATGACCTGAGCTGAAACCAAGAGTCAGATGCTTAACTGACTGAGCCATGAACATTTTTTTAAAGTCTCACTTTTAAAATGAGAAACTTACACTCAAATTTCTTTGCAATCTTAAGACTTGTGCAAAGTCAGATAGGAAGGAAGGATGATTTTTAAACTGTTTACTTTAAGTCCAGCTCTCTCTCCCTCATAAGGGACTGTCTTTCCTTTTTGCACAACCTCCACCTATTACCATTCCATTCAAGGCTCTCTTTAAATGTGATCATTTCCATGACATCTCATATCAGATATGATCACTCTTCCAACTATTCTTCTACAATTTTATTTGTACCTCTTTTAAGGCATTTCATTCCCTCTTGTAGTATTTTTTTTTTTCTTTTGGTGAGGAAAGTGGAATTGGTCACTCTAATTAAGTAGACTGTAAGGACATGAGAGCAGGAACGCAATGTTTCATTTTGTAAGTGATGCCGCTTATAGTTCTACAAATTAAGGCAGAAAGAATAGAGAACATAATTTATTTTATTGTCTAGTCATTGACTTGACACTGAAGAATATTCAGTCCTAAGATAAAACGTTTTGAACTTTTAACAAATCTGTATAAGCTTTTCTTAACCACCTGTGAAATTCTAAACATATATACTAAATTTCATAGTAGACATGTGAGATAATATGAATTTATGTGGCTATTAAACTGTGTAAGCCAAATGTGTAATTGATGGGAGCTCAAAATGGTAATGAGTCTCCATGGGGAGCTTCCGTTTCTTGGTATAGTTATGAGCCTGGGACCCCAGAGCTCAACCATACTAGAAGTTGAGAGTAAAAAATCTGTGAGAAAAAGTGAGCATGAGCAAGGGAGGGGCAGAAAGAGAGGGACAGAGAGGATCCCAAGCAGGCTCCACGCTGTCAGCAAAGAACCTGAAGCGGGGCTTGAACTCACGAATCGTGAGATCATGACATATCATGGCCTGAGCCTAAACCAAGAGTCAGATGCTTAACCAACTGAGCCACCGAGGCACCCCTACTTAATCATTAGTTAAAAAATGGATGCCTTATTTGGCTGGTCAGTGGCAAACATATCTCAGTCATCGAAACAGCCATACACTCACCAATGCAGGTTCCATTTTCTGCCTTGGTCATTCCGTTTGGACAAAGATCAATGCACTTATAGCCCCCACGGGTGTTCTTGCAGTGTTGATCTGGTCTGCATACATTTTGTCTGCATTCATTCACATCTTGATAAAAGAACAAAGGTAATGAAGATTGAGAAATTTCTTTTCCACAGAAATCATACCTTTGGATTTTAAGGCGAAAGATGTTGATTACATAATCACTGTGTAAGATTAAAGTGTTTAAATCCATGAGGGTAAATAACACTATTTTAAAACAGAATGATTAAAAAAATTAATTCACATAGCTAGTAGCCATACCAACGAGTTCCTCCTTTTAGAAAAACAAACAAATAAATATCTTTATGGATGTAACCATAAATATTATGCTTCTGTGAAAAAAATTAGTAAACACAATAGGGAACTGTTAAAAAATGGTTATGTAGCCAGAAAATGAAACCTGTAAAAAATAGCATTTGCTTTCATTTTGTTTATGCATGCGTTGCGTACATGACGGATGGAGGTATCTTACATATGAATTCAGCCCAGGACACAGCAAAGGGATTAGATCAAATATCTTTAGAAATTACAAAGATGTCATTGCTTTGAATTTAAAGCCCTTTTCATACCTATACATTTTCTGCCTTTGAGCTGATACCCAGGTTCACATCCACAGTGAAAACTTCCAATGGCATTGAAACAGCGGTGGTGACAGGGGCTGGATTCTTGACATTCATTAATATCTGTTAAATAAAACAAAACTTTCATTATATGCTATTAGGAAACTTGGATTAATTTATTTCAAATGTTAAACATTTTAATGATATCATTATCATGTTTAAGATCTTCCCTGAAACGAATCCAATACAATTGCTCTCAAATCTAATACAATTGCTCTCATATGATCTGCTAGATAATTGACAGGATTAACTTCTGGAGAACATATCTCTCAATACTCCTCAAAGGTAGACATTTGCTAGTGACTCCAAACTATGTGGATGCAACACTTCCTTACTTTATTTTACCAGATGGCTCCCATTTCTGTTTCTAGGAATGTTGCTGACAGACTAGAACACTGAAGATGGTGGGGGAGTCAAAGTCTTCTGCAGTATCTTTTGCAATTGACTTTCCTTCCCCAGATTTGCTGCTGTCAGCCCAATGCAGGTCTTTACCACTAAAAGCAGCAACTTTGGCATTTGTCAGTGTCCACAGTCATCACCAAATTAATCTTCCCAAATGCCATCTGGGGCATAGTAGAATAAAAAAAAAAAATGTGCAGGCACAAATCCCCCAAATTTGTGTGCATTTGCCTGTTTTATGTACCTTTTCCCCTCTCCTTCCTTCTAGTCCCAGAGGAAAAGAGACCTCTTCTCCCATGTAAGAAAAGTTTCTCTGCTTGAGTGTTCGAGCTCTGAGGCCATCTCCTCCATCCTCACCAAGATGAGGATTGTGGTCCATCCATCATTCCCTCCTTGTGTGCATTTTTAAAGTTCTTCCTCCTTACTGTCATCTTTCCCATACCCCTATGGACATAACCCAGTCTCTCCTACCATAATCCCTCTCTCAGGTCTGTCTGCATCTCAATTTCTTTCTACTTCTCTGTTTTTCTATCCCAAATCCTTCAAAGGAACAATCACCATACTTAGGCTTTTCATATCCCCACCTTACATTCCCAAACTCAAGATTGCCTATGTTTTATTTTGTACTTGTCTTCCATTTGAACTCTTTTATTTATATTTTTTATTTTGAAATTTCTTTTCTTCTTAAAGTTTTTAAGTTTTAGTTACTTAACATATTGTGTAATATTAGTTTCAGGTGTATGAGCTCTTTTAATCTTTCAAAATCTGCATGTTACTATAAATGCACAAAGTCATCATATACTTTAAAAATGCTTTCTTAGTGTAGTTTTTTTCTTCTTTTTTCTGCTTGGCTTCCTTTATCTTTTTTACCTTCCTTGTCTACCAAAGTCAACCTGCATTAACAATCTAGTATAAATAATAACATGTCTCTTGTATGTACAAATGCATAACTCTAAAAATATAAATCCATTTCCTTTATCTTTGGTTATTGCTTCGTTTCTACACAAGTTATGTATAGTTTTCTACATCTTGGTGTTTTTACTCGACAATACCTCATGAAAATTCCTCTAAGCCTAATAGTTGAACTGCATTCCACTCTATAATGGCCGTACAATGGTTCCTGGTATGGACATACCATAATTCAATCACTTTTGTAGTATTGTTAGGCATTCAGTTTTGTATCCGCTATTTCTGTCTCTATGAAAAGACCCTGACAGCAGCTTTATTCATAATTGTTAAACCTTGGAAGCACCAGGATGTCCTTCAGTAGCTGTATGGATAAATAAACTATAGTACATTAATAAAATGGAATATTATTCAACACTAAAAAGAAAAGAACTATCAACTCATGAAAAGACATAAAACTAAAATGCATATTATTAAGTGAAAAAGGTTAATTTGGAAAGGCTATATGCTATGTGATTCCAACCATATGATATTCTGGAAAACATAATACTGTGGAGATAATAAAAAAGATCAGTGGCTTGCCAGAGGCTTGGGGGGAAGTGAGGGATGAATAGGCAAAGCATTGAGGATTTTTAGGGCAAACTATTCCTTATGATACTATGATACAGGATACATGTTATTATTTGTCAAAATCCATAGAGTATACAACACCAAGAGTGAATCCTAATGTAAATAAAGAACTTTGGGTCATAATGATGTGTTGATGTGGGTTCATCCTTGGTAAAAATTTTGCTACTCTAGGGCAGGATGTTGATAGTGGGGGGTGCTATGCATGAGTTGGGGTGGGGAGTATATGCGAAATCTACCTTCCACTCCATTTTTCTGTAAATCTAAAACTTCTCTAAAAAATAAAGTCTATTAAAAACATCCTGCAATAAATATCTGATAGTCTTATGTGGTGGGGTCTTATGAAATAGAGCCTCTTAGATCATGCTATATAATCTCTTCTCTCAAATATAATAGGCAAATGTTATTATTCAAAACTATTGTGCTACAAATATTTAAAATAGCCATGGAATATTACATCTAAAATCTTATCAAGAAGCACAATCTATAAAGCAGAGTATCCTTTAAATGATTCAAAAGGCAGAGAGTCTTAATTCTTAGTATAATGAAGATAAAGCAAGGGATTCCATTTTTATACCTTGGCAACTCAGCCCATCAGAAGTTCTTCGAAAGCCAATTCCACAACGGACCACACAGCGATAGGATCCAATGGTATTGTCACAGTCCTGACCAGCATGGCAGGCATGTCCACCTAAAGCACACTCATCGATATCTGCAATGAAGTGAGTCATTCAACTAAGATGAGTTGAAGAAAACCAACCCAAAAACCTATATAAAATGGGGTTAAGAAAAGCCATAAATGATACTTGAAAATGTACCAGAGCAAGAATGCTGAATAATTTGGTTGAGTCCTTTCAGGTGGATTAAATTGATGATGCGTTCATAGGAGTTTAGTGTGATATCTTTGCAGACTAACTCATCCATTAGACCACTGACAAATTAGGTGGCTTTAAAAACATTACTTCTCCTTTCTGATATTTCAGTTTTCTCATTTATAAAATGAGGATAATATCTGTCTGTCAGTGTTGCTTTGAAAATTAAAGGAAATCATGTATATAGGTGCTCAATCTACACCGGACATTTCCATAAAAGTTATTTTTATCCCATCCTACACCCTTTCTCTCTCTTTGGCATTTAGAAGGGCGTTTCCTTGGACATAAAGGGAGTAATCCTTTTCTGTTTTCATCATTTAAAATTTTATTTATAAATAAGCTTCTTATACAATTCTAACTTTGACGTATATTTAGAGTCTGATAGAAAAGTACTTTCTGGGGTGAGGGGATGGGCAAAATGGGTGAAGGGGAGTGGGAGATACAGGCTTTCAGTTACAGGATAAGTCATGGGACTAAAAGGCACAGCATGAGAAACACAGTCGATGATATTGTAATAGTGATGCACTGGGACAGATGCTAGCTATACTTGTGGTGAACATAGCACAGAGTATAAATTTGTCAAATCGCTAAGTTATATACCTGTAGATAATGTAACATTGTGTGTCAACAATACTGAAAAAGAAAGTTTTTTTTTTTCAATGTTCTTAACGTGCTACTAGGATTGTGCAATTTACTTAAATTCCTTATGTAACTTTATTTCTTAGTTTCGTCATTGTAAAATGAGTATCTCCACAAGGTGTTGTGGGGATTAAGTGAGTTACTACCGGCTTCCCTGCTTGTACAGTGCCCCACATGAAGGCAGTGTGTGAGCAGTATTCTGTCTGTTCCTCTCTCAACCTGAGAGAAGATCTTCTGTGTTTATTGCCAACATGGAGGAGGAAAGAGTAGGAAAGAACACTGGCCTGCCACACTTTTCCTAGGTCAGAGCTCTCTGTGACCATGCTTGGCTGTATCTATTAGGCTTAGCTTTGTGAATACCTTGACAAGTCCTTCCGTCGGCAGCTATGGTGAGGCCTTTTGAGCAGGAGCAATGATAGGTTCCCACGGTGTTGTGGCAGATATGGGAGCAGGGATTCCCGGCCGCACATTCATCTTCATCTGAAACAAGGAATAAAAAGGCCCGATTGGTCTGTAAACCCCCTACTTACTAGAAGTTAGTAAAGTCCATGAAGGTAGTTTGTAAAATAGTTGCTTACAGAGCACAGTGAGTTGAATCAAACCTAACAGAAAATGCTCTAGGTGCCGCAGAATAGAAGCATGAAATAAATTAATTTTGGGTCCCCAAATAATCTTTGATAGTGAAGATGTTTAGATTAATTCTAAAACAACAGGGATGATAGCTAAGATATAATGACTATATCCTGGGATCTAAATGCTTTTTTACCTACCTTAACGCATCCCTCACAACATGCCTAGGAGACAGATGCTTTTATTACTATCCTCATTTTGTAGGATAAAATTGAGGAACAAAGAGGTTAAATAAATTGCCCAAGGTCACACAGGTCATTACTGGCAGAGCTGAAATTTGAACCTGGACAATACAGTTTCTAAAGACCACTTGTCTACCACTATCCTACATTAAATTGCCTACCAGTGAAAGAAAGGCACTGTGTATGCAAACTTGAGCTCCTCCAGCTGTTTACTTAGCTATTTAGTTATCTGTGGCTCTCTTGTACTGGCACTTGATGGGGCTGGCTTAGTCATTAGTCCTTGGCCCACAGTCCTGCCCTTATCCTCTGAGCAGTTCTAGGGTTAGGTGGCTCAGAGTTGGATTATTATTATGTTTCACATCCATGGCCATCAAATGACAAGAGTCCAGTGTTTTGTTCCTGTGCTCACTTCATCTCTGTACTTGATCACGATCCCTGACACACTTGATTGTGGTCAGATTGAAAGAGTACGGGCTTTGCAGCTGCCTTAAATTCCAATCTAGCTCTGACACTTGATAGCTGGGTGGTCTTAGGCACCCCCACTTAACTTCTTTCCATCTCGATTTCCTCACTCATAAAATGGAACACTTGTAAGACTGTTGTGAAAATTACAAATCTAGCAAAATGGCAATAAGTGTCCATTAAACAGATTCCATTACTAATATTTTTTTATAAAAACAAAAATTCATTATTCCTGTTCTTACCAGCACAAAAGGGTCCAACTGAGTCTAAGGCAAACCCAGATGGGCACTGATTACTGCGATCTCCTACCACAGAGAGAAAAGGAAAATTAATGGCTTGTTAGAATGTCAGTACCTTGTTTCTTTCCAGTACAATCTTCCCTGGGAAGATATGCCAAAGATGGAACACATTGTGCAACAAATGCAATAGGTGAAAACAAGCAGGAATGGAAGACTTTTCCTGTTCCCAACTGAGAACTAAATGAATCACAGTCCAGAGATGATTGGCAAGCAGCCATTGGAAATAGATTTTCTGTTTAAATTTATTTACATTAATCAAAAGAAAATGAAGCCAAACCATTCTGTGATCATGCAAAAGGATCCAGAATCAATGTGTACATAATGTATAACCATAGACAAAGTCCTATTTATTCTTCTAGCCTTTACTTATGCTGCCTGTTCTAGAAGCAGGAACACTATTTTCAAGCCACTTAAAAATAACTTATGCCAGTGACAACCAGAAACTCGAATGAAGAACTTCTCTCCTTTTGTAGATCTCTTTCCTTTGCAGTGTAAATCATCTGGGTCAGAGTCCCCTATGTGTGACCAATTGTTTCCCATGCAGTCAAAGCAAGGGGAGACAGGCATATTATGACAAAAACAAACATAGTAACAAGAACAAATAAGCTAGTTAGGGAATCTTTCCTTAGAAAGTAACTCTGCCTTCACTGGTTTAAGCAATTTAGCAAATATTTTTCAAACATTATTGACATAAAGAAACTTAAACAAAACACCTTTCGAGTTACCAAAGTATTCCTTTTTTTAATTCTTTATGTTATAGTTAAAGTATGCTGTTTTGAATTATATTAGTTATGATTTCCTTTAGACAGAGTGGGGGGCAATACAAAATATTTGTTATTGCAATGTATAATAATTACAGAAACTTTGAAAAGTATAGATTTCCCTGTAAATTTGTCACTTGAAACAAACTACTGCCAACATTTTGATGTTTTTTCTTCTATAAGTATACACTTCAAAAAGTCAGGATCTTGCACTCTAGAGATTAATAATTGTCAAAGTTTATTGGTCATAAAATAGAGGTTATTAAAAATATAGATCCTTGGTCCTATCCCAGTCAGCCTAGGAAGCTCTGTTTTCAATCAGTATAAAAGTTTCCTTATAATCACTGTGGTGTGGGCAACCCAGGTTTAGATCATACTGTATGCTGCTTTTCAATTATTATTAGGCCATGCATACTCTTCTTTGTTTTATTGTCAATCCCCAAAACAGTAGGTGGTACACAGAAAGCACTGAACAAGTATTTTGAATAAATGAGCTAAATATTCCTTTAAAATTATTTTAATGACTGTTTAAGAGTTTATCATATAGCTGTGCCATCATTTACATATTTACCTCTTGCTTCCAGGATATTTATTATTGGCCATTTCTGTGATTTTCTTAGGGCAGACCCCCCCAGAATGAGATAACTACCAAGATCTGAATGTTTGAAAGGTTACTGATACATACTGCTTTCCAGAAACATCACATGAATTAACCACTGATTGCAGTATGTACTAGGGTGTTCATTTCCCCATACCTCTCTGATACTGAGTGGTTATCATATTTTTAAATCTCTGACAATGATAATTGGAAAATGGTACCTCATTGTTTTAGGTTATATTTCTTTGCTTATTAGTGAGGTTAGACAGTTTTTCACATTCATTTTGTCATTATTATTTCTTCCTTTGTGAATTTGCTGTTCATAGCTTTTATGTATTTTTTGTTGGGGTGTTGCTTTCTTTTAATTGATTTTTAACAATGCTTTTAATTCTTTTTAATTTTAAAAAAATTTTTAAAGGTTTATCATTTTTTTTGAGAGAGACAGAGACAGCACAAGTAGGGAAGGGGCAGAGAGAGAGGAAGAGAGAATCCCAAGCAGGCTCCATGCTGACAGTGTAGAACCTGGCGTGGGGCTCGAACTCACGAAACTGAGATCACGACCTGAGCCAAAACCAAGAGTTGGACACTTAACTGACTGAGCCACCCAGGCACTTCTATTTTTATTTATTTTTTTAAGCCAACTCTATGCCCACATGGGGCTTGAACTCACGACCCTGAGATCAAGAGTCGCATGCTCTACCCATTGAGTTAGCCAGGCACCCCTTCTTACTGACTTTTAAGAGCCTTGTATAAGATTAATCATAGTTATCTATAATACACAATGCAAATATTCTTTCTTGATATATATTTCACCTTCTCAATTTTGTTTTTTTCTCCCATGAAGAAGTGTTTAAAAATTTACTTGTAGTTAAACTGATCTTTCCTTTATTTTTTCTGATGCCTTTTGCTAATGAATTTGTAAAATATAAATATATTTTATAATTATATTTTAAAAACAAATTTTTTATTTTAAAGATATAACAATTTTTTAAAAATGTATTGATTTATATTTGTGAGTTGACTTGACCAGCAGTTTCCAAATGCTGATGTGCAGACCAGATACATTAGAATCATTTAATGCTGCGTTAAAAATACAGACTTCCAGGCCCTACCTTAGACTAGCTAAGCCAAAGTCTCTGTGCCTTGAGATCTGAACTTTCATGAAGCTCTCTAGGTAATTCTAACTGCATTGTAGCCAGAGCTCTTGTCTAGACCCAATACAGAAGAGAAAGAACTTGGTGGTTAAGCAACCAAGAATGCAAGCTTGCCCCCTGGTGGTCACTTATAAAGAAATTGCAAGCACATAATTCTTGTATTTCACAGGAACCTCAACAAATGTGCACAGATACCAGATGTAATTCATAGACTCATAGTAGCTAAAATAGTAAGGGGTTATAAATGTCCTATAGTGTGTCTTCTCCAATTGTGGAATCCAGATCCCCCAACTACAATGTTACAGATACCACAAAGACCTTTAAGCAGTTCAGGCTTAGAGAATTTACATGATTGGGCAACAAACGTACACGACTTTAAAAAATCATTTTAATTCCCTTTGTCCTGGATGGTGTAAGTTCATTTTTAACGAAAGTCTTACATCAAGTTGTCTTATTTTAATTATACTAAGTACTGGAAAAAGTAAAAACAGAGATTAGACTTGAAAAGTGGGCATTGAGGAAAAGAAACAGAAATCTTCATTCCAATGGCTCTTTTCTTTTGTCTCTGTGACCTGAACATGCACAACCATAGTAAAATGAGGTGGTGATGGCGACATGTGGGTGGTGTGGAGCTCTACTCGCTATAAGGCTTATGAATCTATGATTATCTCAAAAAATGTGAACATGTTCTCCTAGATTACTATGACCTCAAATTCAATGACAGTTCTGATAGCTGTTAATGAAGAAAATAGTCATATACACAAGTGGTGAAAGCAAGAGTAAGCTGCAAAAATGAATTTTTAGTGTATGGAGCATGATAAGACAAAATGATGCTACTTAAAATCTAATTGGATCTACTTAAGAAAGCCAGTACATAGCGAAGGCCAATATGAATTATATTAAGTGTACTCATAGGAGCCTAAAGTTCAAAGTTAAAGCCATTCAAACACTTAGTGTCCATAATAAAACCACATGCAAGTATCTCTTAGCATCAAAGCTTCATGGAACACAGAATGCTGATTGTTTGGATGTCTCTTACAACTAAACAGGGATCTCAGGGTAAAGACACATCAAAGAACTACACAGCATAGAGAGACCACTGAGATCAAGGGTTGTAGAATTATGCTTAGAAAATGAAAAGCAGTTGAAACATTATAATGTCCAGGAATAAGAAATGACAGTTGGAATCCTGATTATTTCTGCACAATTTTTAAAAACTGCTTTTAAAATATGGAAACTTTTTTTTATTAGTTTAGGTTGACATACACTTTTTAAAATAATTTAAATCCAAGTTAGTTAACATATAGTGTAATAATGATTTCAGGAATAGAATTTACTGATTCATCACTTACACACAACACCCACTGCTCATCCCAACAAGTGTCCTCCTTAATGACCATCACCCATTTAGCGCATCCCCTCACCCAACACCCCACCAGCAACCCTCAGTTTGTTCTCTGTACTTAAGATTCTCTTATGGTTTGTCTCCCTCTCTGTTCTTATCTTATTTTTGCTTCCCTTCTCCTGTGTTCATCTGTTTTGTTTCTTAAATTCCACATCTAAGATCATATGATATTTGTCTTTTTCTGACTGATTTTGCTTAGCATAATATACTCTAGTTCTATCCACATTGTTGCAAATGGCAAGATTTCATTCTTTTTAATCCCCAAGTAATATTCCATTGTGTGTGTGTATGTATGTATCTGTGTGTGTGTGTGTGTGTGTGTGTGTGTGTGTGTGTGTGTGTGTATGTATATCATACCACATCTTCTTTATCCATTCATCAGTTTATGGACATTTGGGCTCATTCCACTTTGGCTATGGTAGGTCAACATACACTTTTACATTGTTTCAGCAATTAAAAAAATTCCTTGACAAATACAAGAGTCAGAATAAGAACAATGGCCTGGCGCACCCAAAGAAAACCTCATTCTGCCAGAGGATATATTTTTAAACCTTTCTGCAGATTAGTAATCCAAATTAGAACTCCAGTGGGATTGGCTTTAAAATGGCTTTACCTACCACAAAACATAGACAACATACATGAAAATCTTATATCACTAGGTTTGGTCTGTGCCCTAATATCTTTATTGTGAATGGCATCGATGCAATTCTTTTACCCTTAAGTTATTAAATACATTTTTTTCCTAAGATTTTTAAAAAGTAATCTCTACACCCAACGTGGGGCTCAAACTCACAACCCCAAGATCAAGAGCTGCAGGCTACACCTACTGAGCCAGCCAGTTGCCCCCATTTTATTCTTTTAGAAAGGACTGGATGGAAAAATGATCTTTGACCAAGGTACCTTTGGAAATTGAAGCATGGATTTTAAAACCCAGTGTCTCTTCTAATTGGTTGTAGTCAGATTCTACAGAGGAAGCATGAAGTGTTTCTACCAAGAAAGGCATTCTTCCCTGTGCCTCATCATAGAAAACTGTGTGGTTCCATGTGTATGGGACGCTGATGCCATCAATGGTGAACAGCCGGGTTGAGTAGGCATACAGCTGCCCAGGACCTGTCTGAATGTAGTCCTCTGTGTAATCCTAAGGAAGACAGTATAGATTTGATGATCAGATCTTTTTTTCTTGAGGGTATTACGAGATGCACAATTAGAAAAATAAAGGCTAAGAGGCTAAAAATATAGCTTGAACAGCATGATTTGAGCTGCATGGGTCAATTTATATGATCTTTTAAAAATAAATACAGTACGGTACTATAAGTGTATTTTCTCTTCCTTGCAATTTAATAACATTTTCTGTTCTCTGGCTTACTTTATTGTAAGAAAACAGTATATAATACATATAACACAAAAAATATGTATAATTGACTGGTTATGATATGGGTGAGGCTTCTAGTCAACAGTAGGCTATTAGTAGTTAAGTTTTTAGAGTCAAAAGTCATACGTGATTTTTGACTGTCCAGGGAGTTGGCACCCTATATACCCCCATGTTGTTCAAGGGTCAACTATAGCTCTAAATAAAATACTACTTGTACAGTCATGTTCAGGAAACCAGTAAGACTGTGTAAAGACTTATTCCTAAAGATTTTTATACAAAGACAAACTAGCCATTACTAACCTTAGTGGTTTAGATATTTATTCCCTATAGCAAACAAGGGAAACTACACATGGTACCCATGTTTTTTTTTTTTCTATAGATCTTTGATTCCTAATCTTACCATTACTCCAATAAACAGTGAAGAGAGGTTATCCTGACATTTTTACCTTTACAGTGACTTCAGCAGGTGACTGAAGCTGCAGGACATAACCGCTCACAAAAATATCTAGGAGCAAAGCACCATCAGAATCCAAACCCCGGGCAATATGAGTCATCCGCAAGATTTCTCCTGGGAATTACAATTCATTCATTTTAACAGCAAAAAATATATGGTTTGTGTAAGCACACAGCAGACTTACCTTAAGTGTCAGTTCAGCTATGTTATTTTAGTTCAAACTTCATAAACAAAGGCAATAAAAGATTAAATTAGCACTCAGTCCCCGAATTAAAGTGTTAGGGTAATTGAATGGTATGTTCTAGAATTTCTTTTTCTGTGGCAAAAACGTAGTATATGATTATGCAAAGGATTCCATGTTTTAAACTCACAAGCAATAGCAAGGCAATTCTACAAAAATGGATGGTCTAAGAGAAGGGACAGACAGCTTCACCAGGTAGATTGGCAATAACCATATAGGGCTTCGTTTTTTACGATGCTTCAAGAAACAGCAGAGGGGCATCTTAGTAAGTGGATGGCCATGAAAAACCCTCATGGGCCTCTGGGCTCCATAAAGCCCCTTCCTCAGTCTTTCTTCCTTAAAGAGCACTGCCACTGCGGCTGTTCACCTTTGAAAAGATTTGTAATGGAGGTCTATAAAAATCTGTATGCACTTGGAAAGGACCATGAATAGCTAATGCATACTCATTAAGACTAAGGGTAAAGAGAAAAACCCTTAGCTTTGCTTATTTTTACTTCCATCTTTTTGATAAAAAGATCTCTGTAAGGTATCCTGATTGAATCTCAGGTTCATAGACAAAAGTCTTTATTTAACAGCAAGGACTCATTTTCCTGTTCTGGTTTGGCCTTTAAAACCCTCTCTGAGGATTTAAAGAGAAAAAATAGAGAAATGATGAGAAAACACTTTTGGGGTATAAAAAATCACGATATTGTCTGAAAACATATGGCCTCTTATAGAGCCATGTCAGTAAAAGTTTACAGGGAAATATGAAATTGCTTTTATATCATTTATGATAAGACTGCATCAAAAACTTTAAAATTCTCTGGGGGAATATATAAGTGTATTTTTCTTAACCAGCAACTTTTAGGCAATCCTGTTTTTTATAGTTAAATATTAGACTTAAATATTAAGTTTAGTTGGCACTAACCAGTTGCAAATTCCACCTGGGTTTCTCTCTTGAAGACTGCATTGGTGAGGGTGAAGCCATTGACTGCTTCTCCTATCTCCTTGGCTGTTGTCCAATAAATGGGATTTAGAATAGAAACTATTTTTCTCATTGCTGGACCTAAAGAAAAAAGGATAAATAAGGTAACAGAGAAAAATATTTACAGAGCCAGTTATTCATAAGGATGAATCCTAAATAATCTCAAATAACAACAAAATAAGTAACAGTATCTCACATGTCTTTAAGAGTTTACCATCGAGCGAAGCGCTATCATACAGATCATTTAGTAGTAGCATCCTCTAGAAATTTCAAGCAGAAATCAGAAGACGAAGAATAATATATGAATTTTAAAGAAAGAGGCTATTGGCAACTTTTATTAGCAAAGAGACTTACCAAGACTGCGAGGTACATTGGTAATTTTGGCACGTATTACTCTAGTATCAGAGGTAGGATCATCTGTTACTGTGGCGTTAAGGAAAGCAATTCCAAATTCAACATCATTAATATTTCCAATAACACTTCCTCTGGCTCGCTGGGGCCCACCTATTGGGGAAAGAAAAAACATTCTTGGAGAAGGAAACAATTTCATCAACGTTACATGGGAGAAAAGAAGGCCAGTATTCATAGATGCTACAAATCTTCTCACAAACATTTAAAATATCCTATGACATCTGAATTTAAGAGTGAAATAAATAAGCTTTCAGAACATTCTACTTTCATGTAACACTCATCATCCCACATAAATCTAGGGTGCTTCCAATCTGTGTATATCATGGCACTATTTCACAATCCAAAGAATACAATCAGCACCCAGTCCCAAAGCCAAAATAAAGAAGGTGTCTGTTGATCGTAATAAAATGATGATAATAAGGAGAGTTTATCGAGCCTGTCATGCACTATACTAAGCACTTCATAAGTGTTAACTCTTTTAATCCTGTCAGAAATCCTATAAAGTCATTTTGAATGGTCATAGTTGGCAGACTAGAAAATAAAGGTCAGAGACATAAGTAGTAGAATGAAGATCTGAACACAGATGTGCTTGGCATCAAAACTCATGTTCTTTTATCTACTGCCTCCTTTGTGAGAACACAGAAGGAAAGAAAGGATCACCTCAAAACAGCTCCTGAGCTTGTTACAGGTCACTGTTGACACAGGTGTAGAGTATCTAACAGGTATTATTCAGTCTTGGGTTTCAGACGGAAAGCTTACCAATTAAATAAAACAGTTATATTTTCCTATATAGGAAAATAGTTAACTTGAGAAAAATTCGAGACGGGTATTTTACTTTTAACAGTATTACAAAATTCATACATACACAATTCGGTTGAAAACAATCATACATTTTTTCCCCCAATCACATATGTTTTAAAAAGCATCTCTACAGTAATTTTATGCCTTCTTCCAATTGTTCAACAAAATTATTAGTTACTGACACTAGAATAGGTGGTTAATGAATGCTTTTTAAATTTTTTTTTTAACGTTTTATTTATTTTTGAGACAGGGAGAGACAGAGCATGAATGGGGGAGGGTCAGAGAGAGAGGGAGACACAGAATCTGAAACAGGCTCCAGGCTCTGAGCAGTAAGCACAGAGCCCAACGTGGGGCTCGAACTCACGAACAGTGAGATCGTGACCTGAGCCGAAGTCGGATGCTTAACCGACTGAGCCACCCAGGCGCCCCAATGAATGCTTTTTAAATGAACTGCATGCTTTGGCAAGAGAAGGAAACACAATGGGAAGAAGCTGATAGTGAAATTCATAAATATTCATTATTTGATGAGAGAGAAAGGGAACGGAGAGAGAATCTCAAGCAGGCTCTGCACTGTCAGCATAGAGCCCAATGTGGGACTTGATCCCATGAACTGTGAGACCATGACCTGAGTGAAATCAAGAGTTGGATACTTAACCCACTGAGCCACCCAGCTACTCTAATATATTTTTTAAAAACTCACTAAGTGTTTCAGATACCATTATATATTATATACCAGGGAGAAGTACAATTGTATTCAATCTCAGAAAAATCAGTAAATATAGTATTTCACCATTTTAATTTGTATTACTTTGATCATTCATGAGAGAATACACTTTTTTCATGTTGGTTCAGCCTTCATGTTCTGGACTACATTTACTTGTTCATCAAGTGTTGAAGATACAATAATAAGAAAGAAAAAAAAAAAAGACCCAGGCCTACCTTCATAGACCTTGTATCTGAAAGGAGAGAGACATTAATTAGAATTTCACAAATAAATGTAAAATTGAAATGTACTAATGTGTAAGTATCTACTGCCTAGGGAAGTCTGAGAAGAAAGTAAAAACATAGTGGAGTCTGAGGAAAGTTTAGGTCTTAACTAAACCAGAGAAGGCAGGACAAGGGCCTTCTGGGTAGAGGAAATACCATGTGTCACCCTTCTGAGAGGTGGTGGCTTGCCATATTTGAGAAACCAGAAGGAGCAAAGGACAGAGAGCGATGGGAGAATTCATGGAAACCTTGGTGTAAGATGGTGCAGGAAAGCAGATAAGGACATAGTAGGACTTTTCGCTTCTTATCTTTAGTCCTAAGCAGGAGGACAGACGGGTAGAAGGATCACTCATTCACTTAGTTCTCTGGGCCATTTAACCTGGGTCGTTTGACCATTTTGACCTTGGTACTCTAGTTTCCAGAGGAGCTTGAGTCCCAGCACCAACAGACATCCAGTTCTGGGTACCTAATTGGGATCTTTGGAACTCTCTGCCAGAGTCTGTAATCCAAATTGTCTGCTTAATTTGGACTTCTGCTACTGGGGCCCTTGTCTCCAAGATGGAATACTACCCCTTAGATGAATAATACCCCTTGACTGTGAGTTGTAACAAGGCTCAGGAGCTACAAAATGCCCTAGTTAAAGCTAGAACTATCACCATGCCTACATGCTAGAGCCTCAACATCGTTGGTAATAAGTTGATATGTTGAGAAGACATGTTGAACAGTTGACCAATAAACACTTGTCCTTTTAGCTTGTCTAGATCCTATAAACCTCTTCACGTAACTCCTCTTTCTCACTCTGCCAAATGAGCCTTCTTGATTTTCAAGGACATTTTCTTTCCTTTTTTAAATTTATTAGAGAGAGAGAGAGAGAGAGAGAGAGAGAGAATCTTAAGCAGGCTCCACACTCAGCATGGAGTCCAATGTGGGGCTCAATCCCATGACCCTGGGATCATGACCTGAGTCAAAATCAAGAGTCAGACACTCAACTGACTGAGTCACCCAGGAGCCCGGGGACATTTTATCTCTAAAGCAACCTTCAAGCTTTGGAAAGTTCAGTGGTATCTTCCCCCTTCAACAATGTGAAACTGTTCTTTTGGATCTTCTTACAGACTTTAGAAAGTCTATCCTCTGACACAAGCAACCTTAATATTATCCACCATTTCTTGGGACTCCAGCAAAGTCTTTCTAAGGTCCATTGGTTCTAGAATTCTGGCTTTGTTCCTTCTGAATTTTTACATCACTTACAAATCCAGCCATGTTGTATGACTTGGGTTATTGTAATTGAACTTCCCCTACTCTTTTACCTACAACTGAACTGGCCCTTATTTGACTTTCCAGATTCATGTTCTCCATATTTCCATCCATGAAAGAATAGCCTCTAATTGTGTGTTTCTGTTAAACATTCAGTTTCTTTCCAACTCTCACTTTTCAGTTTGAAATCTGACCTTGCTTTCCCCACTCTTCTAAACTCTTTTGTCCTTCAAGCCTACGACTACTATTTATGGTTTTGCAGGTCATATTGTTTTACAGAGGGGCCTGGAAGGGGGCAAGCAGAAGCTAAAATCCAGCCACAAGCTTTGGTGCAGACCAACTTGAAGGGAAAATGTACATTTTTCCTAATTCTCCCTTCCAGAGTTGGCACTGTTTTATAATTTGTAGGCTCAGAGTGGTATCCTTTTTTTAATCTGCAGAAAGGCTGTAAATAAGCAAGCAATGGTTCCACCAAAGTCTAACTTAGTTGCTTACCTGGACATGTTTGCATATTGCATCTGGATACCTGTGTAGTGTCTCCTGGACAGGGGCGACCACTTTTAGACGGCACTGGATTGTTGCACAGCCGCTTTCGAGTCTTTTCACCTCCTCCACAAGAGGCAGAGCACTGGCCCCAACTGTGCCAGCTTCCCCAACTTCCATCCACTGTGAACAAGAATGGAATGGTCAATATTAACCAATCAGTTTTAAAATCTACACATAGGGTAACCCTGCCTATACAACTCTCAGTGTCAGATCTGAAATTATGGGGCTTCTGCAATAAGCACCAAATAAAATGCTTTACTTATTCTACTGGTCAGGAGTTGAGGGGCTCACCAGGACACATGTCAGTGTTGCATCTCTGGATCTGGGAGTCTGGCCCCCCACAAGCTCTTCCTCCGTTGGAGGGAGGAGGGTTATCACATGTGCGGTACCGCCGCATCTGTCCTCCGTTGCATGTCCGGCTGCATATTCCCCAGCCACTCCAAGGACTCCAGTTACCATGAGCTACAACAGAGAACCATTGGAGAGGTGTTAAACAATGACACTCATCCAAAAAGTATGGTAAGACTTTCCCCAGGAACTGAAAAGAAATATACAAATCTATAAATAGGAAACTTCCAAAGGCAGATTGTTTAGCTATTGTGTTGACTAGAAACTGGGTGTACATTCCAGTGACTGTGAAATTCCATTTAGTATGTATCTGTCCAGTCTTACAGTGTTTCAGGAGCTGAAGGATATGAATGAGACAAGATCTCTGCTCTTGATGAGTCAAGACCATACAATCCAGATACAGTGGATTCAGATGCTACCAGGGTCTTAAAATCTAGCTTGGCGACTGAATTAAGGCAAAGAGCCACCTGCTTGCCTCTGTAAAGATATCAACATCAATAACAGTGGGCATGTAAGGGTGCCCTTGTCTTTGCACTCTTCAGCTGGTCCTAGAGAGCAAATGAAATAGGGACACAGTCCTTGCCTATATAGATCAATTACATCTATGGCATTACACAGACACAATAGCAACTGTACGACACTTTGTTATTCTAAACCAAAGTTAGAGGAATCAAGTAACAGTATATTACAACTTTAAGGACTTGAGGCCATAATAAACCTTTTGTTTTTTTTTTTTTATTTATTTATTTATTTATTTTTTTAAATCTTTTGTTCAGCTTTATTGAGGTACAATGGACAAATAAAATATACAATGTGATGATTTGACATACATATACTTTGTGAAATTCATTTATTAAAATTTTTTTTCTGGGGCACCTGGCTGGTTCCCTTGGTATATTGTGCACTCTTGACCTCAGAATCATGAGTTCAAGTTCCACATTGGGTGGAGGGATTACTTTATAAAAATAATTAAAAAAAAATTTTTTTTTTCTTGGGCATTGCCTTGTACAAAGCACAGTTTTAAGTATTTGAGATACATCAGTAAACGAAACAAAGATTTCTGTTCCTCGGGGAAAATGAATTACAGTTAGTGAAAATGAACAATAAAAAATATATGTATATAATTAAAAAATAAAATTTGTAGTATCTTGTTGTGAAAATGCTATGGAAAAAAGAAAGGTAGGGGCGCCTGGGTGACTCAGTTGGTTGAACCTCTGACTCTTTTTAATGTTTATTTATTTTTGAGACAGAGACAGAGCATGAACTGGGGAGGAGCAGAGAGAGAGAGGGAGACACAGAATCCGAAGCAGGCTCCAGGCTCTGAGCTGTCAGCACAGAGCCCGACGTAGGGCTCGAACTCACGGACCGGGAGATCATGACCTGAGCCGAAGTTGGACGCTTAACCAACTGAGCCACCCAGGCGCCCCGAGGCCATAATAAACCTTTAAGAAAGTATAATGTTGACTCACTATTTCCAACACTCACTTGGACAAGGGTCATTATTGCAAAAATCGCTCTGGACATCACTCCCTTCACATCTGCTCCCTCCATGCTGTGGGACAGGATCAGAGCATTCCCTTGTTCTCTGTCTGGCACCTCCTCCACAGGACACAGTACAGGCACTCCAACTGGCCCAAGTGGTCCACTTGCCATCCACTGGATTAAGGAAAAACATATGTGCTCTGTTACTAATACTCTGGGCATTGTTAGGTTGGGTGATGTTCTTCTTATTTCTTTTGAAGGTTTATTTTTATTTTTTCCTCTAATTTTAATTTGAATTCCAGCTAGTAAATATACAATGCAATATTAGTTTCAGGTATAGAATTTAGCGATTCATCACTTACATACATCACCCGGTGCTCATCACAACAAGTGCCCTCCTTAATCCTCATCACCTATTTAACCCATTCCCCCCACTCACCCACCTCCCCTCTGGAAACAGTCATTTCGTTCTCTGCAGTTAAGAGTCTGTTTCTTGATTTGTCTCTCTTTTTTCTTGTTTACCCTTTGCTCATTCGTTTTGTTTTTTAAATTCCACGTGAGTGAAATCATATATTTGTCTTTCTCTGACTGACCGATTTCAGTTAACATAATACTCTCTAGCTCCATCTATGCTGTTGCAAATGGCAAGATTTCATTCTTTTGAATGGCTGAGTAATATTCCATGGTGTGTGTGTATGTTTGTGTATATATCCATTCATCAGTCGATGGACATTTGGGCTCTTTCCATAGTTTGGCTATTGTTGATAATGCTGCTATAAACATTGGGGTGCATGTGACCCTTTAAATCAGTGTTTATGTATCCTTTGGGTAAATAACTACTATCACAACCGCTGGGGGTGATGTTCTTATTGACATTGATTCTTACTGACATGTTACCCAGATAATTTATTAAGGGTATAAACACTGTATGTCTCTTACCTGGACAGGGTCTTTCATTGCAAATCTGCATCTGTGTTTCTGCTCCATCACAGTAGGACCCATCAAATGATGGTGGTGGGTTATTACACAGTCTTGTTCTTATCTGGGCACCTTTACCGCAACTCTCGCTGCATGCACTCCAAGGCTGCCAAGTGCCCCATGCTCCATGAACTACAAATATCCCAAGAGACAGAGTTGCAAGTCACAGAACCATGTTTGTTAAACAAAATTATACAAGTAAATGAACTCAGTAATGAGCTAAATTAGCCTGGAATCTAAAACGACTGAAATTGAACCAAAGGAAACATAAATAATGTTCTTCCTTTCTGCTTCTGGTTAGATTTTCATGGGAAATAGTGTTTATAGGAAAATTCAGAAGGCTACCTAATGCCAAAATGAATGCTTACAATTATCCACAGGGACTATTTTATTAAAATAGAATGTAATCAAACTACTATATGTAAACACAATCTAAGTTTAAAAATCCTAGATAAGTATTTGTGCTTTATGCTCTGGGGAAAGTGGAAGGAACCAGAAGCTTAGAAGCAAGGCTGTATGACAGGTCTAGATGCAATTATAGACAATATGAATGTTTCCACAAGGGTAACTTGGACTTTGGCTCCGCACTGGGTGTGGGCTGAAACTCACGACCCTGAGTTCAAGACCTGACCTGTGATCGAGAGCTGGATGCTTAACTGACTGAGTCACCCTGGCGCCCCGATAACTTGGACTCTAGACTCAAGACCACATCTTTAAGCCTGATTCAGCTTCATGTTTAAAAATACACTTGGATCTTTCAACAACATGATGATTTGCACAGTTGTAGCTCTTTAAAAATTGTCTCCATTACATAATGTTCATGAATTAAAAGTTCTGAATAACACACTCACCTGCTTCCTAAACAACAAAAAATTGACCAGTAGTTTCCAAGAAGTGATACTAAAACCTTCCTTTTGGTTACTAACAGATGACAGCATCTACCCACAAGACTGAAACAACCTTATGTTTCCTACCAGGTGCATGGGCTAAGAATCAACATTATTGTTTCTCTTACATATAAGTCAGTATCAAGTCATATTTTTATTTTAAGGGTACTTTCTAGATATGGAGCTCATAAAGTATGTTTTTGTGGTCATCCAGTTTAACCAAGATATGAACCAAAATAGGGCCTTAAGGTTAGGGTTTAAAGATTCTATTAACAAACTCTATAAGACACCAAAAGAATAAATTGAAAACCAAGTAATGAAATTATAATTTGACTGCTTTGTTTACAAAGTACTTTATTTTTTATTTATTTAAAAAAAAAATTTTTTTTTTTAACGTTTATTCATTTTTGGGACAGAGAGAGACAGAGCATGAACGGGCGAGGGGCAGAGAGAGAGGGAGACACAGAATCAGAAACAGGCTCCAGGCTCCGAGCCATCAGCCCAGAGCCCGACGCGGGGCTCGAACTCACGGACCGTGAGATCGTGACCTGGTTGAAGTCGGATGCTTAACCGACTGCGCCACCCAGGCGCCCCTACAAAGTACTTTAAAACACACCTAGGATTTTCTTTCAATTAACTATTTTCTAGTTGAGTTTCCTACATATCCTTTGTACTTTGTAGACACAGGCGAACACTGTCATACACATTTATTTTAGCTGACAAAAATTTGGACTAAAAAGTATTGGCTGAACCTAAAAAGAAAGAAGAAAGCCTTTAAATATAAGGCAGATATTACTCAAAACTACTTCTTTATTAATTCAGATTGCTGATGCTCATAGTCCTCATATATGGGCTATGTCATTGAAAAAAGTCTGCTATTCCAATTATTTTAAGATGTCCTATTTTCAAGGCTGGGGTTAATAAAAAGCCCACACCTCTTATAAAGCCTTATAGCACAGATGCATTCTTTTATTGGAGATAATGTTTGGTGATTGGTTGATGTTTATTCATATATTGTCTGTGTAATTTCTTTTTTTCTCTTTTTTAAAAAATGTTTATTTTGAGAGAGAGAAAGAGAGAAACTGAGTGGGGGAGGGGCAGAGAGAGAGGGAGAGAGGATCCCAAGCAGGCTCCACACTGTCAGCGCAGAGCCCGACATAGGGCTCGATCTCACAACCGTGAGATCATGACCTGAGCTGAAATCAAGAGTCAGATGCTTAACTGACTGAGCCACCCAGGTGTCCCTATAATTAGCTTTCTAATTCTTAAAGATTAAAAAAATAGTTTTAGCTTTGGTTTATTTAAGATTTCATGACAGTATTTTACTTTTGTAATGTAATGTAAGTTCTGAACTGCAAATCAAGATACCTAGGATCTAAGCAAATAGGCTTAGGAATCAGACAGACCTGGATTCAAATCCTTGATTCACGTTTTACTAGCCATGTAACATCAGGGAATTAATTATCATAATTATCATATCATATATTTCCTGAATCTTGGTTTCCTCATTTGTACAACAGGATGCAATACCCAATGTAGTGGATAACTGTTTCATTTTAAAATCAGCTAGGTATCTCTCCCAGTTAAATTCTGTGAGTTCAACTCTGAGTTTGTTCAGTGTGCTTATCAATATCTGAACTCTATTACATCTGTTTATCATTCTATCTTGAACAATGAAAAAATGCCTTGAGCACAGAATGGGTGCTCAATAAATATCTGTTGGAGAAATGAATGGATAAGTGATGAATGAATGAATGACCAGATACTCTTCTACTCCATATAACTTGTTTTAGGCTGTCAAACAAGGAGCCCTGCCTGTTACAATGCAGGTAAGTCACTCAAGCTGGTTATCCAAGTATCTGGACTTAGTTGAGTTCAGAGGTGAGCATGAGTCCCAAACAAAATCAAACAGGGCTCTTTTTCAGAGGTTGATAGGAAATCTGAGGGAGAGCAAGACTCTTTGTTTCTTAGGCCTTGGGTTACAAGTCTCCTGTGAGCTACTAGCTGCCAGCAGTCATTTTTTCCACTGCATGGAAAGAGTTTAATGGACAATAAAGCCAAAGAGAGGTGAGCAAAGATGAGAGATGGAAAACATGCTAGTAAAAACACTGGCCAAATCCTTGAATTCAGTCATACCTGAAAGTAGAATTTTCTACTTAAGCTCATTCAAGTTTGGTTTCTGTCACTTTAAGCTGAAAGAGCCCTAAAATACCTATGGTGAGGGGTTGTTTTACAAAGTCAAACAACGTGTACTTAAAGCACCTGCCACGGTTCCCAGAACACACAGGTATTTAGTGAATGGCTGCTATTATCATCTTAGCCCTCACTCATTGTGTGTTTTTGGGAAAGTCTTTAAATATCCTAGACTTCATTTTTCTTGCCTGAAAATGAATGGCTACATTAGATTTTAAGGTCCTTATTACTTCTAAAATTCTATGACGGTAAATACTTACGTTTCCTCTACATGATTAAAAATACACCACAGTTTGTGGAACCAATAGATGGTCAATTAAGTCAGGGATTTTACTTAACATTGATACCATATCTTTCAGAAGCTTGTATCAGTGAGACATAATTAAGAACACAGGGAATGGATGGATATATTCCAGGGTAGAGGCCATAACTTATTTTTATAACAAAAAAAAAAAAAGATAAGTATAACCCCTTTATAGGAGTTAAAAATAGAATAGTTTTGCTCATCAGTGGATTCTCACCTGGGCAGGGCCTAATGTTGCACATGATTATTTCTACGGCATTCCCTTCACATGGCCGCCCACCATATTGAGCTGATGGGTTACTGCAAGTTCTGGTCCTGGTTCTGTTGCCACGTCCACAACTCCGTGTGCATTCTTCCCAAGGGCTCCATTCTGACCAGCTACCATCCACTACACACAGGTAAAACATCGTCAACACGAAGACAACCCATAGTTAGCTAACAGAAATGAATATCTATCAAACATGTGCCTATCCACTGAATATAGAGATGTACCTGGACACAGCTTACGTTGACAGTTTCGCATTTCTGAATCTGACCCTTGGCAAGGCTTCCCACCATTGGCCGGAAAGGGGTTGTTGCATAGACGACTCCTCTTCTGGATGCCTTTGCCACAGGTGACACTGCAGGATCTCCATGTAGACCACTGGGAATACCCACCGTGAACTGCAAATAAAACATTGTACTTTGTCTCTGTGATGGTAAAAAAAAAAAAAAAAGCTATACATTGAATTTTATTAACACGCCGGGTCTAGAGCTGGATCTGTGATTGCTGAGAAATTGCTTATGGATGCTCCCCTCTTTGGTAAAATTAAAATCCATGCAGGAGAGAAAAATTTCAGATAATTAACTGGAGTTTCTTCCCAGTTCCAATACTGACTCATGTGGATATGGCTGCCAGCAGAGTTAGAGATCAAGAAGTTTAAATACTGTTTACCTTTTGATATACCATTCTTTAAAGAAAAATAAATGCATGATTTCTGAGAATAAATGTGACTTAGTTTTGAATCAAAACTTCAGTTTGGGATTTTGAATTATTGGCTTGATATTTTACTGCTCTAACTGAATATTGTTTCAGTCTCTTCAGTTGGTAAATTGTAGTGTGATTTTTGTTCTAGCTCCACAGTCTAGAAGTATCTTCAGGGTCCAGGAGACTTGGACTAAGATGCTTAAGAGTTTTTACGATTTGGGTCGCCCCAGGTGATACTTAATATGAATGTCCCTCTGATCACACTCACCCTGGACTGTGACTGGCACCCTGACAAGGACAGAACCCATCAAGTTTCGAGCAACACATTCATATTCAGATGTATCTTCTTTTTGAGCAGCAGCAATATGTAAGGAGTTGTTGGACAACATGTTAACTCGGTCATCCCAGGGAATAGAGTGCCCTTGACGAGACCATGTAATGGTTGGATGAGGCTCTCCAGTTGCCTGACAATTCAATATGACTTTGCCACCAGCATGAATAACAGTTTCTACTGGTTCAAGAGTAATAATAGGAGGACCTACAGAAAAAAGCACATAGTGTTTTCTTAGTTTTTGTGAAGCTATGTTAACATTTTTATCAATATATATAGTAACATTTTTTTAAAAATTAGGCTGATTTGTTTATAAAACACTGTAGCTGCTCAACTACTAAGGATGCAGTTGCCATTGACAGATTTTTCAGTATCATAGCTCTGTTTTATTTATGAAATGTCCAAAATTTTAAATCCCTAAGCAGATTAGCCTATATCATGGGTTCTGCAGTCATACTTGCTGTATACTTAAATTCAAATTCTGCTTCTGTTCCTTAGGACCTCTTTGAGCCTTTGTATCCTTCAGAGAATTCTTGTTAGATTCCTCTAAGATGAGATAAGCCTAGCTCTTTGACAGGGTAAGTACATAATATTATTAGTACTATTGTTATCATTGTTTTTGTCTGTGTTTTACATGGCAAACTCTCACTTCTTTCCCTTACATCACTTCTGAGGTAATGAGTCATTATTAACTTATCCTTTCATAACTGGTCATCATTCATTTATTCAATAAACATGTATCGAGAGCCTACTATTTGCCAGGCATTGTGTTAGATGCTGAGGATACAGAGATAATAGATATAACTTCTAGCCTCAAGGAATTCACAGTCCACGGATAAGACAAGTAAGTAACTATAATTATTTAGCTGTTCTATAATATCATTGTAGGATTTTGTAATGGAATAGGTAGAATAATATTTAGTATAGAGTAGGTAAATGTGTGGTAATATGGATGCATAAACAATAGTGACTTAATAGAACAAACAGAGGCAATCACTGAAAATGGAGAGGAAAAGGAAGACATTCAAGAATCATTAGGAAAGTAGAAATAACAGAACTTTGTCATTGACTTGAGAGGAACTGATAACTACAGGATTTTGACTTGGACAATATAGAAGAACACAGGAGGAAGAACAAATTTGTTTGGACATTGTAAGGAATGTTAATTCGTATCCATTTAGAACTATTGAGTTTGTGGTGTCTGTGGGACATTCATGTAGAGATGTCTAGATGATAAGAGAATGTTAATATCTGCAGCTCAGAATAGAGATATAGGCTAGAAATACAGATCTATGAGTCTTTCATGAGTGGATAAGATGGCTTTAGAAGTGATTCTAAAAGGAGAGGAAGAAGACCAAAGACATAAACTATGACAGCATCATTATTTAAGAGATGAACAGAAGACAAGCCATAAAATGATACTAAGAACAGATCACTGAAGTAGGAAGAAAATCAAGAGAGAATGGTATCCTGGTAACCAAAGGAAGGAGTTTCAAGAAGGAGGGAGAGGTTAATACTAGTAGATCAGAGCTGCTCAAGTGAAGTCAGGAAAAAATGTAAAAGGAGCTATATATAGCTGCTGGTAGGATGTTTATTCTAGTCTACAGTGTCAAGCAAGATAGAATATGAAAAATTTCATGGAGAAGAAGAAGCTTGAAGTGGATTTTCAGAAATGGTAAGATTATATATAGGAGAAGGGAGTCTACTTGGAGACAAGGAAATAGCATGGAGATGAATTTAGCTTTGAAAGGATGATTCACCCTCGAAAGCAGCAACATACAAGGTTTTAAACATTTAGTTAATCAGGGCTCACATCTGAATACAGGTTAGCAGAGAGGAGCCTGTGTATTCTTGAAGGATGAAAGCTGTGTTTTTGTGGGATTGAAATGAATGGTAGAATAATTTGCTCAATGAGAGGTAATGAATATCAGATAATTCAGGGTGATGGTTCTGTTTTAGGTGGAGAAATATATCTGGAATAATAGAACATAAAGCAAAATAGAAGTAAAATGTGTTTTATTATGACCATACCACCATTTTATGTAAAGATGTTATTGACATGCTGTCTTTTACAAAAGTAGTTACTTCATATGAGGTTTGAATCTCTATCATTAGTGCATTATTCATATATATGCCCACATCGTCCTACTCAATTACCTTCTTATTTGATATTTATATTAACTTTAGGAACTTTCAGGGCTGGGGCTTTTATTTTTCTCCTAGTGTTCAAATTACATTATGTGTTCAGTAAACTGTTGCTGAATACATTAAATGCCTCAGATTAATCACTCAACACTAAATGATAACATAATGATTAAATGAGCTCATCTGCTCCCTCAATTATGGTCAAAGAAAGTGTCAAATAAAACTCGGAATCTTAATTTTAATACCATATTTGAACATTTCCAATTGCCCATAAGGCTATAAGTTAACTCAACAATAAAATTCCATATGTACATCTTTCAAGGGTGAATTAATTCTATCAGTCACATAATGATCAGTTAAATACAAGTACTTTATCTAAATGAAAGCATTGCTTCTGGTGCTTTAATCTTAATTTTAAACAAATTATATTTTGGTTTTTTAATATGCCTCATTTATTTAAATCAACTTATTGTCTGTAGGTGTAGATGAGCTAATCTAATGCAGACTTTCTTAAACCAATCAGTGGAACACTCTTCCAGGAAAGATTAATCGATGTGATGCCCTACTTACATTCACCCAACAAGGAGGGGAGGAAGGTTTCATGGAAATAACATTTATTTGGGAAACATGGCATGTTATATCCTCCTCTTGCTGAGTTATAACACATCAATATATTATCATTTCAGGAATGATCTGCAGTAAAGAAATCTGGTGATTAAGCAGGGCTTGGCATATAGTAGGTTCTCTTTATATGTTTGATAAATGAATGAACTTCGTTTAATCTATTTTTTCCCAGACTTGTTTGACCATGGAACTCTAGTTTTTTCCTAATAACATCTCACAAGGCTATTGTTTGATAAATAAGTACTTTAATAAAACACTGTCTTAGCAAGAAATGGAAACAACCTGTCTAGTGATGGATAAATGGATAAAGAAAATGAGTCTATATATGTTTAATCAAATGTTATCTAGCAATAAGAAGAAGGAAATACTATTTGCAACAACATGGATGGACTTCGAGGGCATTATGATAAACTAATTAAGCCAGACAGAGACAGAAAAATAGTATATGGTATCACTTGGATGTGAAATCGAAAAAAAAAAAAAAAAATCCATAGAAACAGAGTCAATTGGGGGAAATGGGTGATATTGATCTAAGGATACAAATGTTCAGTTATAAGACAAATAGGTTCTGAGGATCTAATATATAGCATGGTGACTATAGTTAATAATACTGTATACTTGAAATTTATAAAGTGAGGAGATCTTAAGTGTTCTCATCAAAACAAGCAAAACCAAAAAATGGTAAGTCATGGATGTGGTAATTAGCTCGATTGGGGCAATCATTTCACAGTGTATATGTATATCAAATTTTGACATTGTACATTTTAAATATGTACAATTTTATTTATCAATTAGATGCCAATAAAGCTGGGGGAAAACACTGTTTTAGATATTTACTAAAAATTAAGTGCTAAAGTCTCAAAAAGATTTTAAAAAATTAAAGTCTTAGATAATAGTAGTTTAGCAATAGCTGCTAGTAAATGCTAGTATATAGCATCTCTTGATAGTGAATGAAGAAAATATAAATTTATACCATTAAATACTGAGCCTACTCACAAAATAAGTTTATTCACTGAAATTCTCAACCCAGTGATGCTATCCTCAAGTCAGTTCTAAAGTCATTCTGGAGACTATCCAGTGGGTTCTGAGGTTCTATGCCCTGGAGTTTTTCATGTTTTTCTAATTCTGAAAGATCTGTCTTCTGTATAACTGAGGGGTTTCATCATGAGCATGATAGTCCTGCCCAGTACACACATTTATTTCATGGAAGATTGACAGCCATCAACCTAGAACACTTTTGAGTTCACTTATATTAGTCTTTACTTTTAATACATATTTTTAAAGTGCCACAAAATGACATTTTGTAAGCACATCACAAAAACTGTGATAGACTATATGAAGGGTACTTGACTGACTATATTGCAAAACGAAAGAAAGCTCTGCCACCAAGCAACTGTGATCTTGAACTCCGTGTGTTAGACAAAATAGAAAAAAATCTCTGCAAAACTGTATCTACCAGTCTTACACTTGATAACAAATTACTCTATCAGCAGAAGACTAAATTATACACACCCTGCAAGCTACCATTAATATACCTGCTATAAAGTTAAAGAAAATGAACACTGTTTATTAGGCAATGTTTCTTAAATCAGGTGTTCACACAGAGTGAAGCCACTTACTCTGCAGGGTCAGGCTCATGCTGCGCTCCACTGCCCCAGCATCATTGGTAGCTACGCACGTATAATCACCGGCATCTTCATTCTATGGAAATAAGCAGTGTTTTATAAAAATGTGAGCCTACAGAATGGGGCAAATAAGTTTTTCCACCAGGATGCTAATATAAAATTTCATTTTTGAGGAGGGGTTGGAATGGAAATAGAAAAACCTACATTATTTTACATCATAAAGGGGTTTAAGAGAAAAGAAAAAGAAGAAAAAAATCCCGGTCTAAGTTTTCAAAACAGCCATTCTTGCTCTCTGGGAATAATAATTACTAGGAAACCAAAGCAAAACTAACATTTTTTATAACCTTCTATCCAAAATTAGCTCACTAAAGAAAAATGCCTACTCTCTTTTTCTAAATATCTTAAAAAGCATTAAACTATTGAGGACAAATTAACAAATACTGAGACTTCCTAATGGGGGTTATTAAAATAAATTAAGGATGAACAAAGTAAAAAACTAATTTACTGATAATGATGAATCATAGAATATAAGTCACAATATTATAAATATGCGCTGTAAGGGGTGCCTGGGTGGCTCAGTCAGTTAAGTGTCTGGCTCTTGATTTCAACTCAGGTCATGATCTCAGGGTCGTGAGATTGAGCCCTGTGTCAGGCTCCACATTGACAGCACGGAACCTGCTTGGGATTCTTTCTCTCCCCTTCTCTCTCTGCCCCTTCCCCACTCAATCTCTCTCAAAATAAATTTTTAAAAAACCTACAAAAATAGTACTATATGAGTTTAGATTTGGTGACTAATTCATCACAGATTTTGCTCAAGTCTTGTGAATAGAATTTGTTAAAAGAAACACTAAGTAAATAAAGGAGAACTAAATTGCAGGAAGTAGAGGAGGGTGGGAAAAGGAAGACATGTTTAATTGGGGGTGTTATACAATATCCAAATAGAAATTTTCAATAAGAAATGGTAAATGGGAACATTTCAGGGTTGGAGATAGATATCTAAGTATCTGAAACTGTGTGGTGAAAAAAATTAGTATTAGCATTAATATTGGTATTAGGAGAATTACCAATGGCTTCAGAAGTAGCAATACTTAGATACAGAAGGGGGAATGTGGTAATGAAGAAACATGTTACAGCAGTTAAAAGTAGAAATCATCTCAAAATTGAAGGGACAATGAACAACATGAAATGAAACCCAGGAGAATGAAAGACTAAGAGTGATTCATTGGATTAGGTGATTAAATATTGTATTTTAATTATTATTTCAATTAATTCTACAATGCATTAAAAATCACTCATACATAATCAAGTTGAGAAATTTTTAGATAAAATATCTCATTTACTTGGCCCTCAAATTAGAATAACTTAAAGCAACACTCATTTTCTGAATTACTGAAGGTTTTGGAAGGCTTGATATAGTTATTGGCCTTAGAGATGAAAGTTATCCTATATTTTACTTGTAGTTATGTTTGCAATTCTTCAATTTCTGTGTTCTGAAACAGATTTGAGGAAGTTATCTAATGATGCTAAATAATAATGGATCAGTGATTGGGAACAAAGCAAAATTATTTTTTTGCTTATATTTCTGTGAAAAGTCTAAAAATAATCAATTTGAACCATGTTTCAGTTTTTTATAAAAACCCATTGATTCAGATTTTATGATTTAAATAGGAATGCAAGAGGAACCTTTTCCTTTCATGGCACCTACAGAGAGGGATTAATTGTGGCAGTTAAAGTGCACATCAACGATTTCAGCGTGACTTACTACAGTGCCATAAATGGCCAAGGAGCCATTGAGAAGTTGACGGATTCTGTGATTAATTTCAATATCCACTCCTTTTCTGCTCCATTGGATGGTAGGGGCAGGATCTCCTTTCACTTCACAATTCAAGACTGCATTACCACCAAGCGGCTCAATCCAATTAGAAGGGTAATCACCTTTGAAGACTGGAGGTTCTGGGAAATAACAACAGATAATTAATTATAAGTAAAAGGAAGCTCTGATAATTTATTTGTGATTTGACCTATTTAGAAAGATAGTGAGGAAGGGAAAAGCCACTTTTGAACACCATGAATTTTCCAAAATCAACTGCTCATGCTAATCAACCAGATAATTTTGTTAGTTTCAATAACCTAAGCAGGTGATTCCATTTTGTACCAAATGATCTCTTTGCTTACCTACTTTTGAATTGAACGTTGATAATTTTTTATTTCTTAGGAATGTGCACATCTGTGAAATAGGACTAGATGGATTTAATAAACTGAAGTTATATAAGCAAGCAAAATGCAAACTATTCTTTGTAAATAAGTGATAAACTAAAAGTAGAGCATGCTTACCTACCTTTCACATAAACAAATCCTATTGCCTTCACAAAACCAACACTGTTCTCTGCGGTGCACACGTAAGTACCCGAATCCTCTTTTGACACTCTTTCAATAACAAGTTCACTGTGTCCATTAACACTGTCAAAGTGGGCTGAGAGAAACAAGTTAGGAAACGACATAAATGCCTCTAAGTAACCTAGGAAAAGAATCACAACAGCTCAATATTTTGCAGGTTGGATTTATGAGCTGGTCAGCAATTGAACCAGAGATCTCATCATGACATTGGAGAAGAAAGCCTTTTCCACAGATTTATTCCTCTGAGCTATTGGCTAGGTCTATAGACACTTGTTTGAAGAATGAAAAAAAAAACAGCAGAAGGGACAGGAAAAGAGAATGAAAACAAACATCCTTTAAAATTATTTTAGATTTAAAGTACACCTTTCATCTCAAAGCATTGCCTAAATCTGGCTCACCGTCTCTCTAGGTTTCAAAATCTTTCATTCAGACATATGACATTTTCCATTTCATTTATCTCACCACCACTTTTCCTCCCAAACACTTTATATCAAAACACGAAAATGTTTTCAGTTATAATTCAACTGACTTGGCAGGTCAGAGGGGAAATCATGAAAAACATATGTTGGTTAGGTAATAATGACAACATGATTAAATTTGTGATAATTTAAACTTCTCCATAAATGGTGATGATATAAATATTTATGAAGGTAGTTATAATATTTGGAATAGAGTATAAGGTAAACATGCTAATCCTAAAACAACTGATACTAAATAAGATTCTGATTAGACCAGCCAATATCTAATTATTTAGATATGTTTACCTTGCATGCTTTCCCCCAAATTATTTCAAAAGATTTCATTCTGCTGAATATTAAGTGGAAAATTAAGCTTTAAAAATTTAAATAGCTAAATTAGTATTATACCGTTAGAAAACAGCACTGATTAGGTTGTGGGTTTTTTTTAAGTGATAAATTGCATTTATTTTTATTTTATTATTTTTTTCAACGTTTATTTATTTTTGGGACAGAGAGAGACAGAGCATGAACGGGGGAGGGGCAGAGAGAGAGGGAGACACAGAATCGGAAACAGGCTCCAGGCTCCGAGCCATCAGCCCAGAGCCCGATGCGGGGCTTGAACTCACGGACGGCGAGATCGTGACCTGGCTGAAGTCGGACGCTTAACTGACTGCGCCACCCAGGCGCCCCAATTGCATTTATTTTTAAAAATAAATTTATGTTTTAAATATAATTTATTGTCAAGTTAGTTAACATACAGTGCATACAGTGTGCTCTTGGCTTCGGGAGTGGATTCCCATGATTCATTGCTTACATATAACACCCAGTGCTCATCCCAACAAGTGCCCTCCTCAATGCCCATCACCCATTTTCTCCTTTTGCCCAGTACCCCCATCAATCCTCAGTTTGTTCTCTGTATTTAAGAGTCTTTTATGGTTTGCCTCCCTCTCTGTTGGAAACTATTTTTTTAGACTCTATTTTTCCTAAGTGAGGTATACTATTATTATTAAGGTAATATAGTTGATGAATTTCAGTCATTAAGATCAATCTTTTATAACAGAAAAACTCAAGCTTATTATTTTTCTAGCAAGACATTTATTAAATGCCAATAGTGCAGTATTTTAGAATTCAATTTTGGGAAATGACCACTTCTTATTACTGATGATGTCTTTGTGCTGATGACAAAGTCTGACAAATAAGGAAACACTTGTCCTCCCAGAGAGGAGTGCTCTGGGGTTCCAGGCACTACCTTAACATGTAGTGCACATAGTGACTAAAGGATTTCTGCATAGCTGATCTACATTATAAGAGAGGCTAACAGATGTTAATTCATACAGCAAGAAGCAGAGTTCTCCTCTGTAAAATTAGGTGAATCTTCAGCACTCTACCAGTGCCACCTTAATCCATTTATCAGTGATGAAGGAGGTCCAGCGAGGGCAAATTTAGGTACCTGTGTATACCATATTGTCTTCTCAGGGAGGAAGGAGATTATTTTTAGGTAAAAACATCTACTAATATTCTAAAATATATGGTCCTGTGATTACCTTATCCTTTCAAAAGAATGGAAAAAGAACATATATACTGGGTATAGGATAAAATCCAGGCAAAGGTACATATTTTGCAGAACTTAAAGCAATCAATTTTTCATGTAACTTTTCAATCAATTCCCACAGCTAAAGGAAATGGAGATTGCTTCAGAGTTCTTTATGGACGCATTTATTTACTTCTTAAGAATTAAATTACCAACCTGGGATAATATTGTTATTGAAGGTCCATGTTAACTTGGGCAATGGAATCCCAGTGGCTTTACAGCTTAATCGTAGCTGTTCTCCTTTATTTAAAGACACATCTCCAGGAAGTTCAGTAAAAGTGGGGAGAACGTGCACCGTCACACTGACCATGTGCGTATCTTCACCTGCAGCATTGTTAGCAACACAGGTATAGGTGCCAGAATCCTCCGGCTTAAATAAAGAAAAATCATAGTGTTTAAGATTACATAATCTTACATCATATTACATAAAGGACATAAAATTGCATAGCTTGGTTCCCAAAGGAGCACTCTTATTTAAAGGCAGTTTAAATTTCCATCTTGTAGTCTGAACCATCTGGCTAGCTTTTGCACAACATAATTTAAAATGTGTAAGAGTTTAAACAAAAGCCCATACCTTACAGAACTACAGCATTTTGCAGTAATAAGATCTCAGAAAACTGTACAGAAGTTCTAAAGTTTACTAAACATCAAGAGTACTGATACTCCGCAAACTACAGATAAAGAACAAATAATTTCATTCTTTCTTTTTTAATATAATTTATTGTCAAGTCGGCTAACATATAGTATATACAGTGTGCTCTTGGTTTTAGGGGTAGATTACTGTGATTCATCACTTACATACAACACCTAGTGCTCATCCCAGTAAGTGCCCTCCTCAATGTCCATCACCCAGAACAAATAATTTCAAAGGCTGGTAGCATCTTGACAGCATAGCTGCTCTCTTGGTAATGTGGCACCAAAGACTCCCAAAATTATCACAGGAAATAGAAGTTTCACTTGCTAAATCCACCGGCTGGTCTTGACACTCATCTTACTAGATGTCCTGGCAACATCTGACACAATTTTGACCCCCTTTTCTTCTAAACCATGTCCTCACTTGGCTACCAGGCTACCCCATTCTCCTAGTTTCCTTCCCACCTCACTGGTGGCTCCATTTTCAGCTTTTCATGGCTTTCCTTTAACATTAATGTTGTTATGTTGGTATGTGGGAGAGCTCAGTCTTTGGTCCTCTTTTCTTATTTGCACTTGGTTCCTTAGTGCATCCGGTCTCATGGTTTTAAGTGCCACCCATATGCTAATGTGTACGAGTATTTGCAGCCCACGTCTTTCTTCCAAAGTCCAATTACACTGAAGTTCCCATTTCACCTCTCTGCTTGCATGTCCCAAAGACATCTCAAAGTCATGTCCAAAACTGAACTCCCAATTTCCCTTTTACCATCCTGTTTCACCTGTAGCCTTTCACCATCTCAGCTGATGGCTATTTTGTCCTTCCAGTTGCTAATGCCTTTTGTTCTCAGACATTTGAGTCACTTGTACTCTTCTTTTTCACACTCTACTCGCAATCTACCTAGGATATCCTAGAATATATGCAGAATCCAACCACTTCCCACCTCTTGTGGGCTAACAGAATTTCTTATCTGACTCTAAACCATCTCATCTGACTCCAAACCATCTTCCCAACAGGTCTTTCTGCTTCCACTCTTGCCTCCCTACCATGTATTCTTATTATAGTCGCCAATGTACTATTGCAAAAACGTGAGGCATTTAATAACATTGCTCCCAGTCTCAAAACCTGCAATGGATTCTACTTTATTCAAAGTAAAACACAAAATTGTTATAATCTATGAGACACTCTATTATCTGGCCTCCATTTTTTTTTTCATATCTTTCTTCTCTGTTCTTCTTTGCTTTTACTGGTCTCCTGTTCCTCCAATGTATCAGGCATGATCCCACCTCATGTTTCTTCCAGATATTTGAGGGAGGAACATCCCAGTTTTATCTGCTTGTGATGCTCTTCCCCCAGATATTGGCTTGGCTAACTCACTTCAAGTTTTTTCAAATGTTCCCTTCCCAAAGGAGATTTACTCTGATTCTCCTATTTAAAACTATAACTAGTACCCCTCCAAACTCTGATCCCTTATACCTTGTTCTTCTATTTTTCATAATACTTATTTTCTTCTATGTATATTGTTTATTATTTTAATTGTCTATCTTGCTTCTCTAAACATAAATTGCATGAAGGCAAGGATCTTTTAGTCTTTTGTTTCCTGATGTATTACCAGTGCCTAAACAGAGAAGCTATTCAGTAAATATTTGCTGAATTGATGATTGAATGCTTCTGAGTGCATTAAGGCCCATGGTAGACTTTTTCCTTATCTTTTAAAACATTTAAGAGGGGCACTCTGGTGGCTCGGTCGGTTAAGTGTCCCACTCTTGATTTCAGCTAAGGTCATGATCTCATGGTTCGTGAGATCGAGCCCTTTGTTGGGCTCTGCACTGACAGCACAGAGCCTGCTTGGGATTCTATCTGTCTCCCTCTCTCTCTCTGCTTGGAATTCTCTTTCTGCCCTTCTCCCACTTGCACGTACATGTGTGCACTCAAAAATAAACATTTAAAAATATTAAAAAAAAATTTTAACGTTAATTTATTTTTGAAAGAGAAAGACAGAGTGCGAGTAGGGGAGGGGCAGAGAGAGAGAGGGAGACAGAATCTGAAGCAGGCTCCAGACTCTGAGCTGTCAGTACAGAGCTCGACGCAGGGCTCAAACCCACCAACCGTGAGATCAAGACCTGAGCTGAAGTCAGACGCTTAACCAACTGAGCCATCCAGGCGGCCCTGAAAATATTTTTAAAATATTTAAGGGTATATATTGTTTTGCACTGAAACATTAAAGAATTGATTGGAAATGTAGCATAAAAACTGTAATCACTAACTGTAGGTACAATCTAAATTTGGTTGGCTGCATACTGTTGTTGTTTTTTTTTAAAGGGCAAACTGGAATAAGTCATATTTCCTGTAAAAGTCTTTCCACCTCCATATCATTTAGCTGTCCTTAAATTCCCAGGTTATGACAAGTTTAAAATCAAGGAATTTATAAAAGTGAAGCACTTAAAAATCAAGTGTACATACTATTCACAAATAGATTTCTAGTTATTATTTGTGTCCTTCATCTGGTATTTCGAAACTACCTTATTGTTATTTTTTTAACATGTCTGAGTCATTATCCCACTAAAAGTCTAACCTTTTCTTTCTCATTTAATTCCTTCAGGTCTATAAATGAAATTGAAGGCCCAAATTCAACATTCTTGAGCTTAGAGGTAATCCCCAGTAAAAGATATTCACTAGCTTACATTAACAAATTTATCCTTATTTTATTAATTCTAAAATTCACATTTTTAACTCTTAATACCTCAGAAGCTAGGGTATTCAAAATACATAAAAATTGATGATCTTCTCTAGTTTATTTAACTGAATTTTTTTCTTTCTTAGTGGTACATAAAATAATGGTACATCTTATAACTAATGGAAATTTAAATCTGAATAAATACAACTTTTGCTGGCACATGTGGTTGAGTTAGGACTTAGTGACACAGCCTATTACTGGGATTATTTATGTGGTAATCCCAGGAGTCTGAGTAATGGCTGAAATTATACTATAAAGTTAATGTGATCAATTTTGTCATTTTAATCTGTTCAAATTTAATTCCACAAAGATTTTATAATGGGGCTTAGGCATTTTGAAGGGTAATGAATAGGAATAAAAAGGTATATACAGAAGCTCTGAAAATGATTCACATTTGTTTCGTATTTGGTGCCAAGTACTGATACTCTCAAACCACACAGTAAATGTTTTAAAAAGTCATGTAGTATGCATATATACAGAATATTCTTCAAGTGGGCTACCACTGAAAAACTAAGATACTTCTCATAGCTACTATTCTGTAGACTGGCTAAGTGCCACCTAACAATATTCAAACATCTCAGCTTGCATAGTAGGATCTCTAAGACTTTAGTTTCCTTGTCAATGATAAGAAAGGGTTATTGAAAATCCTGAAAAGAACAGAAAAACTGCTTTTTATTATTTGCCTAATAACACATCAGACATTCTTATATCTCTGTTCTTCTAATCATTCCCATGCATGGTTACAAACACAGAATATAACAGAGGCACTTAGAATTTTTCCTGATAAATAGATTTCCACAAAAATAAAATCATTTTAGAAGGAGGTCATTTATGAGTTCCTACTATCTGTTAAATATTATTCTTAGACCTGGGCCACAAAATGAAACATGCATAAAATTCATTTTTTGGCCTGAATATGTAAGAGTATTTTTCTTTTGTTATTAAAGAGTATATTTCCCAGCTAAGCTACGAAAAGAAAAAAGGTGAATTACTAATCCGGTTTAATGTATCCACTCACATCTATTAAACTTACCACAACATTTTCCAGAATAAGTTCTCCATAGGGCTCAAGAGTATACTTTCCTAATAAGTTAGTTAAAAGAACATCGTCTTTTTTCCAGTTGATTGCTGGTGTGGGGATTCCATCAGCCACGCATGGAAGAATGGCTTGTGAATTCTCATTGACCATATAGTGTACTTCTGTGCTTCGGATTCTAGGTGGTACTATGAAGAGTTTAAAAAAGATAGTCATTCATGATGTTGAATTCAACAGTATCCTTATTCACACTGAAAATCAGCACACAAAAGACTCTTTTGGGGATCATTTTGCCGCAAGTAGTAAAATAAAGTCTATTAAGACATTGTTTGTTATCATGAAAGATGCCTACAGCAAAAACTTTAAGGGATTTGAACTTGTTGAATATATTCGAAATCAGTTTCTGAACAAGTGACATAGAACTAGATTAGGAATCTTTAGCTTTTATTTGGCTTCTGAAGTTTTTCTTAAGTTTCTTATTCTTATTGCAGTGAAGCAAAACAAACAAACTAGAGCAACAAAACCTCAAAATGCATCCATGATTGGATAATTACTGGATTTGTATCACAGACATATTGTGAGAACACATTAATAAAAGTCACCAGTTGAAACACCGTAAAACACTCCCCCCATATTGAATGTCACGAAGTGCTACAGAAAAAAAATTTATTGCAGTATTTCACATGTGTTTCAACAATTGCAAGTAACCCAGGTCAAGACAATTCAGCTTTTATACTGTCACAGAGGAAATTTTTATAGTGATTTCAGAATTCTGTGCAAATACTTCCTATTCCTCAAATTACTTTGAACTGGAATTTAGGCAATACAGAAAGATCAATTGACTATTTTGTGTACTAACAAATACCTTAGGGGACTTGGAACTATGACATTTACTTCTAAAGAAAAGGCTTTAAAAGTATGTGGATCCTGAGAAACTTAACAGGAACCCATGGGGGAGGGGAAGGAAAAAAAAAAGAGGTTAGAGTGGGAGAGAGGCAAAGCATAAGAGACTCTTAAAAAATGAGAACAAACTCAGGGCTGATGGGGGGGGGGATGGGTGATGGGTATTGAAGAGGGCATATTTTGGGATGAACACTGGGTGTTGTATGGAAACCAATTTGACAATAAATTTCATATATTTAAAACAAATAAAAGTATTAAGAATACTTGGCTCAAAAAGTAAAAATACACCCCCCAATGAATTTTGGAATTATTCCAACATATCAGAAATAGATTAATTTTAATGGCATTTTAAAAAGTGACAGGACAAAAGTTGTATTCAGCAAAAATTATTTTTTGATTATATGAGTAAATATATAAATCTTATATGAATGATTATATGCACAAACATAGATAATAGGGAAAACAAAAATGCATTTTGCTGAATGGAACATCGTAAATATTCGATTCATTTTTAATTAATTTATACTGTATTTTTATTAGCCCCTTTATCCTGGTTTCCTAGGGGTTGATATTTCAAGTTTGCTTGTGGTTACAAAATTGCAACGTTAGTATATTTACTTCAATTCATTCTTTTTCAAAATGAAAATGTTAAGGCTATGATTTTATATTTGATTTTAACCCTGGCCTACACACCATACATTTTGATATATAGACTCCTTATGTTTATTATTTTCTAAATAACATGAAAATAAAAACATATTCTTTGACCTGCTTGTTAACTGGAATGTTATTTTAAATTTGCCTGGGGTTGAGGTTTTGGCATTAAAAGATTTTTACATGTTTCTAGCTTTATTGCATTGTGGGCAGGAATTGTGGCCTTATTTTCAAATCATATTAATGACTGTTTTATTGTTTAGTATATAGTAAATTTTGGTAAATTTTCTACAAATATTTAAGAAGGAGAACTATTATTTATTTGAAGCTAAAGAACTAATGTGTGTTGATTAGTTTAGTTATATTAACTGAAAGCAGGTATAAACCAGTGGGAGTATTTAAAAAACTCAGAAATGCTGATTTAAAAATTTGGGCTATTATTTATTTATTTATTTATTTATTCAATTAAAAATGTGTCTATTTGAAATCACCACTTTAATGCTGAAGTTGTAGAAAATACAAATACACCTGAAAGATAAAAAACAGCTTTCACAAATTTTTTTTAAAGAAGAAAAAAGCAGAAACTCACCATTATAATAATTACCTCTAAAAACAGCAGTTGAAAAGAGTTTGTTTCCTAACATTGATATCAATAGGTGGTCTATCTTTAGTTTAAAATACATTAACAAGTAAAATATTTCAATGCTGATCCTTAGATATTTTGTTAGTTGTCTGAATACAAAGAAAGATTTTTTTTTCTATTATAAAAATATACTTGTAAATATTTTGCTACTTTAAAATAATAAATCAAATAGATTTCCAACTCTCATTAGGTTCATACTATATTTATAATGTATCTCACATGGTGGTTAGTTTTGAGTCAATACCATTTGCAACTTGAGAAGTAAAGCAGAATAATCACAAAACACAAATGGATCCCATAAATAGTATCAGTAGCCAAAGTATAAATCCCAATAAGCATAAAATGAGGGGATTACTGGCAACACATTAATTATTTTGGCTATCTTAAGGAAATCTTTCTCACACACATATAATCACAGCTTTTCTTTTGCCCACACAAATAACCAGAGCCTACATATTAGAAAGGTAAGTGTACCTACACAACCACACACACACACACACACACACACACACACACACAAACACACACCACTTTGGATTACGGGTTTTGCATGGCTTTGACTTTCACCCTATCTTTTCTTGGTGGTCTTTTCTCTTTGCCACGGCAATGTAGCAGATTGAAATAATGTCAAACAACCTACCATGGACAGTGAGCTTGGCGCTCGTGCTGCTTGATCCTGCCACGTTAGCTGCCATGCACGTGTACTGGCCAGCATCATCAGGCTGAGCAAATGCTATCTGCAGGGCCCCAGAGCTGAGGATGCGTTGGCGGACTGATTCCATAACTGCATGCCCATCTTTATGCCAGGTAATATCAGGTGGTGGGAGGCCATCTGCCTCACATGGTAGGGAGATGGGTTTATCCACAGCAGTGGTATATTCCTTTGGATGGGGGCTAATGCCTGGAGGAACTAAAAGATACAAAGTTTATCTTAAAAGCATACACTAGGGTATTACTCCAGCAAAGTGAAGTCACACTGAAAAGAAACAAAATCCCAACTTTACCGTACCATCATTGAAGGATCACTACACTGTTTTCATTGGCAAAGAAAATTCTTTGAGCCACTTTCAGAAAATTATTCTCTACACAGTTAATAAATGTAAATGATAATCGACTTTAAATGAGGGCATAAATATATGTTCCTGATACTACATGCCTAGAAAATAGAAAATTTAGGTTGTGTCAACAGAGGCATTTTCTTTAACATACTGTATTATGTGATTCACTTCAGCTATCTAAACTTTCAGAATAGACCCCTTCAAGGTTTAAAAATCATTCCACTGCTGAGAGATACTTTTACTCAAATATTTCCTACAGTGGTTAGTGTCTCAAATACAGTGGCCACATTTAACAAAGTACTGTTTGAATGACTGAATAAATAAATGAATAGATCATGGAAAAGAATTATACAGATAAAACTATTCCCACTTTTTCAGAAAGCTATGGAAGAGCTTATGATAAGGAATTCTCTTCCTAGTGATTACAGTAGGTTGATTACCATTTAGGGATTGGCCTGGATCTTTTGTTGAGCCTCAAAGAAATATTAAATAATTGTGAGAGAGCAATCAAACACAAAGGAGGAAAAACTAGTCACAAGTACACAGGAAAGAAAGGAGAGGATGACCCACCCGTGTCACTGAAAGTCCAGAGAAGTGACAAAGTGCTGAGGACAATGACAGTAAAAATATCCTTTTAAGCATGTGCAGACAAAACCCACAAACAACAAAAACTACTACCCATTCAAGAAAGTTGAAGAGAGAAACCAAGCCAACAGTATTCACTGTTACCATATTCAGAATGTGTAGTGGAATCACAAATGAGATCTCAGAGATCCACTGATCCAGGCAACACTCTGTGCATAGCAAGTCCCGGAGACCTAGAACTATCTGCTGTATCTCCAGAGGATATGGAGATGTGGTCAACCACATAGAGAACAGATTTTAAGATACACTACTGGTGATGAGTAAAATAAAATCAAGTTGTGAAAAAATACAAATAACCATATTAAAATCATTTATATCAGCCAACATTATTTGGTTGGGCTTGTATTTGCCATTATATACTGTTTCTGCAAGAAGAGAGATTTGGTTCAGAATTTTCATGCCTCTAAAGCATGCAGTTATTTCTGGTTGCTTTTGAAATGTTGAAATGCCATTAATCACCTACTGTGTTTCTTTGTCCCATAACTGCTCAGATTTTAATCAATTTTAATCAATTAGTGAAGGAAAAAAACCCTCCTATATGGAACTGTTCTTTCCATGATCTCCATGTTGCCAAAACAAATGAATATTTAATTGGTCCTTATCCCAACTGACCTCTCGCTCACATTCAACAAATTGTCCACTCCCTTCTTGAAATGATCTCCTCTCCTAGTTTTCATACGGCTTTCCTCCAACATCTCTGCCTGCTCCTTTGTATTCTTTTCTAGCATCCTCTCTTTCCTCAGACTGTTTCTTAAACAATGCACAGTACTGGGTCTTTGTTTTTAGTTCTTTCTGTCCAAATTCCGATCCAGTCTTGTGGGCTGAAATACACTGATTACTTCCAAATTTATATCTTATACTATACTTCTCGAGCTCTGGATCCATAAATATTCAATTCCATTTGATATCTTCACTTGGATTTCTAATAGTTTCCCACCTCTAACAGGATCAATCAGGAATCATGTCTTCCTTCCTCTAAAACCTGTTCCTCTCCTTGCACCTCCCCATGGCACTATCATCCACTCACTAGCTCAAGCCCAAAGTCCAGGAAACATCATTAATTCTTCTCTTTTCCTAACCTCCAAAATCTGATTCATCAGCCATCCTGGCAGTTACATCTCCAAAAATATCTTATCCATCACTTTTTTCATTTACCCCTGCAATTTACATAGCCGCTCTCACTCCCAGCCTGTAACATGGTGCCTGGAGGACCCAAAGAGTTCCTCCAGCTCTAGCCTTGCCCCTTCTCTAAACCAATACCTACACAACGTCAAAAGAGATCTTCCTAAAGCCAGATAAGCAACATGGTTAAACCCTTAGAAGGCTTCCCACTGCATAGAGAAGAAAGTACAACCTTTGTGTGGTCCCTCTGACCTTCCATGCATTGGCCCGCCTTCTTTTCGGACTTCCTTTCCATTTTGCCAGCCTTCTCCTTCTTCACTGCTCTCCACCACACTGGCATGCTTCTTTTCTTACTCTTTCCTCCCTTGGGGCCATTGCACATGCTGCCCTCTCTCCTGGGGACACTCTGCCGCTTTTGCACGGCTCATCCTAGCTCATCATTCAGGTCTCAGCTTAAATGGTACCCCTTCAGAGAAGGGTGCTTCTTAGAGCCCACTTTAGCCACTAAGGTAAGGTGGTCCCTACGTTTCCCCATGATTCCATCTCAGCCTTTTTTTTTTCTGCTTAACACGTTAGAACTTATAATTATTTCATTTATTTGGTAGTTTAGTTTTTTTCCCTTTTCCACACTATAAGGGAAGCATCATGTCTGTAATGTTTAATGTATTTCCACTTATTATTCCAATAAATATTTATTGAGAAAATATTGAAAAATATAAAGAAATTAGATTTATGATGTGCAGTTAGGTGGGCTTTACTGTAGTCATTAATTCATCATAGGAAAATCATACTATAAGGAAATTCAAAATCAGCTAATGCAAATTCAGTAGCTCAGAACCTGCCTCCAGGTGTCTTCTTCACTCACAAAAACAATGTATGCAAATATGAATATTGTGTTCAGAAGATAACAGTTAAATGTGAAAAAAAACCCTTGCTTTGTCTACAGAATAATTTTTGCCTGTCAAATTGCTTAACTGTAATTATGATTTTTTTGTTTCATGATTTTTTATTTATGACTTGAAAAATGATGATTTGTTTTTGGAGTGGGTATTACAATGTAGTGTTTCATAATGTATCCAATGCAGTATTTTGGAGAGAATGGTTTTAAAAATCACTTTAATTATGTGCCACAATGAAATAGAGTACCAAATGGAAGTTTGTAGAAGTCCAAAATTACTCTGAGATGCCTCAGTTTTCTTACACAAACAATGACCCTCCCCCCAAATCCCCAAACATTAACTTTTCTCCTTCATAAGAGTGATAGAAAAACGCATTGTATAATGTAAACTCAGAATGTTGACAACTATGGCAGCATCATTATTTTAGATAAATGAAATGTGGCATCCATCGTTACAAGCATCTTTGCAATGAAGACATAGAGATGAATTATTTAGGTACCTTGAACATTTAATTTGATTTTGCCTAAGGCTGTACCAGCTGGATTCTGAGCCACACACATGTAAGTGCCAGCATCTTCTCTGACGGCTCTGGAGATCTGCAAGCCGCCACTAGGAAGAACTGCATGACTTTTGCCTGCATTGCAATTGTGAAAGCAGGGTAAAAATAATTTTTATTAAAAATTCTTTTCATTAAAAGATAATACTGACTTCTGAATTATAAAACACTGGTGTTTTGTGATTTTCTTGATAGAAACACTGGTAGGTACCTGAAGCGATGACATTGATGCCTTCTTTTTGCCAAGTAATGAAAGGACTGGGTGTCCCTGTTGCCTCACATGGTAATAAAATTGGATTGTTTACAATGACGTCTAGTTCACTTGGCTGAGGCTGAATGACTGGAGGCTCTGTAAGAACCAATCAACAGAGAAAGCAATGGCACCAGTTAGTGGCAGGAACATCTAAAGTAGCCATGGGTTAAACATGCCCAGATTCATATTTCCAAATTTTTAGTGATCTGATTGTGCTAGGGAGAAGAAAATATTGACCATATTACATTTTTTTGAGTCTTGCAACTGTAGGCAGTTTCCATTAGAAGACTAGAAGCAGGGGCGCCTGGGTGGCTCAGTTGGTTGAGCCAGGTCATGATCTCAGGTAATTATCTCATGGTTTGTGAGTTCGAGCCCCACATCGGGCTCTCTGCTGTCAGTATGGAGACTGCTTCAGATCCCCTGTTCCCTCCCTCTCTGCACCTCCCCGCTTGCTCTCACTCTCTCTCTCTCTGTCTCTTTTAAAAATAAATAAAACATTAAAAAACAAAAAGACTAGAAGCAGGAACAGATTACAGCAATTCAAGAAAAAAATAACTTAGGGGTTGTTCTGTGTGGTTTGTCATCTGTAGGTTTTGTTTTTTTTTTTTTTTTTTAGTCTTTTGACTAGTACCTATCAATCTTTCATATTCCCAAGATATTACCAGGTTTCATAACTCTAGAAAGTACATCCATCCCTTCAAGAATAAACATGGCTTGAAGAAAAAACAACAAGCTTTTAATGAAAAGTAACCTTCATACCCTGGACACGAAGGGTCACGTGTCGATGTGCAGAACCAGCTGCATTCCTGGCAACACAAGTGTATCTTCCAGCATGGGTGAACTGAGTGGCAGACATTTCAATTGCTCCTAAAAAGAAAAAAAGTTTTTATGCACAGTGTGTCCTTTTTTTCTGCAACCATTTTTCTGGCTCAATAAACTAGGTTTCTCTGATTTTGTGTTTTTGTCCCTATAGCATAGTGGTGCTTGGCTTATTTGCATACTTGCATCCCCTGAAGTGCCTAACACAGTGCCTTTTGGTCATTATTAATGACTTCATTTAGGCAAAACTTACAACCATAAAATTCACCCAATTAAATGTCCACTTCAATGATTTTTAGCTTAATTACAGCTACATGGCACAACTATCACAATCTAATTTTTAGAACATTCCTATTACCCTAAAAAGAAATCTCATCCTATTTACAGTCACGTCTCACTCCCAACCCCAGCCCCAGGCAATCGCTAATCTCTTCACATTCTCCGTATATTTGCCCTTTCTGAACATTTCATGCATTTGCAATCATACAGATGGCTTGAGTCCGATTACCTTTGCTGTGAGCAGTTTGTGAGTTTCATCTGTTGTAGCATGTGCCAATTTTTGCTCTATTTTTTTTGCTCTATTTTACTGATAAATAGAATTTCATTGTGTGGATTATCCATATTTTGTTTATTCATTCACCAGTTGGTGGACATTTGGATTGTTTCTCCTTTGTGTACTGTGCATAATGCTGTATGAACATTTGCATACAAGTCTTTGTGTGGACATATGTTTTCATTTCCTAGGAATGGAGCTGCTGGGTCACATGGTCACTCTGTTTAATATTTTGAGAAAGTTCCAAACTGTTCTCTTAACACAATACCTTGTGCTGAAAGGTACTTCATTTCTATTTTATGATTTTAATTGCTACCAATCTATATAGGTTTCTGAGACAGCCAAAATACTTTGCTTTAAAAGCCAAGTTCTACCCTGCGAATGATCTTCCATTATTTCCCTTCTATTGAGAAAATAAATTCCCTTAGAATAATATGCACAGATGCATAAAACCCAGGATGTTAGTTGCTACTTTAGTTTATCTCTAATGCACCCTCCCAACTTAGGGGATCAGCTTTCAGAAACACCAGTGTGAATTACCTATATTTTCATTGAGGTGAATTTTTTTTTCTCTTTCAATACATAAACTTTATAAATGATGGCTGCTACCACTCTCAAAAATTACCCATCCTAGCACTTATCACCCAACCTTCCCTACCTACTCAATTATAAAAACCTTGAAAACAAGAACCCTCTTAGTTTTATAACCTCAGAAACTCGGTGGAGTCTCTAACTTATTTTAGGCATTAAATGTTTGTTAAGTGAATGGAGATTCTTTTTGGCCAATGGAGGGAGTACTGCTCACTCAAAAGCAACCCATGAACTTGTAAAACCTTAGCATCAGTAAGTATGGACATAAAATTCCAATGATCACAATTATATTCAGTTATTGTTATTTTGTTTCCAGATTTTTTTCTCTCCTGTTCTCTAATTCCCCTTCACACTCTAACTGCCTTTCCCCCCAGGTGCCTAAGTCTAGGAATGAAAATGAATTTTATTCTTTTATTTGGGTGCCAAAAAAAGGCCAGGTGAAGCCATCTATTCATGATTAATCTAATCACAGATGTGTAATCACTGAGCTTGGCCTTACCTGATGACAGAATTCTATAACCGTCTCCCCTGGGAAGTAGTCTTATCCCATTTTTTGTCCAGTGGATTGAGGGAAATGGAACTCCCGAAGCAGTGCAAGTAATCACCGTTGGGGCGTGTTTGGTTACCAGGAAGTCTGTAGGCTCATCAGCTATGGAAGGTGGAACTAAAACAACAATAACAACAAGAAGAAAGTACTCATTTGCGACCCTTCCAGATTTCCAAACTCTTATCATACATCTTTCTTTCCCTACACTGAAAGTGAATGTTAGGTAAGTGGAAAAAGAAGCCCTGTTGTAAGGTAGTGGAATGATGAAATGTATGATGATAGTAAGTATCAATCCATACAGTAAGCCAGTTCTACCTTGGACAGTGAGATCCACAGTTCTTTTATCCTCTCCGGCATCATTTGTCACGGTGCACTCATAGGTTGCAGTGTCATCCACAGAAGGGGAAATAATTACTAGTGAACCTGAAGAAAGGAGCCTAGAAGAAATATTTCAAAGAAATGATGTACTATATATCATTTTTCATAAATGTTGGTTCAACATGGTACCATGTTGTGAATTGAGGGAAATGGAATTCTTTCCTCATGTTAAAATGAGGAGTCTCTCTGATACTTCATATATCAGACTTTTTTATATGGGCAATGGGTTAACAGAGCCCTACCTTGAGATTTATAGGAAGCAGCTGGGTGGATTGTTCGAAGGGGGCATCCTGCATTTTCTGAATGCTTCTATCATGATCAACCATGCTCTTCTAAGTGAAATACAGTAAAATGGGCACACTGATGATAGCTATTGTTGATTGAGCATTGAATACATTCTGGCACCATCTCAACTGTTTCACATAAACTATCTCTAAATTTCACAATAGCTTTGTAGATTGGTACTTGATTATTTCCATTGATGGACAGGTAATTACAACTCTGTCTGTCTTGCATGTTTCCCTCCTTCACATGTCTCCTTACATGTGCTGGACATCTTAGAGATGCATAGTACATACATCAATAAGTCTTTTTCCTAATGTCTAATCAATTAAAAACTAAAGTGATCTAGATCATTTCAAATATTTAAGAGCTTTAATAAATATACATATATTATTCTAAGTAAATCTAAATAAAATATCTACTTTCTTACTGCAAAGTGTGTGCTGATGGAATAAAAATGATTTGATTTAATGGGAATACATTTGACATGCTTTTTTATTCAATGGTATTGTATATTTTCCATAGAGTGTATATCTTCAAGTCACTAGACTCCCGCTATCCAAAGAATAAAAGGGTGAGAAAGAGAGAGAAACAATAGAATTCCAAGTGAAACATTCCTGGTTTCATATTTCCTGATTATCAGAATTGATTATTGTCAAAGTAGATCTATGAGAACATTTGGCAAATCCTTTGACGAGGTATCTATCCATTAACTTAATTGAGATACAATAAATGATGCTCATCTTAAATATCAGAAATTCCTAGTGATTTAGGTTAGCTTTTAAAAACCATACACTGTGATATTATGAGCTACTGGAAGTAAAGCTGGGAGAATGCAAAAAATTGGAGAAAATGGTATGTTCCCTCATGCTATCAAATACCTAAGGTGTATTTCAGGTTCAGAATTTTATTTTTTATTCTACGGCTACAGCTAGTATTAATTTTACAGAATAGTTTTTCTTTTATACCAAATGATGCTTTAACGTTTTGTCTTTATAAAAATCTAAAAGGTGCTAAAAAATAAAGCAGAATAGGAATCTAATCTTGCAGATCTCTCTGACCTTCATTCATAAGGTTTATGAATGGAGAAGTTGAACCTATAATTCAAAAAAAGCTTTTAGGTTGAAAAACTAATTTCACATTAAGAAAAAATATATACTCTATATACTAGCTAATTCCTCAAACATGTATAGGCTTCAAACATGTATGTAAAGGCTGTCCCCATTGTATGTATATATATGCTGTCCCCATTGATAGAGATGAAATGTTAATTCTTTTTAAAATAATGTTTCTAGGGGCGTCTAGGTGGCTCAGTCGGTTGAGCATCCGACTTTGGCTCAGGTGATGATCTCGCGCTCTGTGAGTTCCAGCCCCGCGTCGGGCTCTGTGCTGACAGCTCAGAGCCTGGAGCCTGACTCAGATTCTGTGTCTCCCTCTCTCTCTCTGGCCCTCCCCCGTTCATGCTCTGTCTCTCTCTGTCTCAAAAATAAATAAACGTTAAAAAAATTAAAAAATAATAATAAAATAATGTTTCTAAATAGTAGGTGGGGGTTTTCAATTAAATTATTCCTTACTGGGGTGTCTGGTGGCTCAGTCAGTTAAGCGTCTGACTTTGGCTCAGGTCATGATCTCACCGTCCATGAGTTCAAGCCCTGCTTCAGGCTCTGTGCTGACAGCTCGGAGCCTGGAGCCTGCTTCAGATTCTGTCTCTCTCTCTCTCTCTCTCTCTCTCTCTCTCTCTCTCTCTCTCTTTCTGCCCCTCCCCTGCTTGCACCCTGTCTCTCTCAAAAATAAACAAATATTAAAAAGTTAAAAAAAATTATTCCTTACCTGTATGAATTCTGATTTTGATCCATATTAAGAAGATGCCCATTTTTCTTCCACCTGATTGATGGTTTTGGTATCCCAGTAGCCTCACAAGCCAGAGTAATTTGAACATTTACTGTTACAGTTATGTTGGTAGGACCCAGAGCAATGGATGGAGGAACTAAAACAAAGTCAACAAATAGGAGGGTAACACATTCAGCAAATAGTATGCCACCTGAAGTATTTCTGCCAGACTGAAATTAATCACTGGTAACTTGCCCCCTAATCATGAACTTGATCAGGCTCTGTGAATTTAAATAGTGTTGTGATGGTGCTAGCCACAGTGAGGAGAAAACATGGATCTTGACTGTTCGCAATAGAGTGTGGTACACTCGCGTAGCCCAGGATATCAAGGTCTTTATGATCTCACTGGTTTAGGCTATCAAAGAACATTTAACCCAAAGATTGGATGTCATTCACAGAAGTATATTTACCATGGACCTGTAAATCTATTCGCCTGCGGTCTGTTCCAGCAGCATTGGTAGCCATACACAAATATCGTCCAGTGTCTGTGACATGTGCTGACTGGATATGAAGGAATCCATTTTCCAAGATGGAGTATCTACAAGAAAGATCACAAGTGAAGTCCCCGGAATCAGCCTTTTCTGATTATTCACATTCTGACTGAGAGTATTTTACAAGACTTAGTTAAATCCATTTTTTTTTTTTTTTGTCTTTTCCTGCTTTAGAAATTCACAATACCCTGGGTGGAAAAGGGGGATGTTCTGCAAAGATGCACAGCAGATGGACTTGTGCCCTTGGAGGAAATACAATCATTATGTTTTTGGACATAAGCCTTACGATTATGCTTTTAAAATAGTATGTGTTGATTCTCATATAAAGATGAGGATACTAGTATTAAATATAACAAGACCAAAACAATACATTGGAAAAAAAGATTCAAGAATTTATATTTCAGTTAGTACAGTATTTTTTGTCCTCCAGAACTGTTACCTTGCGTGACCTGCAGATAGAACAGCTCCATCCTTTCTCCATGTTACCCTCGGGGTCGGCACACCCCCAGCAAGGCACTCCAATACAGTCGACCTATTTACGTGAACGACAAGACTCTGGGGGCCGCTCTTTATGTTTGGAGGAACTGCGCAAGAGAGGTATGTGGAAAACTTCATTCACATTAATAACACAGCCTGAACTAAGACTCTGAAGAGGTAATATAAGGTTAGCTTTGAGTCAAAGGTACAGCTTTGCCTGCGGCTAATTCAGGTTAGAATAAACAGAATTGGCGTTTAATTCCTAAAGTCTTACTCAAGAAACTCCATGTTGAAAAATAAAGCACAGGTTGGGGGAAGGAGGTTTTAAATCCCTGATATGGTGTGTGAAATCTGGCTTTCCTGGAGAGACGCTTGACTAAAAATTAGCTCTGGTCTGATGCAAATTAAAGATGATATTTCTTATTTCTCTTTGGCCAAATAATGGTCAGGGAATGTTAGCACTGGAACAGCTTCACTTTAAATAAAGAACAGACAGTGGGCCGGTCTAATGAAAAGCACATCTGTGATTAATCATGCAAGTCTCAGAGTATGTATTTTATTAATCGTTGAGTTCATATGGGAATAGAAAACTTGAATTTTAACTTTGGTATTAGAGATATTAGTTGTGTAGGTCACTCAATATTCTGTAAAGCTTCATATAGTAACCAAAGACACTATTATGGGGAAAAGCCTGTATTATCTCCCCTAATATTGGCGCATTTTAATGTTTAGATTTTATATCTGAGAAAATCACAGTCCTGTGGCAGTCTCTGTAGCACATATACACCCAACACCAACATGAATAAAGAACTAAATAATGGACCACCTGTCATCCAGAGATTTAGTGTAACTTTCTCAATGCCTCTTATCTGAATGACACAGAGCATCAGGATATGCTGATAATGACTGGACATATATTATCCTCTAAGATAATGTACCTTTAATTAATTTTTTTGAAATATCATTTGAATATAGCCATAATACAAATACATGTTGTCTTCAAAAAATAAGATAACCACAAGAATTTATTTAGCGTGCCCATAAGAAACAAAAATGTTATCATTTCTTTGAATGCCCTTGGCTAAATTTTTAAATTGTGAAACAATGGTTAACTTTCTTACCATTTACAGTGAGAATAAATTCTCTTGTAGTCTTTCCTGCAACGTTGCTGGCCACACAAGTATAATTGGCTGTATCACTTAGATCTGCATTGTTAATTTGCAAGTATCTCCCTCCAGAGAGGATTCGTACCCGAGGGCTTGCCTGGATTCAGCAAGTAAGATTTACCATTAAAATGTCAGGAAAAGAGAATAAAATATTACTTTATAACAGCAAAAAGTAATTATAGTGAACTGTGGATTGCCTGTCTCCCAGTATGCTTTGTCTGCTCCCCCTACTGTTATCCTGGGGTCCAAACCCCTTGGGAACTATTTCTATGAGTGTGCTTAAGGCAAGGGCACAATCGATGTTCCCAGTTCTCCTGGCCACAATGATCCAAGGGTGGGCAGCTGGGCCCCAGAGAGCCCTCTGCAGCACTGTGTTGGAAGTGTTGGGGAATAAGAAGTGTTCTTTTTATTGGTATCTGGTAGTGAGGATGACATAGCCTGGTAGTGGTCTTACCACCTTGTGTGGACAGCCTGTTCTGAATCTAAAACAAAGCAAGCAGAATTGAGATTCAGAGAAAAATTATCATAGATGCTTGCTTATGTGAGAAGAATCTCTGGATCTAGTAATACCTAAGACCTAAAACATAAGATTACCAATCACTGTAGGTAATAAATATCTTTAAATAATTTTTAAGTTGGTTTGAGTTTAATTCTGCCATTTACAACTGAAAGCTTCATGACTTAAATTAACTTTGCTTAACTTATAAGAAACAATGGTCCTTTAACACTTAAAAAGAAGTAAATAAATGATTTTAGTCTATGAATATTGTTAAGTGTTTATTTCGTACCCAGATGTAGAAACAAGAATTATGAAAATATAGCAACAATGAACCCTAATCTCTGCTATTAAGTCCAACTGGGAAAATAGATGTAAACAATTAATTTTGTATAACGATGCATGATGTTCATAATCACTAAACAATTTCCAGATAGCATCAAAGACTAATATTTTCTGGTTGCATCAAAGAAGGAACTACTTCAGGGGTAGCCTAAATAAGGTTTCTTTGCCATATGGGATCTGTCCCAATTAGATATACCACTGACCTTCTAATTGCATGGGTCCACTTACATGTGGATTTTTTTTTTGATAAATATAATTCAGTACTATAAATGTATTATCTCTTCCTTATGTTCTTATTAATAATGTGTTCTTTTCTCTAGCTTATTTATGTAAAAATAGAATATATAACATATATAACAATCAAAATATATGTTGATCAACTATTTATATTATTGGTAAGGCTTTGGGTCAACAATAGAGTATTAGTAAAGTTTTTGGGGGAGTCAAAAGTTATACGCAGATTTCTGACTACATGGAAGGGTTAGTGCCTCTTGTCTCCATGTTGTTCAAGGGCTAACTGTATATTTCTAATGAAAAGAGTTGTTCATATTCAAACATGCAGTTCAGCTCTTTATTTTACAAAGTCATGTATTTTCTTTAGGCCTTTAATTGCTATAGGGGCTCCTAGTGATAAAATTTTATTACCTCTGATGAGAATAAGTGATTTCTTAAACATACGGCAAGTTCTATAAAATATCTATTTTTAATTTTTTTATATGGGTATAGCAGGGTTTCAGGGTAATAAAAAAGGTCAGAGTTGATTCTTAATAATGTTTTGTGCCAGGAATATCAGTAAGTTCTGCTAACTCATCAAGCCTCATATAATTTTCTCTGGTCTCTTTCCATTGGCCACCAATGATTCTTCCAAATTTAACTTCTTTCATCAGATAGAATCTTATTGTCAGTTGATGATCTTGCTTCCTATTCCATGGAGAAAATCAAAGCCCTGTGCCTGCAGTTCTCTCCTCCTCCTACCTTACTTAATGAACGCAACCTTCCTTTCTATCTTTCCATCTCTGTGGAAAAGGTCAGCCTTTCTGTCCAAGGGTGATTTCTTCACTTGTGACCAGGGTCCCATTACTTCTCTAACACATGTTGTTCTCTAAACTTCTTTCTCTCTTATATCTTCAGTCTCTTATGTATGCAAGTCTTCTACATATTTAAAGAATAGCCCATAATTATTTCCATTCCCTCTTCTTCCTTAATTCTCCCAACAATGGTCGCCTACCCTTTCCTTTGATTACTCTGTTGAAGAACGACTGTTCAGATCTTTTACTATTTCTGTGTATTGCCAAAGTCATGGACACAAACTTAATTGTATCTCAGCATGGTCTCTGTTAACCACTCCTTCTCTTTTCCTTGGCTTTTAGTACGCCAGTGTCTCCTGTATTTAATCCTATCTCTCTGAGTCCTCCTTCTCAGTTCTGTTCTTCTTCTCTTCTTCCTTTGCTCGCCTTGTAATTATCAGTGTTGCCTTATGCTTTATTCTCATTTACAGATTTTCTCACACATTCCTATGTATGCTTTCTTATGCATTTCTTATGTATGTACATCTCAAGCATTCTTATGTATGCTTTCTGGTCAACTTCATACAAACCTATGGCTTCAACAACTGGTCATACGACTGAGGACTACCAAGTCAAAGACGTTTTTGGTGAAATAGGGACCTATATTTCTTAGTGCTTTTTAGAATCTCCACTTGGATAATATATCAGTAATTCAAACTCAAAATATCTGAAACTGAATTCATCTCTTTTTCATAACCATTGAACTCACCCTGTCCCAGCACTAACATCACTTGCTCATAGCTGGAATTATTCTAAACTTCTCCATCATCAACATTCACTCAGTCTCTGTCTGAACACCTAATAGTTTTGAGTACAATGCACATATGGGAGATAAAACTATGGAAAAAATGTCAGAGCATGAAAGGTCTTGTGAGCTAAGTGGGGTAGTTTAACATGAATCCTGAAATCTGTGGGGAATAATCAGAGTATTTTAATCACGGTCTACTTCAGCCACACCAAGCTACTTGCAGTTCCTGGAAGAACAGCATTCCTTTCCCTGAAATGGCTTTGTAGATGCCATTATCTATCATTAGAATTTCCCTCTTCTTTCTCACCCAACATCTACTCATCATTTAAAACTGATTTTACCCTTTTCAAGAAGCTCCCCTGAGCTGTCCCTTACCCTGGAGTCTGAGTTACTAGCTTCTCTTCTGTTTTTATAAAATGTTATACCTTGCGCTAACATGAGTTGTATCCATGCTATAATCTTTGATCTACTTCTATATCTTTTCAAGTAGTCTGTGAGCTCCTTGAAGGTCAAGACTACTCTCAGTAGCAATTATAGTGCCTATCATTACAGTAGAGGCACAATAAATAGAGAAACTGAGGCACATGAACGTTAAGTGATACCCATGATAATTTCACATGCAAGTAACCCCCAGTTAGCATCCAGTCTGTTTTTGGTCCCTTGGTGTGATTTGGTGGTGGCGGAAGTTCTTCTGCCTTAGGGGTTAGGGGACTTAATCTTCTTTTATAATTAGAGACAATTAGCACAGTAAGTTATACTAAGGATGAGGAGGAACAAAAGGGGAAAAAAGCATAAGTAACGACTAGGATAGGAACAATCAGAACATTCAAAGTCAAGGCTTTGAACCAACACTAAAAGGCAATTTAGGATCCTGGGCTGTGACACTCAGTGACAGCAGACAGATATCACATGAGAATGGGAAGCTTTAGAAAGCCTGTAAGTGTGTTCTTCAAGGATTCCTGTCTTATATTCTTGGCATCCAAGGGTATCACCTAGATTCTGGGGGTCCCTCCTGAGGTCCTGGTTTATTCTAGAAAAATTCAGTAAAAGGTTTGTCCAAGACACTTAGTAGGACAGGTCAGTTCTTTTGAGACTCAGATGGTTTATTCCCTCTCAAGTAAAGAAATAGCTGAGTATTTCAAATCCAACTTTAATCCATGGGCTCCAGGAGATACATACTTGGGCCAATTTACAGAGTGTCTGAATCAAAATACCTGTCTTTTGACCCATAGTTAGGTATTAACTACCTGAGTGAAGGTTGAGAAAATAAGGCTGATTAAAAGATCCTGTGCCCCCCCTCCCCCACGCAATGTTGAATAACAGTAGCCTGATGTTTGGTTTTGTCTACCTAGCAAAGACTACTCAGCTGATTTTTTTCCTCAAAATGAATTTGCGGAATTTAGGAGGATTTACCTGTAACTGATCTCCATTTTTAAGCCAAGTGATTATAGGTGGGGGCACTGCATCTGATTTGCATTCCAATGTCACTTGTCTGTTCCGTAACACAGTGAAATCCTGGGACTCATCAGTTCCAGCAATATTAGGGGGTACTGGGTATAAGAACAAACATATCAGAGGTTTGCAATAAACAAGATGTAAAATGATCTGTATTGTCTTAGGTTTTCAACAAATGTTACTCCTGTTATGTAAAATAAGAGGCATAAACTTAAAACATTACGCATTCAATTTATGACATGGATGACTACAAATAGTGGACTTTTTTTTTAAGCCTTACTCTGTACTTTCAGACACATAGAGTAATGAAATTCTTCCAAGAGCCACATGAATGACAGGATAAGTAATATAATCACATTACTATCACCATTTAACAGGTAAAGAAACTAAGGCACAAAGAAAGGATTTCTTGTCCAGGTTCCACACTTGGTAATGATTTTCTCTGAACATCAGATTTGAAAACTAATAAATGAGGGTCTGCCCATCATAACCTACAGAAATGTATACACTTTCTTAATATTCAGAAATGTATCTTTTTGTTAAAATGTTTTCATTTATTTTTGAGAGACAGAGAGAGAGAGTGCGATCAGGGGAGGGGCAGAGACAGAGGGGGACAGAGGATCTGAAACACTGACAGTAGAGAGCCCAACACGGGGCTCAAACTCATAAACCGGGAGATCATGACCTGAGCTGATGTCAGACTCCTAATCAACTGAGCCACCCAGGCACCCCAGAAATGTATCTTTTAATGTGACTTGTCAATTAGTGGCAGGCTTAATGTGTGTGTAGGGCTGGTGAGAGGGGGGTACCTAAATAACAGATAATTTGCATTGCCGAGTCATCTAGGCTACAAGAATGAAATAAATATTTCCTTTTGGTTTGTTAAATGTTCCTTTCCATAAAGAGTAATTCCCATCTCTATGTTGAAATAATATTGGCCAGAGTTTAATTGGGCCAACTTTTCTAGAAGGTAATTTGGGAATAAATTTCAAAGTCTTAAATGTGTGTGTGTGTGTATGTAATCAAGCAAGTGTACTTACAGAAATTTATCAAAATAAACTAATTAAGGAAACAGGACAATATATATACACAAAGATGTCTATAACAGTATTGCATATACTCGTGAAAACAGAACAGTTTAAATATCCGAAAATAGGGAATGGATTAAATAAATTATGGCATATTCATAAAATGGGGCACTAGGCCATCACTAAAAATTATTATAAAAATATGGTTTTTGACACGAAAACATGTTTATAATGCCATTAAGAGAGATGAAAATGAAGTTAAATACTACATGTCGTATGAGACATTTCTGTGACATCTGTATGCAAAAAGGCCTTTGTGTGGTAAGACCGGGTGACATATTTTCTTATTTATTGTAATTTATATTCTATGACTGGAAATCAATAACCATGAATTATTTGTGCAGGAACAAAATAAATAAGTCAAAAAGTCCGCGGAAGTTTTCAAGAAGGACTTGGTCAGCCAAATATAAGAACCAGATTTGCAAAATATGTATTTCCTTATGTAGAAACATATGATGGAGTTGCTCATGCTCCATAAATTATGGCTTCTAATTAGGTATATGATAGATGGTAGGAAATTTTGCCAAATTTACCATGCACTCTCACTAAATATTCTTTATCATCATCTCCTGCAGTACTGGATGCCAGACATGTGTACCTTCCTGTATCCTCCACCTGCAAAATCCAAATAGGTGAATTACACAATGTTAACTTGTCAGTTTCAGTGATGAGAATAAGTATTTACTAGAATGAATGTAAAAGTCTTACACAAAGCAAGGTATCATTTAGGATAGCACAACAATTAAAATTTAATAAACTATTTTAACATTTGTGATTAGCACTCTGGTTAGTGAGCACTGCTTGGCATCTCTATCATATATAAAACGATGTTTTTTTTTTTGTTTGTTTGTTTTTTTTTTTTTTTTTAAATTTTTTTTCAACGTTTATTTATTTTTGGGACAGAGAGAGACAGAGCATGAACGGGGGAGGGGCAGAGAGAGAGGGAGACACAGAATCAGAAACAGGCTCCAGGCTCTGAGCCATCAGCCCAGAGCCCGACACGGGGCTCGAACTCACAGACCGCAAGATCGTGACCTGGCTGAAGTCGAACGCTTAACCGACTGCGCCACCCAGGCGCCCCTATAAAACGATGTTTTAAGAGGGTTTCAATATTTGATTTCAGAACATTTGCATGTTAGGTATATTTAATGATCACAGAAAAGGCAGATGTATGTAGGACCCCACACCATACATGACAGACTAGATATACAATGTTTATTGAACCCGTTAGTATTTATCAATTTAAATGGTATCTGCCATTTAAAAGTTCAACTGGCATCTTCCTGAAGAAAATAAAATGCAATTTAAGTAAACAAATAAAATATCAGGTTATTTAAATAAAGTACATTAATACCATATTTTGAATCTACCTTTGGTAAACATGGTGAAACAAAAGAGCTATATTATGTAACCCGGCTGTAAACAGTGTCAGACTGACAGAATAATCTACTCGTATCTGACTAAAACCAGAAACATTTCTTTAAAAACCCTGTGCATACTTTCCACTGAAAGTGTGAGCCTTCCTTCGTATGTTTGACATTGTGTAGACACAGCCCATGCTTACGTACCCATAAAATATACTCTGGGAAACAGATGATCTTACTTCTGTGAAAAATGTATTTTGGAAAAGCAGAAAAATCCTGTTTTCATTTATTTTTACTACTTGAACATTACTAGAATATTGTGAGTTTTTGAATTCTTGCATTCAAAATTGACTTTATAAGTTATGGAAAAACTGTTTTGTAGGTTGCAAAAACTCCTTTGAAAAAATTTAAGACTGGTATGTTTGCAAAAATACTTAAATGCAACTTTAAGAAGCACGATACTCACATACATAGTCCTTCAATTAAGAATTCAAAATGATGGACCACTGCCTGGAGAATAATTTATGAATTTACCATCAATGTCTAAAACCTTTAAAAATCAACTTTTCTCTATCAACTAATTTTATTCCCAGTTAATATTGCTCACCCCCAATTGTTTTGACTTTACCAAACTTGAACTATCATTCAAGTTCATCTTAAGTCTTTACCTCCTCCAATAAATATTTCCTGACAACCTGTGCCCTTCTGCATGCCTACAGTCATTATATTTAGCTACATTTTCAAAACTGTGTTCTGTTTATAGAGGGTTTGAAAAGGTACAGTTAATCAGATTTCTCTAGAGCAGTATTTTGTGGAATTGTTGACATGCACTATGGTTCACAAAGAAGAGGAAGGTATAGTATGTAAGGTTTTCCAACTGTATTTGGTCACAGAATTTCCCCCAGTGGAATAACTCACAGAACTAGCATTTGATGGAAGATATTTTAGGAAACTCTTGTCTCTAGCACACAATTTGGAATTTGCAAAGCATCCACTATGTGCCAGTCATAACTATATGCTATAGTTGCATACACGAAAAGACAAAGTTCAGATAAGTGAAATTTAATGTAGTAAGTGCTATAATAGAGATACGTACAAAATGTGAAAACACAGAGGAGCAGAGGAACCAAGATCAGTCTTGGGAGTTAATAGTATTTAATTTTCTACTTTGAAAATATCTTGAATGTTTTTTTTGAACTGTTTCATTTCCTAATTTTATCATGTGTGTAGTTTTATGTGCTTGAGACAACTGGAAACTTCTGGAAGGCTGAGACATGTTTTATGTATTATGTTTGTATTCTCCACAATAGCTAGTGCATGTGGGTCACCAACTAATACTCTGTGGGATCTTTGTCTCCTTTTGTTACAACCCAACTATATAATGTTTCCATTTAGACCTACTGTGATGTGGCCTTAATCTTCATTTAGGGTTTATTTACCACCATTTCTTTGTTTTTATAATTCGATTCCACACAGTTTCCTTTCCCTTTATGTTACAAAATTCTTCTGAATCTGTTATCTGTTGAAATTATAACATTCAAGGGTTTTCATTCAGTAAGTGGTTTAACAATTTAACTCGAGTTTCCTCTGAGTTACTGCAATATTTGTTGGAGAGAAAAGAGGGGAATGGAAGGCATGTTCTCCTTGATACTGAAACCAGAAATGTGCTGAGTTCCACTGGTAAGGCTTTTGAACCCAATGTAGGATCGAGACCCAGCTCTATCACCAAACTTGTTATGCAAGTACTAATCTCTCTGTGCCTGTTTCTGGCTGTGTAGAGTGGAGATAAAGACATTGCCTCAAAGAGTTGTCATGAGAGTCACTGGTGTGATAGAGCCCAGAGTTGAACATAGGACTGACACAGTAGACAATTTATAACCCTTAGCTCTCTTTTTCCGGCTCCCTTTCCTTCCTCTTTTCTCAGTGAAAAAGCACACAGAATATAATTAAATAATTTGTTATTCCAGGTTTAAAGGAACAATGATTATGATAATGACAATAGCAGCAGGAAAAACAACAATTCCATCTAACTCTATTTAACATTACTACATGCCTATGGCACCAGTCTAGACACATCATGTTAGATGATCTCTGAAATTCTCAAGTGTAGGAGTTAGGTATTATTACTATGTTTATCCCAAAGTTACAGATGAGGGTATTAGGGCACAGATGGAGAATATCTGTAATATAAGGTTTGTCTTTGTTAGTAAAACAGAAGATTGTTATAATAAGACATCCCAGACATGCTTCTCTTTAATATTTTTAATTTAAGATGAATTTCCTTAAACACAAACTAAAAGAACAGTCAATTTTACTGAATTGATTGAAAAATTGTATCTGTTCAGATTCGTATGTCTCCTAGTTCATTTTGGAGACCAGAAATGCTCTTTGAGACCTCATATGTATATATGTTGGATTGTTTTTTGCCACTTTTGTAAAGGGCTGCATGGTACAAATTAAGAGCTTCAGGAAATATATTATCACTTATAGCACAACTTTTTGACTTTGACACTTACCTGGGCACTAGATATTTGAAGGACCTCTCCACCTCCAAGAGTTTGTATCTGTTCTGTCTGTGGGAGGGGCCTTCCATCCTTCATCCAGGTAATTTTAGGAGTTGGAATTCCAGAAGCAAAGCAGTTAAGTTCAAGTGGATTATTAACAATCACTGATATCTCTACAGGTTCTTCAGATCCGTTGATATGAGGTGGTTCTATTTAAAGGGAATTAAAAACAACAAAATAAACTTGCTGTTTGATAAAATACTGATTAGAAAAACTTTAAAAGAAAATTCAACTCAAATGTATGTTCATATAATATAAATTGGTTAAAACAAAGATACCAAAATAATTCCTACACGCTATTACCCGTTGTCATTGGCACTATTTTAAGAGGGACAGATCATGCCTATCATAGATCATGAAGTAAATGGAAAGGTAATTATAGCTCAGCATTTGGGATTCAGATAATTAGAGGAGTCTTACCTAACTGCAAAGATTTGAAAACAATAAAAACTGAAGCCATCTTGTATCATTGTTTAAGGAGACATACTTAAACATAGCAGTGTGTTTTTGTACCTTCTAGATATCTATTGTTTAAAGCAACAGGCAAATGTTGTGGAATTTTGCTATCATCTTTTCCGTGCAGAACTGTAGGAGGAAACAATGACTAAGCAGAAGAAAAAATGGTTACATTTGGAGACTATTTCTGCCTAAAACACATTTGTTATGTCTGGGCAGAAATAATTTCCTTTTTTGTTATTTATATTTCTAAATTACCTTTCTCAAGAGGATGTTAAAGAATCTAAACACTTGGAAGAAACATTAACGTTCCTTAGTCCAACTACTCTCAAGTTTAGGAATCCCTTTAAAACAGTCTTTCCATACAATGATCATTCAAGTTTTCTATGAACATTTCCAGCTTACTATTTCACAAGGCAGCCAAAATAGTTGTTGGACAGCTCCAAGGATTAGACTTTTTTTTTTTTTTTAAATCAGGCACACAGTTTAGAACAGAGGTTTACAGCAGAACATCTGGAGTCAAAGAGCCTGAGTTTGGAGTCCTGGCTCCAACAATTATTAAGTTAGTGCATTTGGGCAAACCTCTAAAATAAGGACAGCACTATTATTTAACTAATAGGATCATGGTGAGCATTCGATGAGATAATCTATAAACTACACAGTTCTCTTGTGTTTCTGAATATGTTTTATTTTATAATTAAAGGTTTTAAAAAAGTTATTACTATTTCAATGTCTACCACAGCTCTTGGTATTTTTTTTCCTTCAAATTTTTTATTAAATTCTGGTTAGTTAGCATATGGTGTAATATTGTTTTCAGGAGTAGAATCCAGTGATTCATCACTTACATACTATATCCAGTGCTCAATACAAAAGCCCTCCTCATTACCCACCACCCAGCTATTGGTATTATTATTAAAACCTGCTTACTTAAAGAAAAAAAATCCACCCATGGTTTTCATTTTCCTTTCTGGAGAAAGATAATACATTAAATCTATACTCCTTTTCAGACTGTAATTAAGAAGTCAGAGTTTCTTAACCACTGACCCATTCTTTTTTACTTTCTTCCATCTTATGTATTGCTGTCAAAATCCATTTTATTAAGTGCATTTTAAAATGATCCAAAATTTCTTATTTAAAGTATTTCAGTGTCTCCATGTTGCTTACTGAATTGAAGAAAAACTCCTTATCATGGCTTCCAAAGCTTCATCAATAAGGCCTTTATTTATCTTTATAACATTATGTACTTTTAATATACTTATATGTAACCTAGACTTCAAATTAGACTACTTCTTTTCCCTCAACAAGTCCAGTCTTTTCTTGCTCTGTGACTTTACTAATGTTATTCCTTCTACTGGAACATTCTCCAATAGCTCCATCCCGTAACTGAGCATGTTCGAATACTATCAAGGTCACATTAAGGTCATTAAATTTATCTGTAAAAACTATAAATCCTCTCTTGATTCTCTCAACATCAACAATAAAATTTCTATCCCGTATCACTCAAAAGCACTTATCTGATTTTCCATTTGACTTACAGTCAATTCTTTATTCCTTTTACTTATTGGTTATTTACCATGTGCCAATCGCTGTGGATGCAAAGACTAATCAGGCATAGCCTTTAGCCTCAAAAGCTTACAGTCACTAGATTGAAAACAGCAGCGTAATAGAAACAACATGCTCCCACCTGATTCAAACCCCAGTCACCAGGTCTTACAGATGTTAAGTGATTGTGAACAATTTTATTCTGGGACTTGTTCATATGTCTTATACTTTGGACAGAGTAGGAGGTGCACATACTCTGATGACTCCAGAACTTATGCTTTTAGCTTAGATCTCTCTTCTGAGCTCAAGACCCATAAATCTAATTATCAGATAAACATCTCCAGTGAAATGTTTGGACACTACTTCACTCTCAACATGTATTCAGACTGAACCTGTTATCTTATCCCTCCAAACCTGGTCCTTTTCCAGCATTTCCTGCATTTATTCATTCAGTCACATAAGCCCGAAACTAGGAGTCATTTTTGATATCTTCTTCTTTATCACTCTCCTATGTCCAAATCCTCATGTAAGTCCTACTACTTCTACCTGAAATCATTTCTTTTTTTTAAAATTTTTTTTTCAACGTTTTTTATTTATTTTTGGGACAGAGAGAAACAGAGCATGAACGGGGGAGGGGCAGAGAGAGAGGGAGACACAGCATCGGAAATAGGCTCCAGGCTCCAAGCCATCAGCCCAGAGCCTGACGCGGGGCTCGAACTCACGGACCGCGAGATCGTGACCTGGCTGAAGTCGGACGCTTAACCGACTGCGCCACCCAGGCGCCCCTACCTGAAATCATTTCTAAATACATTTTTCCTCTCACCTCCATTACTAATCTGAGTTACAATACTATTTACTTGGACTAACATCGCCTCTTTTCTGGATCTAGGCACCCACCCAATATTATCTACCTCTTTGTTTCTTTCACATTATCAGAGTCAGTTTTGTTGGGGCTATCAGTAAAAACTACATTCCTAGCCTCTGTAGTAGATAGTAGATGGAGTGATATGTGACGATTCTAAGCAATGAGATATAAATGGAAGTGGTTTTGTGGGACTTCTAAGAAAATCTCTAGAGGAGCAACTCTTCACCCTGCCTATTTTTCCTGTTCTGTTGTTGAATCTACTGATGCTGGTGGTGAGCACACAATGCATGATCACTGACAACCATGATGTAAAGGTCAAGAGAACTGTAAATATCTGAACTGGTTAACCAACACAGCTACTGCCTACCTCTAGACATCTCACTCAGCAAGAAAAACAAAAGTTACTTGTTCAAGCTGCCATACTTAGCCTCTGCTATTCACAGCCAAACACAATTCCTAATAATACATGGGTCTCTCAGAATCCACTCTTGTCCTGCTCCAAGTAGCTCTCCACTTTGCACTCAGAGTGGTCTTATCAAACTGCAACTCTACTCATGGCATTCCACTTACTAGAACTTTTAATGGCTTCCCATTGTTCTATGATAAAAACCAAATTCTTAATGTGGTCAACAAACCCCTTCACAGCCTGGACCCTGTCGAAACTCCTTAGCTTTACTTTGTATGAGCATTTTCCCTTGTTTTCATCATTCTTCTTACATTGGACTTTTCAGAACCACTAATACACCATGACACCTCCCACCATGTGGAGAGCATTAAGCTAAGAATAGCCGTTCCCCAGGTTAAGATGGTTACTTTCAGATTTGGAGTGTAGCGCTGATCCAAGTAAAGAGCTTTTCAGGTTTTTAATGGAATTAGCTTTCAACAGATGTTGAAATGCTGAAACTTCTCATCTTTCTGCTGAGCCAGTTTTCAAATCTGTTTTAAGAAAATATTATCCTTATAAACCCTGCAGCTAAAAAGGTTGTTCTTTGTACACTATGCTAACAGTATCACTGATATTTTCTTCCTTAGTTTTCTACGTTGAGAAATGCTCTGGGTTGTGATTCTGCTGCTGGGTTCTTGAATTCCTAGAGGAGTATGCTTTCTCTCTTACCACACTGCCACGTGTTGGACCGGGCCATATGTTGCATACATGGTAGGTGTTCAGCACTTCTTTGTTGCATGATGACTAGAAACATGCCTGGCACATAATGTATAGTCAATGTACAAGATCACATTTCTGTCATCTCTTGTTATTCCTGATAGTCTGTGAATTGGTGTACCGGAATTTGTTACTCCACCCCTCCTTACAGATGCACACTTTCTTGTGTCTTTTGTCTCTAAATACCCTGGAGTAGCACCTCCCCTACCACCCTTCATTCTATGGAACACCTGTCTACACTGCAGTCTCCTCTTTGTTTGTTTAGATAGTATTATGCCTCCCTCTATAGTTAAAACCCTTTTATTTATTTATTTTTAAAATTTTTTTAAATGTTTATTTATTTTTGAGACAGAGAGAGAGAGAGCATGAGAGAGAGCATGGACAGAGGAGGGTCAGAGAAAGAGACACAGAATCTGAAACAGGCTCCAGGCTCTGAGCTGTCAGTACAGAGCCCGACGTGGAGTTTGAACTCACGGACCGCGAGATCATGACCTGAGCCGAAGTCGGACGCTTAACCGACTGAGCCACCCAGGCGCCCCAGTTAAAACCCCCTTTAATGCAGCTAGCAAGTATCTAATTCCATTCGATTCAATCTAACGAATAAACCTCACGTGTCAAATGCCAAGCTAAATCTTGGGAATACAGCAATAAGAACAATGGGTACTGCCCATCACAGAGCTTAACTAAGGATGAAGCAGACTTTTAACGTTATCCAAATGATTAAATTGGTATAGGTACTATGAGAAAGATTACAGAGCATCCTGAAAACATAGGCTAGCCTCTTGCCAAAATTATTCTTATTGTTCCTTGTGAGGTACATTTTGTTTGCTGAGGAGGCTGATGTTTTACGGACATTGTAGTGAAAAAACAAACTAAACTCCAAAAATAATTAATTATTAAAATAGTTCATCTCATTCATCCTCATTTCTCTTCCAAAGTCAAACTTTTTTATTTCAAGTAAATGGGGCGTTTTCTCTTTATAGTAATTGTGTGTAGAACATTGTAATACTCATTTCAAATATTCATTTTAATGCACACAAGAGTAAATGGAAGTAGACTTTTTGAAATGACTATGATAACTATCATCTATAATTGGATCACTTGGAAAGATTGTGTGAAAGAACATAAAATAGTATTCATACTATGCTTTTCCATCAAATTGCAATTTATCAAGAGCTTTTCGTTCTTGAAAAAACTTAAAAATCTACTTAGCGATTGGTTGTATGACTTTGTTAATGAATAATGTTTTACAAGTAGAAGTTTTCATCTTTTAAACAGAGGGGAAACAAAATAATTTAAATTTAACATGCTTCAGGTAAGAGTACACCTAGATAGGGGCACCTGGGTGGCTCAGTAGGTTAAGCATCCAACTTCAGGTCAGGGCATGAACTCATGGTTTGTGGGTTCAAGCCCTGTGTCAGGCTCTGTGCTGACAGCTCAGAGCCTGGAGCCTGCTTTGGACTGTATGCCTCTTCTTCTCTCTCTGCCCCTCCCCTGCTCCCACTCTGTTTCTCTCTCTCTTAAAAATAAACATTAAAAATTAAAAAAAAAAAAAAAAGAGTAGGGATGCCTGGGAGGCTCAGTTGGTTAAGTGTCCAACTTTGGCTCAGGTCATGTCTCACAGTTTGTGGGTTTGAGCCCCGTGTCAGGCTCTGAGCTGTCAGCACAGAGCCTGGAGCCTGCTTCGGCTTCTATGTCTCTCTCTCTCTCTGCCCCTCCCTTGCTCATGCTCTGTCTCAAAAATAAAATAAACACACACACACACACACACACACACACACACACACACACACAGAGTAAACCTAGGTAAATTACAAAACAGAAATGTGAAATGCAATGAATATTTATAAATTTTGTCGCTGTAGTAAGTGATTCTAAGAATTACATTTATTTACTAAATCTCTATTGTCACTTGTTTCCCAATTATTGAATGTTTACCTACCCAGGACCTTCAGGTTAAAGTGTTTGCTGACTTCTCCAGCTTCATTTGAGGCAATGCAGATGTACCTTCCTGAATCTTCAGTCTCTGCTTTGATAAGCTGAAGAACCATTCCTTGAGTGCTTACTGTCAGACGGGTATTAAGACCCAGAGGCTGGCCATCTCTAAGCCAAGACATCCTGGGAGTTGGAGTTCCATCTGTAAAGCACGTCATGGAGGCAGAACTACCCTTGACAACTGTGATCTCCTCTGTTCCCATCGCATTGTCCAGATTTGGTGGCACTATATAGAAAACAACAGGTAAAACTGACACATCTATTATAAATTGAGACCAACTTAGATTAAAAAAAATTTTTATGGTTCAGTTAGTTATATAGTATTTCTGTGATCTACTAAAATATAGAGTTTAAAATAGCATATAAATAATTACTGCCTATAATAAAAAAAGGTATTGGATAGGCTAAATAGTAATCTCCCAAAATATTAGCAATGAAACCTCAGGACTGTTTTCTTGCAGAACATACAAAATTAAACTGTTTTAAGTTTTGGCCATTTTTGAACTTTTTAGGTTTGTCTCTTTAATTTGTTATAATGCATATTATAATTACAGAAGTATACTTTCAACTGCTGCATGTGGAATAAATAAAATAATACCAATTTCTAGAGTAAGTTTTATATAATCCATCCAAATTCATTTGTAGGCTATAGTAAATAGTTCCTTAACTGTTCTCAGATGTTCTTTGGGATGTAGAAATTTGGACCAGTAAACCTTAATATTTCAGAAATGGAATGTTTTAGGTTGTCTCTCCATCTACACACATACACACACAAAGACATATATATGCACGCACATATTCATTTATATTTTAAATACTCTAAATGTACCACTAATATTATTAGAAAACATTCTGAACTTTCTCTTTGTATGAAAAGACTGGTCCTTGTGTTCGGATTGAAATGCAATTTTTAAAAATTTAGATTTGACTTAATGCAAGATTCCAGGTTAGAAGAGTATTTTGACAGATAGTATGTTCCAATATGGACCCTTTGGGAGAAAACACATTTTTCCTAGTTACTAAAATCATATTTTACCAGTTCTTCTGATATGTGAATATCTAAATATAAGCCTTTTGCTTAATATTGGACACATAGTAAAATACTAGGGGCATCTTCGTGACATACCAAAAACTTGAAGACTATAATGTTTATTATCCACCCCAGCTCTGTTGGAGGCCACACAAGTGTACTCAGCAACATCAGACACCTGAGCTCTCACAATCCTGAAAAACAATTTGACCCCATATTTCATAATTTAATCCCATTCAACATATACAAAGAAAATATTTCTAATTTATACACAGATTATGAGTTATGCTGGGAAATTTTAGTTATGAGGGTTACAAAATACAGATGCCTCAAATGCAATTTGTTCCACAAAGTTAATCAGGCAGTGACAGTATGCTATTAAAAATATAACATAATTTAAGAGTGAATATTTTTCAAATATACATTAATAAAGAATGATGCTAACATGAAAATCACATGATTGTGGTAGGCATCTTCGTATTACCTTTCCACAGAAAGTTTTATCTAAAATAGTAGTTCTTGGAAATACATATGCGATACATACATCTGTCTGTGCAAGACCTGTTTTATACAAATTTACTAAAATGTGAGCATTTAAATAAGAATAAAAAACCATTTCAATTTTATTGTTGTTATCCTCTCTCTTCTAAAAATATAGTGAAAGGGAAAAATAAGCAACAGCGAAACCTTATGAAAAAAACATTTCTTAAACACCATTTAGATGAGGTTAAAGCCTACAGTCACAGTGACTTTATCTGTCTAGCAAATCGCATATAATCAAAGCTGACCTGATAACCTGCCCTCCTGAGAGCAACCGGATATGGGAGGAGAGAGGCAGAGGAAGTCCATTCTTTAGCCAGTTGATCTGTGGTAGAGGTGTCCCTGTGGCTCTACATTCAATATTTATTGAAGTATCCACCAAAGCCATTAGTTTCTCTGCTTCTTCTTTATTACCCCTAATTGCGGGTGGAACTATGTCCCGCAGAAAATGAGAATGAGAGAGAGAATGGGTGGGGTGTGCATTACTAGTTCAAATCATTTCAGCGACAATTGCCCATACTGCTGCTTATCCCAAAAGGAACAGCAGTGACGTCAGATTTTAAAACTAAATGCTCCAGACACCTACTGCTAGAATTTTTATTTCTACTGATAGATTCCTAAGGTGGGATAGTCAAAAGAGAGTGAAATTTCACATTTACCGTAGACATTCAAGTTAAAAATTCGGTCTTCTTCTCCAGCAGGATTAGTAGCGACGCATGTGTATTTCCCCACATTGGATGGGAGAGCTCCGTAAATGTTTAATGTGCTGCCATCTGCAGTCACCCTATAGAAAACGCCACAATAAAGGCACTGAGATGATTCATGTGAAGCTTAGAGCTTGAAAACTCACTCTGGGTTATTGTGTTCTTTAAAGAAATACCACCATAAAATGCACCTTCATCTTAGATATATAATGGTTCATATCTTTTTCACTAAGTATACGGAGGTCTGTTAAACTCAGAGCTAGTGAAACTGGAGATTTCAGGCAACCAACTGAAATTCTACAGAACCAACTAAAATTCATGTCCTATATCTGCCACCTCCTTATGAGAAAAACTGGAAACGAATGAAATCAGATTGGGAATTTCTCTATCCCAATCAAAGACATGTTTTTCTCAAAGTTAATATACTTTTTCCTTACCCATAGAAAATTAAACAAAAATTATTAAACAAAATTTATTAAACAAAAATTTTTTAAAAATTCTGGTATGAAATTTGAAGAATGTTACAAAAAACTAAAAAAATATCAAAAAGTAACTATATATGACTTAGTAATATTTTTAATGGGAAGGAGAATAGGATAGCTTATTTAAACTGTGACAACTATTTTGTAGAGGTATATTTTGCAAAAATTTTTCTACACATTGCTAGAGCTTTTTCTTTGAATTACATAATAGTAAATAACTATACTGTTAGATTGTCAAAGATATTTAAGTTAAGATTATTGCATTATTTATCCCCTTCACACACCATTAATTATCAAATAAAACTTTGATATAAAACTTCCTATGTTTTAGAAAGAGATTAAATGGCTTTCTAAAGTTATTCCTACAATAGTGATTTTACTAGAATCTTCCAATGTCAAAAGTAAATGCTCCACTTCTACCCTATCATGTTATGACATATGATTGCCAAAAATTACAATATTATCTGAATCTAATGTATTTTTCATTTTCAAAATATCAATTTTAAAATTAAATGAGTTTAATCATATGAATAAACAAAAAGCAAGTTGCCATAAGCAAAGGGAAATGGAAGCTGACCTTGAAAAAATTACTTTATTTGATTGGCAAATTGTTCCACTTACAAACCATACATACTTATTTGCAGAGCTGTTAACAAATAATCAGTAAGTTAGATATAAGAACAAGTGCATTTGGGATCTTATTGTAAGAGACGAGGGACTGATCATAAATTCTTAGGTGCAAATATTACATAAGATCTTGGGTCCTACCACCTTTCTGGTGCTTGGCTTGCAATATGGTTGATATCAGTTGATTTAATAAAAATAATTAAATACTTGTTAACTATTGAGATATGTCCACACCAAAGAAATAAAACTTAAAATGTATCTCTAAAATATTATTTGGCAATGTACTCAATCTTCTAAAGGTAACAAATATCTGAATTTTAATATAAAATGACTTCAAAGAAAATAACATTTACTTATCGTTTTTTAAATCATGTATATTCAATTCATTGACTAGAAAACAGTCCAAACCCTAAATCTAAAATATTGATTTAAAATTATAAAGTGTATAATACATTTAATTAATGCTTATTTATGCATCTGATTCTTCAAATATGTGTATACAATGGGGCTTTTGTGATGAAGTTATCTAGTAGAGATTAGAATTCTGGACTGTTCTTCTAAAGGTATTTGTTTTTGAAAGTAGCAGGAGCAGGAAGCCCTGGAGAAGGAAGTGGGAGCAGGAAGCCCTTACCATGTAATTATCTCATCTCTGTATAGTTTGTTGCATGGGTAACAAGTACCAGCAGAAAATGGGATTTAGACAAATCACTACAAGGAATGAACTAGGTTATGATGATATTGTCTCTTTTTGCAAAATGAGCCAAGCACTCATTGATGCTGATGGATGAGGGAAATGCATGCGCACACACACACACACACACACATACACTTTTAAGCAATTCTCTAAGGAGGGTTTCTGTATCCAATTCTTCAAAATGTTATCTTTTCTCTTTCTAAATACAATGATTGCCAAATTCCCATGGCACTGAATTTGGTATTATTCATGTGAAATTTGAAGAATAAAGGCATTGAAGAATATCTTACAATTAATGATGTAAAGATTCTTTTAAAACATACCGGATTCTTTCTGTTTCACTGCTATTTATGGGCTTTCCATCTCTAAGCCATTGAATAAGTGGGGTGGGAATGCCACTTGCCATGCAGGTCAGCTCAACATTTTCCCCTAGAAGAACACTGACTTCACTTGCAATTTCAGCACCAGCAATACTTGGAGGAACTTTGGGAAAATGATTAAGATTCTCATTAACAAAACACAAGATTATAAATTCCAATGAATACAATAGAATCATAGAACAAAATGCCATCTTTATTTCATATTTTTCCTAGGTTGTGGTTAAAGATCCAACTATTGTTATCCTTATAAATTATTTTGTTTTTATACTTATTTATTTTTAATGTTTAATATTTTTATTTTTTTATTTTTATTTATTTTTTTTTTCAACGTTTATTTATTTTTGGGACAGAGAGAGACAGAGCATGAACAGGGGAGGGGCAGAGAGAGAGGGAGACACAGAATCGGAAACAGGCTCCAGGCTCTGAGCCATCAGTCCAGAGCCCGATGCGGGGCTCGAACTCACGAACCGCGAGATCGTGACCTGGCTGAAGTCGGACGCCTAACCGACTGCACCACCCAGGCGCCCCTAATGTTTTTATTTTTAAGTAGGCTTCACATCCAGCGCAGGGCCCAACATGGGGCTTGAATTCACAACCCTGAGATCAAGACCTGAGTTGAGATCAAGAGTTGGATGCTTACCCTGCTGAGCTACCCACGGGCCCCCATAAATTACTTTTAAATGAGGAATGATTAGAGGAAACAGTTCAATAATCCTGTTATATTTGTAAGTTGATACAATTATTTAGTCACACAAGCTAGTGACAAATCTACCTCATGGGCACCCTTCCTGGCCAAATGAATCACTTTTAGATTAAATCCTCAATATAGTTCAGAATTAGAACAGCTCAGGAGTGTGTTTTATGAAATCTTGGCATCAATGTCTGAGAAGAGTATCTAGGTTGGTTATTTCTCTCTTCATAATGCAATTTAAATATTCTTCATTCTGAACAATGGATAGACTTGTAGGTTTCAAGATCCAATGATTTCTTCTATACTGTTTCTAGCCAGCTTTGCTTTTCACGTTAATGATTTGATTGAGAAATAATGTCTAATAAAAATATTGACAATGGTATCAAGCAGAAACACATCTGAATTCCTCTTCTAAATAATTATGGTGGTATGCTGGAGGTAGTGCACACCAGCTCGCAAGAGCCAATTTTATACATCTTCCCTACTCCATGTTCAGTGACGTCATATTGGGAGCTTGAAATGGGTCACAATGGGAATAATTACACCATAGAAGCTGGCAAATGATTGGCTACAAATAAGGACCTTTTTGTCTGCGGAGTCAGTTGTTAAATATTTAACAGCACATCCCTACGTAAATTTGCAGAATTTACAGTTACTAAATTAGTCAAATCAATAGGAGTTTTAATGAGACTCCTAAAATGAGTAGCTAATATATGACAATCACTGGACTAGGCCCTATACATGTATTTGTAGTCCTGAGATATGATTACACACATAAAGTATCTGATGAAATGTTTGGTCATACCACATTACCCATGATTACCACTTATTATTGTTAATACATTAAACTAAATTAGACATAATCCCTGACCCTGAATCTCTGAATAGTTATTTTTCTCATCTTGCTTCTGAAATCTCAAAGCATCCCTAATCAGAGAAACCATCGATAGTCATAAATTTATTTCAATTTTTCCTACTTATAATTTTTAGTTGATGGTTCTTAATCTTACTTTGCAACATATACATTTATGAAATCATTACACTGTGCAACTTAAACTTATACAATGTCATATGTCAATTATATCTCAATAAAACTAAAATATTTTTGAAGTTAGCTTTAGCAAAGCACAAAATAGGTAGAAAATATTCAATTACTTTTATAATTTATGAGAAATTCTTTTCATAGTAACTGTAATAAAATCAGAAAAAGCCAGCATTCAACTTAGTTTCAAGTTAGACTTCTACTCCAATTTAAACATTAGGCCAAAAGTAATAATCAGAGGTTTACTGAAAATGGAAAGTATGAAAGTTCTCCATCCATCCAGTGGTCAGCATTATGTTGAAACATAGTAGGTGTTAATTAAGTTGATTAAGTGCAGAATGAATTAATGCTCCTATGCTCACCCCAAAATAGGAAAAAATCCATGCTTACTTGAAATCTAACCAATCCCTGACTTGCAGTTAGAACACAGTACAATCTCTTCGTAAGTTAATCTTACTTATCTATATAAATAAAAGCAGATCTATAGGCTTGGCTCAAAACAAGTTATACCAGATTAAAATAAATAAGTAATTCAATAGAATATATACTATTAGAAAACCATTTCAGTAAAAATGAAAAAATATAGAGATTATGACATAACTATTATTCTTTTTTCCAGTTACGACCATTTTCATGAAAGTACAACTCTACTGGTAAATATAGGATAGAAAATTGACAATATTTTTTGTATATCTAAAGTTATTTTGTAAGTCACATCATTAGACAGTGCTTATATCTCAACAAAAATGGAAAAAAGAAAATATCCAAAAAATTACAAAGAAAGGTATTTTCAATCAATTATAAATGATCTCTTTAGATGTAGCCTTATTTGTTTTATAGGTAGAATATAATAAAGAAACTGAAGGTGAATCAGAGTGTACCCCACATACCTTTTTAAAATTTTTTTTAAGTAAGCTTTATGCCCAATGTGTGGCTGAACTCACAAGAGTCACATGCTCTACTGACTTAGCCAGACAGGAGCCACCCCTACCCCACATACCTTGAATTGAAAGAATGTAATTTTTCTGTGCTTTTCCCTCCATATTTGATGCAATGCATGTATAGTTTCCACTATCTGAATGTTGAGACCGGGCGATTTGGAGTTTGCTACCTCCGGACAAAATATGTACTTCAAGTGAGTCAGAATTTTCTAGAGGTGAAAACAAAGCAAAACAAAACATAAAAAGCTCTTATTTTAACGTCTCTGCAATTCACCATAATATATCTTATTTTATGTGGCAACTATAGTTCTTAATTGTTCTTCCTTTGTACTTTCATTTTAAATGGGATACCTCTTTGAAAAAACAAGAAAGAAAAATCTCTACGTAATGAATACTATTAGTTATTATTAGTTATCATTATTAGTTACTAGTAATTAGACTTTCTGAAGTAAACACAGCTATAAGCATAGTACTGAAAATGTACTAGTTTCTTCATTAGTAAATTAAGGGCAAAAGAAAACAAAACAAAAAAAAGCACAGCTGTATTACCGATGGGCTTGTGGTTCCTCAACCAGGCTATCGTGGGAGGCGGGATTCCAGTGGCATCACATGTTAAGGTCACAGGATTGCTGATAGTCTCAACAACCACTTCATTTTCAGGCCCTTCGATACTGGGTGGCACTGTGAAAAGACAGAAGAAAATGTTGTGTCCTCATTAAGCTAATTCAGGACACTTTTGCATTTGCACATCTGGGGGAAAAAGAGCTGTATTAGAGGCAGATGCTCACCATATACATTGAGGTGGAAATTTTTATCATCCCGTCCTGCTACATTTATAGCTCTACATACATACTGGCCTGTGTCAGATACCTAAAAGAAAAAGATACTATTGTATGTGCTCCATTAAGTTACAGATGACCAATCACACTGTTCGCGTGTAGATTAAATCATAAGTCATCTTTATGCTCCAATGCCCCAGTTCTTTTTTCTTTTTTTTTAGTTTTATTTATTTTGAGAGAGACACCATGAATGGGGGAGGGGGAGAGAGAGAGGGAGAGATAGAGAATCCCAAGGAGGTCCGCACCATCAGCACAGAGCCTGATGCAAAGCTCCATCCCAGGGACCATGAGATCATGACCTGAACCAAAACCAAGAGTTGGATGCTTAACCGACTGAGCCACCCAGGTACCCCTCCAATGTCCCAATTAATTGCCTTCTACAATCCTGCTTTTAAAAAGTAAATAAATAAATAAAATTTAAAAGATAAATAAATAAAGAAAGAAAAATAAGGTCAATAGCATTGATGATGCTGTTTTTAAATAAGAATTATTTGTCACTGCAGTAAAGGGAATGCAACTGCCAATGCTTTCTTCCACAATCCCACCAAGGAGTCATGACACACGAACAAGAATAAAAGATGCACCTCAGCTTCCTTGATCTGCAGCATTTGTCCATCTGCTAAAATCTCCAAGCGAGTGGATTCTGTTATCATCTGCCCATTCTTATACCAGGTGACGACTGGAGGGGGCACGGCGTTCGACTCACACTCCAGTGACACTGAGGTCCCCTCTCTTACGTTAACTACAGAAAGAGATTCACTGCCATGATCTTTAATGCTTGGGGGCACTGAGGGAGGGAAACAAGAGCAGAAGGATTTTTTTTGTTTTTTCATTAAGATGCTGAGATAGAAAATCTCTAATACTAGCTTAAAAATGAAAGAATTTTATGAGGAGAATAAAGACAAACCATAGACAGTCAGGGAAACTTTTTTCTTGCTTTCACCAGCTTGGTTGATAGCAATACAAGTGTATTCACCACCATCAGATACCTTGGCCCGAATAATTTGCAGAGTTCGACCACCTGTGGGCAAATACAATGCAAACTGAAGAGCGGCACAGAGGCTGTTTTATTTTATTTTATTTACTTAGTTTTACATGTTTATTTATTTTTGAGAGAGAGAAAGAGTATGCAGAGGGGCAGAGAGAAACAGAGAGAGAGAATTTTAAGCAGACTCCACACTGTCAGCACAGAGCCTGATGTGGAGATCGAACCCACGAACCATGAGATCATGACCTGAGCAAAAATCAAGAGTTGGACGCATAACCCACTGAGCCACCCAGGTGCCTCTAGCAGTTGTTTTAATAACTATTTCTGTCAGTAAGATAAACAGCAAAATATATCCTTTTTCTAACAGTGAGATTTCCTATTCAAAAGCAAAGAACTAAATTGAATTGAGTGTCTTCGATCCTTCCTTTCCCTTTGATTTCAGTATTTATTCTACTTCCTTATAAAGGAAGAAATTCAGAAATTTTTTCTCTCCAGTAACCATAGAGAGTAGAACTGTTTGATACAGGTTCTAGCGAGCACACAGTAATTACACTATAGTCAAGATATGTTAAATCTCCCACAGTGTAGAAGTGATTGTCTGTTGGTCTATTTATCTATCCTCAAGGAGCTTTAGGATTGATTAAAAACAACCACTGATTTTATCCAATGAAATCACCCTTTTACTAGTCTATCACCCACAAGGAGTCTATCACCTGCAGGTTGTTCCTAAATGTCACAATTTCTTGAAAGTAGACCTTGTTACTATACATTCTCACTAAAACCATAAATCTGTACAATGTTATCCTAATGGCCCCAAATGGGTAAAGAGAGGTATTTAATGTGAACAAATAAAAGGAACAAGATAGGGGGGCCTGGGTGGCTCAGTCAGTTAAACATCTGACTTTGGCTTAGGTCATGATCTCACAGTTCATGAATTTAAGCCCCACGTGGGGCTCTCTGCTGTCAGCATGGAGCCTGGAACCTGCTTCGGACTCTCTGTCCCCCTCTCTCTTTGCCCCTGCCCTGCTTGCACACTCTCTTCTCCTCTGTCAAAAATAAATAAACATTAAAAAAAAAAAAGGAACAAGACAAAAGTTTGGGAAAAGACTAAGTTGATGCCATTTGTATTGAGAAAAGTGAGAAGGTTTTGCCCACTTTTTAAGAGTAATAACTTCCTTACCGGGCACAATGAGAGCATTTGTATTCAGCTTGATAGGCTGTTCATTCTTGAGCCAGCTGAGATCAGGAGGTGGAAAACCAGAGACCTCACAGGTCAAAGAGATGAAATTGTTCACCACAACAGTGAGATTTTCAGGGTTAGGACCGATGACACTTGGAGGAACTATAAAAGTAAACATATTAAAAGTGAAATCTGATATTATCAGCAATACATATTCCAATTTGTTAATATAAGCCTGATCACCATAGCCTGCTAACACACTGACTTAATGATACTGTTATTTTGCTGTCTCTTCTAGTTTCCTAATGCCCTCATCAAACTAATTTCCATCAGTTTTGTTTTTCCCAATTGAAAGAGGATACTAGAATTTTCAAAGACAGAATTATTGTGCATTTTACGTGTAAAATGTAGCAGGCAATTCCTAATATGGTTTTGTTAATGTACAAAGAAAGACCTAACAGCACTTTTTATTCAGTACATTTGAATATTCTTGTATTTAATATTACATTTTTATTTAAGGATTTATCTTAGTGCGTATAGCAACAGTAAAGTAGAAATTTAATTTTAGGGTGTCTATCAACAAATCATACAGGTTATTTTGACGATGTAAATAAGTGACTTTCAAGATGAGCAGAAAATTTAAGAAATAAACAATGTTATGGTTTATTGTTCAAAACAAAAAAAGATTTACAAAAGCAAAAGCAGTGCAAAGAAAAAGTGGAATAAAAAAAGAATAGGATTAATAATGCAATGCTATTTATGCACATTAAAACATGTGTAAATGGAATAGATTTTTATAAGAATACACAGACATAGATGGTATAACATCTTAACACATTCGAATGGTTTTCTATGAAAGGAGAGGGTAAACAGGAGCAAGAAATGGGCATAAAAATGAACTGATTAATAAATAAAAGTAAAAATGGGTCTTGTTCAGGCCAATGATGAGAGACATGAATGCAATTAACAGAACACTCATTATATTAAGATGAAGGTCTTAAAACAACATCAAAAACAAAAGCAAAACATCAAAAAGGCAAAATTTCTTTTACTATCACATGGTTGTTTATTTTTCACCCACTAATTAATTTTAATATTCATTCATCATTCATTTATTAGACATTTATTAAATATTTACTGTATTCCAGACATTGTACTAAGTGCTGATGCAGTGTGAAAATGTAATAGATAATGCCCACATAGAGTTAATAGTTTGACATGAAAGACAGACATTGAACTAAAAATAACAGCTAACATTTTTTTGAATGGATATGCTGTGCTTGGCACTGTTCTAAACACTGCACAAATACCATCACACATACATTTCACATGTACTATTGACTCCCCATACAACCTTATGTGTTAAATACAGTTCTTATCCTCATATTAGAGAAAAGGAAGTGGAGACAGAAAAGTTGGCATCTTGCCTAAGGCTTCACAACTAGTTACTGGAAGAGACCTAAAGACTGTTGTCTGGCTCAATTGCCCTTATTCTTAGCCACTGTTCTATACTCCTCGTAATTACAAATGTGATGAGAGTCAATCAGAAGAGTGGGTAACAACAGGGAACTATACTAATTTGGGGATCAGGAGGAGGAAGTGACATTGAAGAAGATACTGAAATACGAACAAGAATAAGTTAAGTGAAAGACAGAAAATGGGTGTACTTCCAGAAAGAAGGCACAGCATATACAAAGGTCCAAGTGGAGAAAAGAACACAGCACCTAGAAGACTAGCGTGACCAGAGTTTGAAGAACAAAGTAGGGGAGATGCACAGAGAATTAAAGGACTAAGCAAAGGTAAGATCTTTTTTCTTTTCATTTTTTTTAAGGTTTATTTATTTTTGAGAGACAGAGATAGAGCATGAGCAGGGGAGGGGCAGAGAGAGAGGGAGACACAGAATCTGAAGCAGGTTCCAGGCTCTGAGCTGTAGCCCGCCGTGGGGCTCGAACTCATGGACTGTGAGATCAAGACCTGAGCCGAAGTCAGACACTTAACTGACTGAGCCACCCAGGCGCTCCCAAAGGTAAGATCTTATAAGGTCTCTGGGACCCATTCATTAAGAATGCTCAAATACAGCCTCAAGAATGGGGAGCTGAAGAGTGTTTTAATCAGAAATTAAGATATCAACCTGGCCACCGTGGAGAGAACTAATTATGAGGCTAGAAGGGATTCAGAAAGGCCAGTGAGGAGACCAGTGCTGTAAAATGTGTGACAGATGTTGGTAGCTATGCCTGGGATGGTGTCAAAAAGGATTAAGAAAAGTGAATGGACTTACGGACATTTCATAGAATTTTTAGGACTTGATGTTTTGAGGATAAAATTTAAGGAAGAGGAGAAGGAGTCAGGGATGACACCCAAAAGGCAGGGTATAAATAAGGGGTATAGGTGTCACAAAAGCCAAAGAGAAGAGTATATTTGAAAATGATAGTGGCAAGAATGTCAAATGCACAGAAATAAAAACGATAAATCCAGGAAGTGCCTCTTGGACATAAAGATGTCATTTGATGAATTCAGTGAGCAGTTTCATTGGTGATGTGAAGGTGAAATTTGGAATGCAGTGGTGGAATGAGTGAGTGGGAGCGAGGAAATGGAGACATTAAATATATACAGTTATTAGAAAGGCTTGTTTTGAAATTGGGGAGAAAGCGAGGGAGGCAGCTGAAGGGAAAGTTTAAGTCCAAGGGGAATATTTTGTTGTTGTTTAAAAATGGAAGATATAAGTAAATTTAAGTGCTGTTGGGAAGGAGCCACAAAGAGGGAGAATTTCAATATTCAAGAGAATGAGAGGAGATGATGAGATTTTGGAGGAGGCAGTGGACAGGGATCTAGAGTCAAGTTAGTCTTTGGCCTTTGGAAGGTAGAGGGATGCTTCGATCTTCTGTGGTAATGGGGAAAGAAGTGGCAATAACAGATGGTGGTAGTTGCTCCATTTGATGGTAGGAATTTGAGGTGGTTTCTGGGCTATGCCTCCTCTTTTCTCTGTAAAACAGGAGGTGAGGGCATTTACTGACAGAAAGCGAGAGGGGGCTGTTTATGGACTGAATGTGTACATACCCAGCCTTGCCCTTCCACTCCCAATTCGTATACTGAAGCCCTGACCCTCACTGTGGCTGTATTTAGAAATGGTACCCTTAAGGAAATAATTAAGCTTAATGGGGTTGTAAGGGTGAGGCCCTGATATTAAGGATTGTTGTCCCTACAAGAAGCAACATCAGAGAGTTTCCTTGCTTTTCTGGCCATGTGTGCTCAGTGAAAAGGCCTTGTGGGGACAAAGTGGCCAAAGCAAGCCAGCAAAAACCTTTACCAGAAAGCAAACCCTGATGGAACCTTGATTTTGTACTTTCCAGCCTCCAGACAGTGAGAAAATTAATTTCCCTTGTGTAGGCCACACAGTTTCTGGCATTTTGTTATGGCAGCCTGAGCCCGCTAAGCCAGGGGTCATCTGAAGAGAGGGATGAAGGTGAGAGAGAGTCACTAGGGAGCAGACATAAGAGGAGGAGCCCAGGCAGTATGGAGAGCCCAGTTCAAGATGATACCTATCAATTTATAGGCACTGATGTTCCTGACTCCAAGAGTTCCTCCAGCCATGGTTAGCCACCTAGGTGCAGGTATGGTCAGAGGTGCAGGTATGGTCAGCTGTGGAATTTACTGAGAGGTAACACAGCAAAATAGCTAAGTTTAAAACCTCTAGAATGAGACTACCTAAGTTAAAATCCTGGCACTGTATTTGCCAGTTCTGTAACTTTGGGCACGTAAACTTAATCTCACTAGACCTCAGCCTTTTTATCTGTAAAAGAGGTATAAAATGGTACCAACCACCCGGGATTATTGAGATAACTAAGTGAAATAGCATACGTAAAAACTTGGCACAGCACCTAGTAGGTATCAAGCGGAAAATATGTTGTGTTGTTAGATGCAGAGCTGAGCTTTTACTGAACAAGAGCAATAAAAAGACCAAGAGAGGTGGCTGAAATGCTCTTCCATTAACAGTTAAGCTGGACACGAAGGAGAGTGAACACAGAGAGCTGAAATCCCAAGGGCCCGCAGACAGAGTCCAAAAGAAGCAAGCATTGTTGTAGTGGGATATAACAAGTGGTATGGTTTTAAGTGAAGATAATTTAAATTATGTCTCTCCAAAATGAATTTTCTAATTGTAAGTATGGGTTCCTGACTGTAATTGGGGTTCAAAGTATCATTAACTGGTGAACGAGGAAACACCCTCCCAAACTCCAGCCCTTAAGGGTAAACTCTAGTGGCTGCCGCCTCTCCAGGTAGCAAGGTTCCCACTTCAGGTGTTTTTGCTATGCATTAGGAAGAAGCAATGGGGGGCATTAACCATCAGACTTTGGCTCAGGTCATGATCTTGCAGTTCCTGAGTTAGAGCTGTGCTGACAGCTCAGAGCCTGGAGCCTGCTTTGGATCCTGTGCCTCCCTCTCTGCACCTTTCCTGCCTGCACTCTCTCTCTGTCTCAAAAACAAATAAACATTAAAAAAATCACTTAAAAAAAGAAGTGGCAATGGATATGAAAAAACACCAACTATTTATTTTGCAACTACAACAACTATAGATAGGTTCAGGGAGACCAAGATCTGTAAGAAATGACTATTTGCCTATAACATCTATAATAAAGTTGTAGGATTGGGGGTGAAGATACAGACATAAAGATAACTAACACAAGGCAATATATGTAATTGCTATAATGGGGGTTTTGATCACATGGAGGAGGAAAAATTAATTCTGCTTTGGGAATCAAAAAATAATCAACATTTTTATTTTCAACATTTACTCTACTGCCCTTTACAGATTAGAATGTATGCTTTCACGATGATCATATTTATTTAATTACTCCTGAGAATTCACAGCACATTATTTTGTGTTTTGCTTAGATGTACTAATTAAAAAAAATTGTGAAGATATTTATTAAGCACCTACTGTGTTTTACCCATTGTGCTAGGTACTGGGAATCCAAAGATAAAAATGTTTCAAATATTTGTTACAGAAACACCAAACGAGGCTGGACGCCAAAATTCCCTACAAATCACACCAAGGAAGAATATCCATGATGCTAAATAAAAGTATTTTGGAGGGAGAAATTTTTCATGAAATGTCAAATTTCAGCTATTTCCAACATGGGCTAGAATTCTGTATGTGCATCCCACATGCAAAGGAAATCTTTTACGATGATTGTTCACCATTTCCAATTTAATATTCCCAAACAGATGTGGGTCATGAAAATAGGATTAATCATTTGCAGTTGACATCCAACTGCTTTCTTTTTTTCCACACTTGCCTAAATAGTATCTCAATAGCTTTTTACCAAAAAATTAGTAGTTATGCAGTGTCTAGCATATAGGTGTACTGATGGATTTTGAGAATTATTTAACTACCCAAATGACTTTTTCTTTTCCAGGCAGTATACCTAATGGTACTAGAGGATATAACTCAACATGAATTCTACTTTTGAGGACAGAAACTGGTTCCGATCAGGGTTAGTGGGTAAATTTTTATAAGTAGAAAAGCTATATTTGGGTCTAACTTCATAAAAACAAAAAATTTGGGGGAGTTTCAAATTTTGATTCTTTTTTCACTTTCAAAGTAACTAGTTTATCCTAAGGGACTGAAATAATATAATAACAGGCTTCCTAGAAGATCTGTACTTTATAATCCTACTGGTTGTGATGGGAAGAACATAGGAGATTGAATAAATGCAGACTCCACACATTGTTCAAGTGAAAAATACAAAAGAAGTCCACATAATCCAAAACACAGTTTTCGTGCTTTTTCCAGCGTATGCTAAGAAACGTTATTGGAACTGAGCTCTTACCGTGAACATTGAGGTTAAAATATTGTTTGGCACTCCCAGCTCTGTTCTCAGCAATACACACATACCTGCCGATATCTGTTATTTGAGTGTTCAGAATCTAAGGAAAAAGATGAAGACATTTCAACTGAAACTTTTAATAAAGCAACTTTTCATATTCATCATTATGTTTCAGAATAAATATCACATACCTTTTCTGATTAATACCAGATGAGCACAAGAAAAAGAAATTTTTGTGCATAATAGTGCTGATGCCAGCTTTTATTAGGTCAATCAAATATTTATTTACAAAGATTTCCAATCAGAAAAGGCAAATTAAAAGAATTAATGTTTATTTATTTTTGAGAGGTAGGGGTGTGGAGGGGCAGAGAGAGAGGAAGACACAGAATCTGAAACAGGCTCCAGGTTCCAAGCTGTCAGCATAGAGCCGGACGCAGGGCTTGAGCCCATGAACTGCGAGATCATGACCTGAGCCTAAGTTGGATGCTTAACCAACTGAGCCACCAAGGCACCCAAGAAAAATATACACAGGGCTATTAGTGAACAGCAATTTGGGATATTTATGTGGTTTTCATTATTTATTACCAATTCTTTACTAATACAGGGGAAGTGTTGATCTACAGGGAACCTTACACCACCTGGGATTTTATCATCAGAAATAGACTACAGAAAGGATTATAATAATTTACTTATAATGTGGTTTTTATCACAAGGTCCGTGTTGTAGTAAATTTAGAGGGGTGTGCATGTGTCAAAAGTACAGACAATTTTTGTAAGAATTCACACAAAAGTGTAATAGTGGCCACCTCTGAAAGACAAATACCATGTGATTTCACTCATATGTGGAACTGAAGAAACAAAACAAACGATCATAGGGAAAACAGAAAGAGGCAAACCAAGAAACAGACTCAATTCTAGAGAACAAACTGATAGTTACCAGAGGGGAGAGGGGTAGGGGGATGGGTTAAACAGAGGATGCAAATTAAGGAGGGAACTTGCTGTGAAGAGCACTGGGTGTTGTACACAAGTGTTGAATCACTAAATCATATGTCTGAAACTAATATCACCCTGTATGTTAACTAACTGGAATTTAAATAAAAACTTAAAGAAAATAGTGGTCCCCTCTGGTAGGGAGTATAGAATAAAGAATTTTATTTTACATTCCTCTTATGGTTAGTTATTTTTATAAACATAATATTTACAAACCAACAAAAGTATCTTTTAAAAGTGAAAAAGACTTATAAAATACAAAGTGAAACAGCTTTTTAAAAATAAGATTTTTTTACTTTTACCTGAAGAATTCTTCCATTAGATAGAAATTTATGATGCCCATTTTCTAGCAAGGGCTGTCCATCTTTTTGCCAGGAATTCTTTGGTGTGGGGCTGCCACTGGATAAACACTCCATCAATGTCTTCTTATTCACCAGCACGGTGACCTCTTCCGGAAGGTCACTACTTGCTCCCTTAATAATCGGTGGCACTAATAAATGATTGCAACAAAAAGATAATGACAGGAGATAAGGTCTTTTCTCAGTTATTCTAATTTTGTGGCAGTTTTCAAAAGTATGGCATGATAACAGAAGAGCAAAGTTGAAGAAGAAACATTTTACACCAATAACTTAGGGTGATGATAAAAATGGTGTGAATTTGGGTTTACCTATCCTGGACTAACCTCTTCCACGATTTTCATTCCCATTTAGCTCAGTCCCAATCCTTCTCCAAATTATCTGACCTTGTTTCTCTCTCAGCCCCTTCCACTATGCCTTCAGGGTTTTCAAGCATACATATAAGTAGAATCTGCATGAATGAATATTTAAGTCTGGTCACCTAGACAAGCCAGATCAATTACATCTTTAAAGTGTATTTGGAATGTACAGATTTGGTTTCATTTTGCAAGGGAATTATCTGGGCTTCTTAAAGTGTGTTTCTGCAGCCTCAGTGCCCATGGTATCAGCATCATCTGGGAGTGTGGTTAGAGACAAATATGGGGGGTCCACTCAGACCTCTTCAATGGGCATCTTTAGAGAGGCCAAGAAATTTGTTCAGGTGATCTTGATGTACACTAAAGTTTTAAGAGTCACATTCTAGATTTTCCTACATATATTCATTTGAATTTAAAATAATACCACAGAATCCAGGTGCATACCTATCTTATGTTAGACTAGTCCATTATGAAAAATCACATTACCCATAAAATTTTAAAAATGGAAATGTTTCATAAACTAGAAACACATGTATTGGCTTGCTGTTGTAAATGCAGAAAATTTATCTTCAAAGTGAATAATCATTTTATTTTATTTGGAAAGCTTAGCTATTTTGTTTCATTCTCTTACAATGTACCATAACTTTAGCAATCAGTAAAGACTATATATTTAATGTAGATACAGTCCTGTGGTATTTGGGTCTTTCAAAAACTAAGCTGAAAGTCTGTAAAGAAAATAACCAAGGCTACAAGGTACATATTAGAATTTCAATGTTACTTTAAATGCAAATTTTCACATTCAAAGTTATATGATTTTTACTATACTCTAGATAACATAAGCTATAACTTGAACTGCAGATTAGTAAAAACTGAACTTGAACTTCAGATTAAATGCACCTGTCAGTAACCCCAATACCAGGAAAACTAAACAAATGGGATGTTGGGACATAAAGATTCTATGTTTTCCTCAACTTCTGCCTGGGGCTGAACCATCAGGAGGTCCCAGAGGTCCCAGAGGTCCAGAGCTCTTTCTTTGACCTGCTCCTCCAGCTGTTGACCCATCAGCTGGATTACACCATTCAGAATCATTCTCAGTAGAGAACCTTGGAGTAGCACATAGAAGGTGAGCCTCAAACACTGTGAAACATCCCTAATTTAGACAGAATTTTGGGTACAGTTTCTATTTTTTGTTTTGTTCCAGCTCTCTAAACTTATCTCCATCATGCTGTGCAACTTCCTCTTAATTAAAATAGCCTGGAGGGATGAACATCTACCTTTGACTACTCACCCCCCAGGTTCCATTTCAATTTAACTGACTCCCAGTCCTTCCCAATACCCCATTATCTTGCTTCTTTATCAGATTCTTCCACTGTGCCCTAAACTCTTTCCAAACTTAGGTCAAATTAAGTCATGTGATCTAGGATACTCCTTCACTCTTCTTGGTGATGTTAGTACTGATTTTCTTTTTTTTCTTATCACTATCTCATAGACTTTAAGATCTATCTTGATGACCCATCCAACCCTAATTAGTTCATCTCTATTCCATGTCAGCCAGTCCTAGACAGCCATACCTTGGACCACTCAATATTAACACCTCTTCCCTTTGCAAGTTATAAGCTCCCTGAAGAAGGACCAATGTCTAGGATATTCACTACTATGTCCTTAGTGCCTGGCACATAATTGAGCAATCAACAGATACTTGTCAAATATATGAATTTGGGACTCTAGTGTTCTTTCTTCCACCTCTTTTCAGGCTTCCTTCCTAAGCTGCTCTTTGTTTGCACTGAAAACTCTAGCCTTTCTAATCTTTCCTCACTTACAATCAACCCATCAGCTAAATTCCATCATTTTCCCTCTTGCCCTGCCCAGACCTCATAGGGGTCATTTTGGTGATGCTCTGTCTCACTAGTTTTTCGCCCTCCAGTGCTTCCACAATATATACCTGTTTACCTTGTAGCACAACCCTGCCCCACCCAGATAGAGCACACTAATTATTATTATTATTATTATTATTATTATTATTATTATTATTATTTTACCTCTACCTCCAGGTTACTGGGGATGCTGTGGAAGGAAGGGTGGCTGTAGAAAGGAATAACTGAGCCACATGGCTCAAATTTCAACAGTTGACTGTCCACCACATCCTCTATGGTGGTAATCACTAAACTTCTCTGTTTTCTGCAGACCCAAACACCCCTGCCAGTTTTTCTTGCTCTCATACTTAATGAAAAGGACTAAAGACATTTGATATGCATTTCCCCATTTCTCTCCTAACCATTCCAATGAATGGCAATTCATTACCACGAAAGGCTAATTAACCCCTCTTGGTTCCTAGATTGAATTTTTCACCTGTTCTAGGGTCTTGGTCCATCAATTCCTGCACACCACCCTCCCCCATCCACACACACACTTGAAATTTTAATTTGTCCCGTTCTGTTGGATCACCTTCTGTGGCCTATAAGCAAGCTCAAATCTTTCTTAAATATGTTTTCTCAAACAAGCTGTTTGTCCTAAAATTCTACTCCATTTCTTCCATCCTCTGCAAAATGTCTTAACAGTACTCTATATTTGTTTTCTTTCTGATTAGTTGCTCAAGATTAATCCTTTTGTCCTGTGGCTTTCTTTGTACCATACCACAGTATCTAAATCAATCTTTTGAATCATATCAATGTTTTCTTAGTTTTAAAGCCAAATGGACTTTTTCAGTTTTACTTTTCTTAAATTTGCGTTAGCGGTCAATACTAGATCCATTTCTTGATAACCATTTCCATGCCTTGGATTCTGTGATAGAATAGTATGTAGTTTACTGCTTTTCATGAACTTCTCAGATTGTTTCTTCTCTAACTCTGTTTTCCTTTTCCTTTTCCCTACTTGTTAACAATCCCACCACAAACTTCTTTTCATCTTCTCCTACTCTATCTATAAGCCTTGCTGTTGGAAATCTCGTGCCCTTGAATGTCACCTGTTTGTGGATAACTATCAAATCTACATTCTTAGTTCAGTCTCTCTCTGTGCTGAAGTTTCTTATTTCCAACGACCCTTTCAATATTATACCTAGGTATCTTTATCTTGTAACATGCCAAATTCAACATGTCCAAAAGAAAATTGACTTCCTTCTTCCCAAATAATGTTGTTTTCCTACATCTTTTATTTTTATTATTCTTGCCACCATTTTCTTAATCACTCAGAATAAAATCTAAACTCTTTCATGCTGATGGCGTCCTGTACATTCCCACTGCCACCTCTCTAGAGCAGTCTCTTCTAATGGAAGCAACTACTTATTTCTGCTTCTAGTGACATCACCTCTCTTTTCTCTTCAAGGTACAATACTTCTTCCATTCTCAGTTCATGCATTCAGATGGAGATCACTGCAGTCTAAGGATAGGCACATAAACTAGGCCTTAAACAGCCCACTTAGCTGCTATGATTGGTTCACAGGTAGAAATGTGATTCATGCTTGGCCAATTAAAGCCATGAAAATCCAATTCTAGGACTTCAGTTGTAAATACTAAGAAAGGCTTTCATTTGGATGTGAAATTAGAAAGTTGTAAGAGTAGAGCTCCTGGGGGCCAACTTGTCAATCTGGGGGATCCCCTCCCCCCCGGAGAGTGATGCTAGTAGAAAAAAAAAAAAAACAAGAGAAAGAGGAAGGTTAAACCTGCTTGACCTCTTTTGAGCCACAGAAATCAGTTATGATGTAAGTCAGATCTACCCTGGGACTCTTTCGCCTTCTGAGTCAATGAATTCTCTTTTTTTTAGTTGAAGCCAGTTTGTTACCTGACACTTCAGGAGTCCTAATTAATGTGTTCTCAATTTGTATAAGATAATTAATTCCTCAGTAGCACTATCACTTTCTGATTATCTTTACAGTCTTTAAAGTGCTCAGTGCAACATCGTGCAAACATTAGTTCCTCCAAAAATTTTTTTGAGTGAAAGAACGCACAACAAACAAAGACTCACAGAGTACACGAACGTCATACTGAAGGGAATCTTCTCCGGCCTCATTCACAGCCACACATGTATATCTCCCTGCATCTTCTACTTTAGCTCGAGGAATCTGCAACACTCGCCCACCTGAAAACAGATCCCAATATATTTACTTCTCTAAATCCTAGAGTGAACACTGGTCATAAACAGAGATGCGGTTTTTCAGGTCTAATGACTTCCTTACATTTTCTTTCAAGGTTCTTATTTCATCTAATTGTTCAGTTTTAATCTGACATACCATTTTTATAACAAACACTGCATTATTGATAAGTGATCCAATATACGAATCACATCTCCTGAGAGACAAATAGCTCGTGTTATTTCTTCCCAAGAGGGTAATGTTGCTCTCTCTGTCTCATCATATTCCATGTGGAATGGTATTATGTAGTGACTTCTTAATTTTACAGTTTTGAACATATGTAAAAGAAGTTTACAATGTTTGAGGCAGGTACAGGTTTGAGAAAGTAAGAGCCAGAGATGCAAAAGTTATAAAGTATATTATAATACATACAGATTTAAAAGAATAAGTGCATATTTTTAAAACATTTCACAGATATATTTTCAAACTCAAAGTTTCAATAATTGTGTAACAAATTTTTACCTATGTTTACCATTTATATTTCATTCCACTTATTTTAGTTCTCTCTATATATACTTTATTTATTTATTTATTTATTTATTTATTTATTTATTTATTCATACATACATACATATATACATACATACAATCCTTTTTCTGAACCATTTGAGAGTAAGTTGGAAACATGGTGCCCTTTTCCCCCTAAATATTCATAAATCTGTATTTCATAAGAACAAGAATGATCCCTTATATAATCATAGTACAGTGATCAAAATAAGGAGATTAAAAAAAATTTTTTTTCAACGTTTATTTATTTTTGGGACAGAGAGAGACAGAGCATGAACGGGGGAGGGGCAGAGTTAGAGGGAGACACAGAATTGGAAACAGGCTCCAGGCTCTGAGCCATCAGCCCAGAGCCCGACGCGGGGCTCGAACTCACGGACCGTGAGATCGTGACCTGGCTGAAGTCGGACGCTTAACCGACTGCGCCACCCAGGCGCCCCAAAAAATAAGGAGATTTAAAATCAACACAAAACTACTATTGAACTCACAGTTCGTATTGAAATTTCATTATTGTTACAATCTTTTATAAAAAATTTCCTCCAAGCCTACATCCAATTTCAGATCATGTATCACAACATTTAGCTAACATTTGTATTTAGTCACCTTTTTAAAAATTTTTTCAAGACAGTCTTTTATTTCATTGAAATCAAGTTTACAGGCCATGGACTACACTGACCTTAAGTGTACAATTTGGTAAATTTTGACAAGCTTCTTTGAATGTTTGTTAAAAGAGAAGCCTTGAAAAGGTTATTAATTCCACAACAATTTAAACATCTTCTTTTCCACCAATAAACCATGCAATAACTAAAATATTTGAAATTAATAATCATAACTGTTGATTTATGATAAATGCATTTAATAAAGTGAATAGCAACTATTTGCAAGCAGATTTTAGAATTTATCATTAATAATGTGTAGAAACTGAACTGATGATCTCATCACACTATTAGAGACATGGAGTGTGAAGGAAGCCAAAGAACTTCTTAAGTTGATAGAATGATCCTGTAGCAGATCTGAAAATAACCTAAAGTATGCCAGCCCATTGTCAGAATTCTCAGCCTACACTCTTTTAGCTTGAAGGTTCACAGATATGAGGGGCATTTGGCAGCTTGTGTCAGTTAAATTACATGGCCAGAAAGCTGATCAACTCAACTGAACTAATAAATAAGGAGAAACACACTTGGCAAAGACCCCACGTTTCACTCAGTTCATAGCCATCATTACCTGGTAGAATCAACACTCTATCGTTGGAGGTCAGAGGGCGGCCATCTTTGTACCATGTCAGTGTTGGGGGAGGAGCAGCATTAGTTTCACAGTAAAGGGAAATGGGATTGTTGATGATCACATCCTTGGCTTCACCACTCCTGCCAGCATCCAGCATGTTTCCTATTTCCCAGAGTTTCTGAAAACTTGGAGGAACTATGGAGGAAAGACATGACATGCTAGACACATGTGAATGCTCGGGTTAATTAAACAAAGATCTTGTCTGTATTTTCACAAGAATGACTTGTAAATGTAATAAATTAGACAATGCGAAAATATTTTCCAGTACTTACACACCTACCAACTCGAGTCCTGAGCCAAAAAATGTAGTAGACAGGAGTCAGAGTTGGTTTTCATGTGGAAGAACAAGAAATATGGGGCTCAAAATGCCATGCTCATGCTTTGCTCTCCCTGTTAAAGGTCTTAGAAGATGAAGAGGCCTATTTTCAGCCATAATATGCCATAATATGCATGGCTAGGAATATGATCATAGTGGGAAAAACTAAATTTTGAGGAACCATTAAAAAAATTCCAGCTCAACAGAGATCATTTGCCAATGATTTGTCTTACTAAGAAGACTAAAGAAGTTATGCAATCAGGATTGGTAACTGCATTAGCAAAAATAATAGGACATTCTCAAACATTTCTGAGGGACAAGCATGAACTTTCTAGAAGGCAATTTTCCTGCACATCAAAAGTATTAAAAAAGTGTACAACACTTGACCTAAAATTTCCACTATTAGTAACTTATGAAAAACCACAGATGTCCAAAAGTTTTATGTATAAAGATGTTCAGTGAAGCATCACATGAGTAGTGAAAACTTGGAAACAACCTAGACATTCAACAATAGAAGTGTAGTTAAATACATATTTTAATACTCAACTGATAAAATGGGTACATTATTAAAGAGCATGTTATAAAAAGCATATATAAAAGCACAAAAGTAACACTATCAACAACTATAGCAGGTACCACTTCTTAAACGTTTTTCTAAGAGTTTTACATACTTTTTTATTTTATTATTTATTTTAGAGAGAGAAAGAGTGTGTACGCTCGCACGCAAGTAGGGGAGGGGCAGAGGAAGAGAGGGAGAGGAAGAGGGAGGGGGGGAGAGGGAGAGAGGGAGAGAGAGAGAGAGAGAGAGAGAGAGAGAGGGAGAGAGAGAGAGAGAGAGAGAGAGAGAGAGGGAGAGAGAGCAAATCTTAAGTAGGATCCATGCTCAGTGTGGAGCCAACATGGGGCTCGATCCCAGGACAGTGGGATCATCACCTGAGTCGAAATCAAGGGTTGGTTGCTTAACTGACTGAGCCACCCTAGCGCCTGAAACTTTTACATATTTTATGTTATTTAGGACTGTGTGGAGCCTGACACAGGGCTCGAACCCACCAACTGTGAGATCATGACCTGAGCCAAAATCAAGAGTTGAACTCTAAAATGACTGAGCCACCCAGGAGCCCTTTTAAATTAAGGCATTAATTTCAAAACATGGGAACCAAGGCTTAAAATATTTATGTAACTTGTCCAAGTCAAAAAGTTTGTAAGAGCCTAAATCATCATTCAATTTCAAGTCTGACCATTTAAAATTCCATACTTTACTACTTTCTTGCCTTCCATGTAAATGCTATCAAACAAAACCTTCATGAAAAAAATATTAGGGGAAAGCCCATGTAATAGAAAAGTCTGTATCATGTGACCCTGATTTATAAATGAAGTATACCTTACAAAAAGATACCAGAAGGAAACATAAAAATAATAGAAGTAACCCTGAATAATGTATTATTTCTTCCTCAATTTCTCAAGTTCCAGTGTTCAATAATGAATTTTTTTTATTGTCAACAGAAAGATAGGTATTTAAAATAAACCAGTGAGCACTGGGTGTTATCTGTAAGCCAATTTGACAATAAATTATATTTAAAAAAAGTAAAATAAAATAAGTCGAATCTCTTTTTCATTGCTTTGATAGATCATATAAGTTAAATTATATACAATAAGCATCTTATCATTACCTTGTATATTCACATCAAAATCCAGTTCATCTTCACCTGCAATGTTAGATGCTACACAAGTATAGCGTCCAGTATCTGATATTTGAGCCTCCTTTATTTGAAGTGTGTGTCCATTTGCAGCAATAGTAACATGATCATCTGATTTAAGAGGCTGTGATTCAATTATAATAATGTTACCATGAAGTATTCTAATAAATCCTCTAAGAGACCATACAGCTGATACTTTTTAGGATTCTTTAATAAATAAAAATAAATTACATTTGAAATACTCGAGATAACAATAATTTAATTAATTTACTTTAATTAAACTTCTTGAGTAATCACATTTTTATTTGTTGAAAATATTGCTCATATACTTTACATCTGTGCCCGGTTATTGCCGGGTGGCACATTTATATATCAAATCTATTGTATGATAAAAAAACATTCTTACATACCATATCTATTTATCCATGTTGGAAAAAATTATTTATCAGCTGATTCCACACTGTACTAAAAAAGCATATCTTTTACTATAATTCTGTAGAAAATTTCAGAGTTTTTAAATGAAAGATTGGGGGCATGAATATTCTCATTTGATCTAAATATCACTTATTGGTCATTCAGAAACATTATTACTTCATAAATGGAAATTTGTAACCTAGAGATATTTATGTTACAGTGTTTGATTCAAAGTATTACTATACTTATATGGCAAACTAACTTACAGATATTTACATTACAATGTTTTATTAATAACATCACCTACACTTAATAGAACATTTCTTGCCTTCTAAACATTTCCATTTACACTAAGTTCCCTCTTATTCCTTCAAGGCTTTAGCTCCTGGCTCACTGTCATTCTTTCTAATGATACTTTTCTCGTAATTCTTGGTGATTTCAACACCCACATAGACAGTTATCCAATGCTGTGTGCTCTCAGCTCCCTGACCTCCTCTCCTTTAATTTTTTGTCCCCAATCCTCTCTCAGCCACTCAACCAGTCATACTCACCCTTGTAATTACCAGTAACCACATCTCTTTATAATCTCACTTTCAAGTTCTCACTCTCTGACCACTACCTCCTAACTTCCTAATTTACTTCCTCTAGCATCCCAACTCCAATAAATTCTTGGTCCCAAGGGAAGACTCACCCTCCACAGACCTCTTTTCACTGCCACTCACTCTTTTCCTGACCTGGTGAAGGTCTATTATGACAATCACTCCTTGCATAAGCCCTCAACTCCTTTTGCCTTCTTTCCCTTTATTTCCCTGATAAAAGTCTAACCTTGGTTAACACTGGTCTGTCCATTCTGAGCATCCTGTGGTCTATTCAAAGACACCTCTCCAACAACTATGTCCTCTGTCACCTGCATCATCATCTAATGATTTCTTTCCACTGGATGATTTCAATCTGCATACAACATACTAGAATTTTCCCCATTAAAAAAAATCTCTTTAGAATGTAGCCTAACTCCACATTTTTCTACTCCCCTTTATAGCCAATGACTTTAAAATGTTTTCTACATATGCTGTCTCCATTTCTATGCATCTTTTCTTGAATCTATTCCAATAAGACTTTTACAGTCTCCACTTGACCAAAATGACATTGTCAGAATCACCAATGACATCCATGTTGCTAAATTTACTGGTCAGTTCTCTCAGTTTTTATTTAATTTGTGTTCCTTTTGAAAAACTTCCCCCCCCCCATCTTTTGGGGGACTTCACTCTCTTCCCCACAACCTCTAAATGTTGGAGTCCCTGAGGCTTAATCCTCGGACCCTCTTATCTATCTAAACTCACTCTCCTATTGATCTTATGCAAAATCTTGGACTCATCTTTGTCTTACAGTTTTCCCTCACATCCTGCTACCACCTTTGTCCAAGTAATTACCATGTCTCCTCTGGACCACTCTCTCTATCTTCTCTCAATATGGAAGCCAATGTAACCCTTTTAAAACCTTAAGTCAGATCATAATGCTCTTGTGTTCAAAATTTTCCAGTAACTTCCTACCAGAATAAAGGCCAACTGGTCTACAAGGCAGTATGATCTGTCTCCCCATTAATCTTTTGCTCACAACTGCTGTGCTCCCATGGATCACTGCACTTCAGCCAAAATGCCTTAGGATGTTTGTCCTTGCTATTCTATCTACTTTAGAATATCTTCCCCTCAGGTATTTTATGTCTGCTTCCTGCATTTTCTTTGAGTTTCTGCTCAAATATCACCTTATCAGTGAGGTCTTCCCTACATAAATAAGAGAGCATATTTACTATTCTTCTTCCTGACTGAATTTTCTCCATAACATTTACCCCATCTGGCACATTATATGCTGCACTGGTTTGTTTATTTAGTGTTTGTCTCCCCAAACTTCACACGAGGAGAGACTTTTGTCTGTTTCCTTCATAGCTGTATCCCCTGAATCTAAATCGTGCCCAGGAAATAGTATGTGCTCAATAAATAATTTGGGAACTAAATCATTATTAACATTATATCACTGAAATAAAAATAATATAATTTAAATTTTCTATGCTAAAAAACCCTTTAAGGCATGAATAAATAACTCAAAGATTCTATTAAAACTTATTGTGGCTAACATGACCAATGTGTTTGGTGTATTTTCTCAAGAGTGCTGTTTTACTGAAGTAGTGCTGCTTATCTGAAGAATGAAAGAAGAAAGGATATGGAAAACAAAAACTGGTATTTTGGGGGGCACACATTTTAAAGAACCAATGGTAAACCCTGAAAAATTTAGCAGTTTAACTAAAGCATCATAACTGGATCAATTTCAGAGTCTGGATTTGGAACTGTAAATTAACCATCATTATGATATTTAAAGAAACGAAAATGCCTCATTCCTGGCACAATTCTAGTCTTTAGTCAATGTTTACATGGGTATGTGTTTGTGTGTGTATGTGTGTGCATGCGTTGTAACTAAAACAAATAAAAAGGTTCTAGATAAAATTAAAAACGAAATAATAAGATTTCAAAGGAGAAAGGAATTGTTTCCAAGCAAACTCATCTAGAATTGATATTGTACCATGAAGTGTACTTGCAGTCAGAAAAGACACTATAAACAGAACATGGTGGGAATTCCATATTTTTCCTCTCCAACGGCTTCCAGATGAAGCTGCTTACTTTATAAGAGACAATTTTTTTTTCTAGCTGCCAGTATTGCAAAATCTCTGTGATCTGAAAAAAAAAAGCTATATCTGTCTGCATCTTAAATCATAACTCTGACTTGAACTTCTACAGCTGGAATGTAACTGACCATTTGGTTGATTATGTGTATAACAGGACAAACAGCAGCTTAGTTATGCCACATCTCTGTTAAGCACAGTGTTAACAACAGCCAAAAAAAGAGTCTATTTTGGTGTCAAAACACTAGCACATTTATCTTTAAAACATGCATGGAAGAAAAGAGGTTGAATGAGAAATGAGGATGTATAGTCTGAAAGTCAGATCACATAATGGAAGGAAGTGTCATTTATAGTTTCTCATTGCCCCTAGTTAACTGAATTGGGCACTTAATCATCACAGTTAGCTATTTTTCTTCCTCTTATAATGTAAAACAGGTTACCTTTTGTAAAAGAATTAAAGGTCTTCAGAGAAAACTCTGAATAAACTTAGTACCCTTGTTATATCATTTTAATTTGGCTTAGCACTGTTCTGTTTCTTCTCTACAAAGTTTGCTTATGCTGTGAAGCCACAGAACACAAAAACTGTTCCTCAGTGGGAAAGTGGCTGCAGTTTTATAGATGACTGCTAATGTCCACAAAAACAATCCTTCAAACTTTCCTGTGATGGAATAGTGCTAAGATTGTTGAAATGGTTCAATTTCTTAACAGTTTTATATTCTGGGAGCATGGGATTTTGCTGGTTATAAGGTGACATTGATTCTCTGAGTTACTGGTGCCTGTTTTTTCCCTTTTTTTTTTAAAACTTAATTGGTCATTTTTGTTTTTAAGAAACTATTCGCAAAGGAAAAAAAAAACGTGTGACTGGCCTGTCCATCCTTGTACCAGCTGAGAGAGGCAGACGGAATCGCGTAAGCTTCACATTCCAAAGTCAGCGTATTGTTTACTTTGATCTTCACTTCTTTAGGGGAAAGACCTGGCCCCAGTAGGTCCCCTTTATTGATGATGGGTGGAACTGCATAAAAAAATGAATATTCTTAGAGTAAGCACTGGTTCTTTTATATACATGGACTATCATGGAAATCACACTGACAATTTCTTAAGAAAACAAGGAAATAACTGAGGCATTTGCTATGCTCTTCTTCCCCCATGGACCCAAGAGCGCATCTTATGAAATGGTAGTGTTCAGATGTGAAGGAAATGTGAAGGAAAGTATCTCTTTCCCTTCATTTGAATACTGCCAATGAGTCTAATTAGAACCATTGCTTCACAGAACCATTACTTTCATTTTTCCAGGTCCCCAGACACAGCCCAAGTATGACCCATAAAATGTATTTTGTCAGTCATTAAAGGAGCTGATTCAAAGAATAAAAGACAATCAGAAAGATTCTCTTCCTTTTTAAAAACAAAAACAAAACCAAAATCCTGAAATGTAGGCCCTGTTAATGGTAGGATTTGCTGTCTTTTTTTTTTTTTTTTTTTAGTGTTTGTTTTTGAGAGACAGAGACAGAGTCCAATCTGGGGAGGGAGCAGAGAGATAAGGAGACAGAGAACCTAAAGCAGACTTGAACTCACAAACCATGAGATCATGACCTGAGCCAAAGTCAGATGCTTAACTGACTGAGCCACCCAGGTGCCCCAGGATTTGATTTGCTTTTTATGTACAGGTCAAAGTATAGTGGATCAGCCCAAAGTCATTGATAAACTCATCTTAAGCTATTGATTAGAATGTGTGTGTGTGTGTGTGTGTGTGTGTGTGCGCGCGCGTGCGTGTGCGTGTGCGTGTGCGTGTGTGTGTGTGTGTATTTAAATGACAATTTTGTGTATGAAAGTACTATAACCCAGCCCAGAGGGTTTTCAGAAGGAAAATCAGAAACATAAGGAAGTACCACTGAAAAGTTCTCCAACAAGAGGTTAGTGAGCAGAATGAATGGGCTCTTCACATCTTTAAGCAATTGAGGTCATGGGTACAATGTTAATTCAACTTCCATCTTAATGAAGGAAACTGCATAGACAACAAGCTTTAATGATGAGTATAAATAATTATGAACCCATAATAAAAAACAGTATCGAAAAAGTTAGAAAACTTGAGGAAAATATGAAAAATGTAGTGTTTTTTCAGGACTTACTGTAGACCTTCACTTCATAGTGCTTTATCATTTCTCCTGCTTCATTAGTGGCTATACAAGAGTATCTTCCAGCATTGTCCTCCTGTGCATTTAGGATCTGCAGAGTCCTACCTCCTGAAAAAGCATGGAACACCAAAGAACCTCTGAAGTCACAGTGGCAACAGAATATGCATAAACTATCAGGGGTTTTAGTTCTCACTATTAACATATTTCTTTTTCTATGTGCCAATTCTGTAATAGACATGTGACACAGGACAAACTATAATATACATGGGCACTGCATAGTGGGTGAGGAGTCAGTAAGTCCTCGGTGATCCTCTGTGGTAATGACTGTCATGCTCATCCTGACCCTCCCATGCCCCTGTACACACTCTGGCTAAGGTCTTTGTTTCACTCTCTTCATAAATAGTCTTCTGCTTTAGTCATCTTCCTCTCACCTACTTGGCCTATCAGTAGAGACTGATCTTGCTAAAACTCAGTTTGTATTATGGTACCATTCTCCCTAAAAATCTTCATTGGTTCTCAATTGACTAAAGTATAAAGGTAAAACACTAGTCCAGGCATTCAAATAATGACCCCAATGTTCTTTCCTGACCTTTTCTCCTATCCACCTCCCTCCCTGCCACACACACACACACACACACACACAAACACACACACACACCCCTCCACTCAGGTGGGAGGTGGGGAGTCTACAGATTATTACTTGTGCATAGATAGGCCTTTTGTATATCTATGTGCCATTCTCACTTTGTACCATTTCCACACTAGTCATCCAGATGGATCTGAAATCTCTTATTTCCAACCAACACAATTCTATATTTTTCCTTAAGGGTTAGTTCAAGTTCCAAATGCAACAAAGCATTTCCTGACCACTTTGGCCCACAGTGGCCATTCTATCTTTTAAATTTTTATAAAATCTGTCACTAACTCATTTATCAATCTCCATGACTATTCATAATCCATTATTATTCATGAATTCATGTTGTTAATTAACTTTTATACATCTTATCTCCCTTCCACATAAAACTAAATTTCTTAAAACCAGTGATAATACTTTTCTATTCTTTGTATTTTCATACATTTTGGCAGGTATTAAAGAGAAATAAACAAACTCTCTCAATCTAAATACTAATTCTCTTTCAAAGTTCAATTCAGCAAGAAGTGAATTTCTACTCTTTTTGGTATTTCACATTATATTTTAGCAATTAATAGCATCGTGGTATTTATTGATTTGCCCTTTATTTACATATTTTACTGGCCTTTCAAAAAGTAATTTTGCTTTAGGTTACAAGATATATACAAACAATTAAAAAATTAAAATAGCAATAGAATAGCATAACTAAGTCATAATCACTTTTATTAAAATTAACCAATGATTCTTTTTCTACAATAGCAGATGGCATAAGTGTATCTTGGGCATCTAAAGTAAACTAATTACCTGGAAGAATACGAATATTTCGGTTGGATTCTAAAGGTGTTCCATCCTTAAACCAGGTGATGGTGGCTGGAGGATATGAATAAGCTTCACAGACCAAAGATGTGGGGCTGTTAAGGATAACGGTGACATCTTCAGGGCCACCATCACTGTCAATACCAGCAATTGTAGGGGATACTGAAAAAGATTTAAAATGTGATGAAAGAAATATGTTTAGAAATGTCCTTATTTGTGAATTTTCTCCCATCCAAGTACTATCCAGGCCCGACCCTGCTTAGCTATCGAGATCAGACAACATCGGGCTTGTTCAGGGTGGTATGGCCGTAGACCTTTATTTGTGAATTTCTAAGTTTCACTGTACTTATTTGTGTAATTCCATTTATTAACAGAGAAATAATTGATTATTTTTGTTATTCTACATGAAAAGAATGAGAACTTCAAAATGACATAATGGAGATGACACACAAAAAGAAATCGTAATGCAATGTAGTAAGGCAAGAATGGGAATTCTGTTGCAGGATACTTGGAAGCATTGCATTTAATCCCATCTCAAGTATGTGGTATGAGGACTCTCATCAGGGAAGCCCTCCTGAAGGAGATTTCAAAGTGAGTCTTCAAGGATTAGTAGTGGTTAGTAAGAGAAAGAAGGGAGACTAGTAGAAAGAAGGAGGATATTGGGAGCATAGTGAGGAGCAAGAAGGGAATGTATAGAAGATGGATTCAAGGGGATCGATGTTGGAAGCAAGGATAATGGAGATAGGTACATTTGTTCTGTAAAAGATAATGAGAGACTGAATGAAAGGGAGGCATAAAGAGGAAGGAGTGACTAAAGAAAAAATTTAGAAAGTTAACTGGTGTGCCTTGACGACAGAATTTGGTGACTAAGCTGAATCAAAGATGACTTCTAGTTTTCTTGCTTGGGAACATAGGTAAACTGCAGTGAAGCAACATAAATATAAAATATGGAAAGATGTGCTCATTTAGGAGGGGAAGACAGTTTGTTCAGTTCTGAATATCTTGAATTTTAAGTGCCCATGAGGATTCCAGGTAGACTTGTCCAACAAGTAATTGCATATAGAAATCCAAACTTGGAAGAAAGATCTGGGTTGCAGGTATGGGTTAAGAAAGACACCAGTCTGGGGCGCCTGGGTGGCTCAGTAGGTTAAGCATCTGACTTTGGCTCAGGTCATGATCTTGTGGTGAGTTCAAGCTCTGAGTCGAGCTCTGTGTTGACAGTTCAGAGCCTGGAGCCTGCTTCAGATTCTGTGTTTCCCCCCTCTCTCTATCCCTCCCCCACTGAGTTCTGTCTCTCTCTCTCAAAAATAAATAAACATTAAATTTTTTTTTAAAAAAGACACCAGTCTATAGGAGATGATAAATAAGCTCATGGGAATTCAGCTTATTATTTGAAGACAATATTAGAGTAAAATAAGCAGTGAAGAAAGACAAAATGCTAAGGGACCTAATTTTTGAGAGATGGATTATGTAAAAGTCCATAAAAGAGAGAGAAAAGGAGCAACAGAAAGTGTGCAAGGATAACTAGGGAAGAACACTGCCAAGGAAAAAGTGATAACTAATGTCTAAGACATTAAGAAAGGACTGAAAAATATTTTTTGGATCTAGCAACAGGATAATCTTTGCCACAACAGCATGAAGCATGGCATGGGGAAAATGGTACAAGCAGTAGACACGGAATAGTTACAATATGAAGTGATGGAGGCAGTAGGAGGTGAAGCTGTAGGTAAGGTGGGTGATGGGAATGGCTAACTTATCAAGTAAGGTGGAAGATACCGAGTTAAAGGCATACGTGTAGGCAGTAACTGTGAACAAGAAGATACCTCATCCTCTGGGAAAAGAAGGGGTAAGGACACTGAATTATGGCTGAGTAGACTGGAAGTTGAAATGTACACACTAAACAGCCTCATCTTTATGAAGATGGTGGAAAAGAAGTCTTTGATTCAGATCCCTTAGCTCTCAATGAATGAGGGAGAATGACAAGAAACTGGTAAGTAACTAGGAAGTGAGGATTGGAGGGCACAATCAGGTAGTATGACTTGGGATACTTGGAGACAGTGGAGATTGGACAGAATCTCCAGGGAGCTAGTGTCTCTTGGGAAGAGTCAGATTTCAGTTACAGCAAGGAACTGGAGAGAATATGAAATTGGGTTTCCAGAGAGGACACAGTATAGAATTTGGACATGAGTTATATTGGGAAATGAATCAGTGGTAAAAGGAGGGAGGCACCAGGAACTTAAAGCTCTGAGAGAAGCAGTGAATGTACTGCAGGAGAGGAAATCCAGGGCTAAACATTTGCCTTTCATACACTTATGGGTGTGAGAAAGAACAGGTGCGTTAACAGGCAACTGGCTCATGAACTCCCATTCATACTTATCCATGTATCTGTTATTCAATGCTCTGTCAGGGGCTGGGGCTAAATCCTTTACAAGGTAAAAGGGGTTCTACATTTTGGAGTTTATTTTTTATGTATTATCTATATATACTATTCATTTGACACTTATACATTATCCACTATTTTGATTTAATTTTTCTTGCACACATATCTCTTCTACTTAATTAGGCTGTAAGCTACAAGAGGGTAGTATCCTGTATGGGAGTTTCCTATGTACGAGACTATGTTTCCCAAAAGAGTCTAGGCAATAACTACAAAAACAAACAAAAATTGCAAAACTTTGCATACTCAAATGTAGGTCAGTTGATTCTAGTACAATAAAAAGTATTTTGATATAAGTAATCAAATATAATACATTTAGGTGGTGTATTTTAAATTTCAAGACATGAACAGAAATTAAGAATCTATTTTAATGTCATGCCTGAGACATAAGCATAACTTTGAATGTATAGTTTCTCATAATTCCTAGTCCACAAAGACTATAAGATAGACAATTATCAATAATGGCAGAGTCTCATAAAGAAAGGATAAAATATATCAGATTGAGCCCCTTGTACTGTTGACCTATTTCTCTTTGACCAGCATATGTTTTATCTCTTACCACTATGTTTTTAGCATCTGTCTTTCCCACAGTTGTGTCCCTAGCACAAAACACAGTGCCTGGAACATAGGTGGTATTTTTAATGTGATGAATAAATCTATGAATGAATGAATGAATGAAAGAAAAACAGCAAATGTACACAACCACTAGTCCTCCTTAAATAATGAAATTCTATGGTAGAAACATTAAACAGAAAAAGAAAAGAAGGTAAGTCAGCAGACCTTCATGTTTGATTCTTCAAGATTTGAAGCACTGATTGTACCTACCCAACACATTAAGACTGAAACTTTTGCTCTTGTCGCCAGCCGTGTTAGAAGCCAAACATGCATATCTTCCAGTGTGTGATACTTGAGCCTTAGTAATTTTAAGAAAGCGGCCACCAGACATAATGTGATGGGTGTCATCTTCCTGGAGGAGCTGTCCATCTTTGTGCCATGTAATTTCTGGCACTGGGTTCCCTGTAACCAAAAGCCATTTCTGAGAGATGGCTAATAATTATATGCCTATAAATGATAACTGAAAGCATTTTCACCTATTTGACATTTAAATATCACATTTGTAAAACAATGCATTAGCCATTCATGTTAAATTAAATTTGTAAACATAATTTATAACAATCATGCTATAATTTTTTAAACTTGTGTATCACAAACCATTTTCAAATGAAAATTGTTTTGATCTATAAGTGAAATCATTCCAAATTAGTCTTTGTCCTTAAATAGCAAAACATACTTTAAAAAAAAATGGGATTTGCATTTTTATTAAAATTATTTTTCACGAATACTTTCACATATATTAAAATTTTTTTAAGTTTTTATATTTTTGACAGAAAGCTATAAAAAAGGAAAAGCCTTGAATTAAACAATTTCATAAATAGATATTTTCAGTTTATACCAGGATTCTAGCATAAATATATAGATTGGTGGATATAAATATATAGTAACTAGTCCTGTAATATTTATAGCCTATGGGGAAATATCTTTCTGTTTTAACATGAAACTTACATTAAATATTAATTTTTAAGTTTCTCAAATAATTAAAAAAAATTTAAAACCATAAAAGCAAGTTTACTTAGGAAAAAGGGCTAGAATAATATATTAAAATTGGAAGGCTTGACCACACCAACCATGGAACCTGTTCTATAGCCCCACCCAGACGGGGAAGCAAATTTACAAGCCTGCCCAACTGCTGAGTTACAGCACCCAGTCCTACCTGACTAGGAAGCCTAACCAGAACATTCAGGCAACCACAGAGACTATCCTACTGCACTCAGTCAAGAAATCAAGTGGGTAGTACTATCTGACTGTTTCCAGCCAACAGTAACCCCTCTCCACTAATGTCAGAGCTCAAGCAGTGTGGCCTTAACCAAATAGAGACCCTAATAGCAAGCCCCACCTGCAAGGACACTACCAGATTACCTATGCAGAACACCAAGCTGAGTTGACTGATGGATGATTACTGTTGCCAAAGTAAACCTATAAAGTCTGGAAGAGGAGGCCCCTTACTCAAATGTGCAGATACTAATGCAAGGAGTCAGGTAAAAAAAAGACACTATCAAAGGAAACTAATTAAACTTTAATAATGACTTTAAATGAATGGAGATCTATGGACTGTCTGACCAAGAATTCAGAATAATCCTCTCAAAGTTTAGGGAACCACAAGAACACAGGCCCTAAACAAAATTAAGAAAACAGTGCATGAACAAAGAAATAGAAACTATCAAAAACAAACAAACAGAATTCCTTGAGCTGAATAACATAGTGACTGACCCAAAGAATTCGATAGAGAGCTTCAACACCAGACTCAACCAAGAAGAAAGAATTAGTGAACTATAAGATAGATCATTAAGTAACCAGTCAGAAAAGGAAAGAACGAAAGAAAGAAAGAACATAAGCCTATAGGACTTATGGAATACCATCAACAGAAACAATATATACATTATGGGAATCCAAGAAGGACAGAGATAAAGGACAAAAAGTATATTTATAGCAATTATGGCTGAAAAGTTCCCAGACATGGAGAGAGAAATGGACATCCAGATTGATGAGGCCCAAAGGACCCCAAATGGGTTGAACTTGAAAAGGGCTACACTGAAACACATTATAATTATGTTTTTAAAAGTTAAAGACAAAGAGTTTGAAAGCAGCAAGAGAAAAGCATATCACAAACTAAGGAACTTCCATAAGACTTTAGGCTGGTTTAAAAAAAATAAGTTCTACTTTGGGGGTGCCTGGGTGGCTCAGTCGGTTAAGTGCCTGACTTTGGCTCAGGTCACGATCTGGCAGTTTGTGAGTTTGAGCCACATCGGGCTCTGTGCTGACAGCTCAGAACCCGGAGCCTGCTTTGGATTCTTTGTCTCCTTCACTCTCTGCTCCTCCCCTGCTTGTGCTCTGTCTTCCTCTTTCTCAAAAATAAATAAACATTTAAAAATTAAAAAAAAAATAAGGTCTACTTTGTATGCCAAAGTAGAAAGAATAGGATAATTTATTCAAAATGTTAACAGAAAAAAAATCTGTCAACCAAGAATACTATAGCTGGCAAAGGAAAGATAAAGATTTTCCTGAACAAACAAAAGCTGAGGGAGTTCATTATCACTAGACCTGCCTTACAAGAATGCTAAGGACATTCTCAAGTGGAAACAAAACTCACCAGTAATGGTAAATATACAGCCAAAGTCATAGTCTCTTCAATTGTAATGGTAGTATGTAATTCACTTACAACTCTAGTTTAAAAGTTAAAAAGTAGGGGTGCCTGGGTGGCTCAGTCGGTTAAGTGTCCGACTTCACCTCAGGTCATGATTTTACGGTTCATGAGTTTGAGCCCAGCATCAGGCTCTGTGCTGATGCCTTGGAGCCTGGAGCCTGCTTTGGATTCTCTGTCTCCCTCTCTCTCTGCCCCTCCCCTGCTCATGCTCTGTCTTTCTCTGTCTCTAAAAAATAAATAAATGTTAAAAAAAAATTTAAAACTTAAAAAGTAAATGTATTTAAAATAACCATAACTGCAATAGTTTGGACATGTAAAAAATACAAAAACTGCCACATCAATAATCTAAAATGTGAGGGGGAGAGAAGTAAAAATGTAACGTTTATGTATACTATCAAATTAAAGTTGCTATTAGGCTAAAAAAACATGTAAGATATTTTATGTCAGTCTCATGGTGAAGAAAAATCTATACTAGTTCTACAAAAGATTAGGATAAAGGAGTCAAAGCTTACTGCTACAAAAAAACTACCAACTCACAAAAGAAGACAGCAAGAAGCAAGGAATAAAGGGTTTACAAAATAATAAGAAAACAAATGGCAATAGTAAGTCCTTACTTATCAATAATTACTTTAACATAAATGGATTAAATTCTCCAATCAAGAAACAGAGACTTACTGAATGAATTAAAAAACAAGATTTAGTAATATGTTGCCTACAAGGGAGATAAAGAAGATCATTATGAAATGATAAATGGATCAATCTTCAAGAAGATATAATAAATGTAAATATTTGTGCACCCAATATTGGATCAACTAAGTATATAAACAAATACTAATAGAAAAAGAGAAATAAACAGCAATACAATAGTATTTAGGGAACTTAATACCCACTGTCAACAATGAAAAGATCATCCATACAGAGAATCAATAAAACAACAAGAACAACTACAAAACAAAAAACAAAAAAACAAATAGGATTTGGACAACACTCTAGACCAAACAGAATTATACAGAACATTCTAGCCAACAATAGCAGAATACACATTATTTTCAGCACACATAGTACATTAATTAGAATATATTATATGTTAGACCACAGAACAAGTCTTAACAAATTTAAGATGATTAAAATCATACAGAGTATCAATCAGACAACACAAAGAAATAAAAGGCATCCAAATCGGCTAGGAGGAGGTTAAACTTTCACTCTTCGCAGATGACATGATACGCTATATGGAAAATCCAAAAGGTTCCATGAAAAACCTGCTAGAACTGATTCATGAATTCAGCAAAGTTGCAGGATATAAAATCAATGCACAGAAATCGGTTGCATTCCCATATACCAACAATAAAGCAACAGAAAGAGAAATCAAGGAGTCGATTCCATTTACAATTGCACTAAAAACCACAAAATACCTAGGAAAAAATCTAACCAAAGAACTGGAAAATCTATACACTGAAAACTATAAAAAGCTTATGAAAGAAATTGAAGACGACACCAAAATTAACCAATGGATAATTTCCATTTCCAAAAAATGGAAAAACATTCTATGCTCCTGGATAGTTAGAGCAAATATTGTTAAAATGTCAATACTACCCAAAGCAATCTACATATTCGATACAATTCCTATCAAAATAACATGAGCATTCTTCACAGAGCTAGAACAAATAATCCTAAAATTTGTATGGAACCAGAAAAGACCCCAAATAGCCAAAGCAATCTTGAAAAAGAAACCAAAGCAGGAGGCATCACAATCCCAGACTTCAAGCTATACTACAAAGCTGCAATCATCAAGACAGTATGGTACTGGGGCGCCTGGGTGGCGCAGTCGGTTAAGCGTCCGACTTCAGCCAGGTCACGATCTCGCGGTCCGTGAGTTCGAGCCCCGCGTTGGGCTCTGGGCTGATGGCTCGGAGCCTGGAGCCTGTTTCCGATTCTGTGTCTCCCTCTCTCTCTGCCCCTCCCCGGTTCATGCTCTGTCTCTCTCTGTCCCAAAAACAACAAAAAAAAAAAAACGTCGGAAAAAAAAAAATTAAGACAGTATGGTACTGGCACAAGAACAGACACTCAGATCAATGGAACAGAATAGAGAACCCAGAAATGGACCCACAAACGTATGGCCAACTAATCTTTGACAAAGCAGGAAAGAATATCCAATGGAATAAAGACGGTCTCTTCAGCAAGTGGTGCTGGGAAAACTGGACAGCGACATGCATAAGAATGAACCTGGACCACTTTCTTACACCGGACACAAAAATAAACTCAAAATGGATGAAAGACCTCAATATAAGACAGGAAGCCATCAAAATCCTCGAGGAGAAAGCAGGCAAAAACCCCTTTGATCTTGGCCACAGCAACTTCTTACTCAACTCGTCTCTGGAGGCAAGGGAAACAAAAGCAAAAATGAACTACTGGGACCTCGTCAAAATAAAAAGCTTCTGCACAGCGAAGGAAACAATCAGCAAAACTGAAAGGCAACCGACAGAATAGGAGAAGATATTTGGAAACGACGTATCAGATAAAGGGTTAGTAGCCAAAATCTATAAAGAACTTCTCAAACTCAGCACCCAAAAACAAATAATCCAGTGAAGATATGGGCAAAAGGCATGAATAGATACTTCTCCAAAGAAGACATCCAGACGGCCAACTGACACATGAAAAAATGCTCCACATCACTCATCATCAGGGAAATACAAATCAAAACCACAATGAGATACCACCTGACACCTGTCAGAATGGCTAATATTAACAACTC